CGCGCGCGCGTGCTCCGCCGTCGCGCGCATGGCCGACGCCGACGCGGCGACGGCGTCGGACTCCCGGGCGCTGTGCTCCGCGGCCTCGCGCGCGCGTTTCTGCTCCTTGAGCGCGTCGCGGGCCTCGCGCGCCTCGACGCACGCCTTCTCGCACTCGGCCTCGGCGCTCGCCTTCATCTCCTCGGCGCGCTCGGCGCGGCGCTCCGCGGCCTCGAGGGACTCCTGGGTCGCGCGCAGCGCCGCGTCGGCCTCGTCCTTGCACCCGGCGAGCGCCGCGCGCTCGGCGTCGCGCGCGGCGACGGTCGCGGCGAGCGCCGCGGCCCGGGCCTCCGCGGCGTCGAGGGTCACGGCCCCGGCGCTCGCGCGCGCCTCGGCGTCCTCGGCGCGCTTCGCGGCGGCCGCGACGGCGAGCTCCGCCGCGTCCGCGCGCGCCCGGAGCTTCTCGCCCGCGGCCTCGGCTTCCTCGGCGCGCGCGTCGCCGCCGCCGCCGGCCTCGCGGAGCCGCGCGGCCTCGTCGACGGCGCTCTGCTCGCGCTTGCCGAGCTCGTGGAGCTCGCCGTGGAGCCGCTCCGCCTCTTTGCGCGCGTCCGCGAGCTCGGCGGCGAGCTCGCCGTTCTGCTTCTCCAGCGCGGCGACGAGCGGGCCGCGGCTCGCCTGCGCGCGGTGGAAGACGTAGTCGATCTTCGGGCCCGCCGGGTTCGTCGCGTCCTTCTTCTCGAAGACCGTGACGACGTCGCCGTCCTGGAGCACCTTGGTCTGGCCCTTGCCGACGTGCGACCCGTTCACCGCCGTGCCGTTGCTCGACTTGTCCGCGAGCACGACGGTGCCGTTCTCCTTGTGGAGCGAGATGAGGCAGTGCTGGCCCGAGATGACGCTGAAGGGGAGCACGAGCGACGGCTTCGTGGCGTGGGCCTGGCGGCCGATGAGGTGCACCGGCTCCGTCAGCTCGTAGGTCGACGCGACCTCGTACTCCTCGTAGGGCGCGAGGCCGAACACCGGGTTCGGCGTGCAGAGCTTCAGCGTGCCCCAGGCCGAGGCCATGATCGAGTGGGTACGGCGCGCAGTGCGATGCGACGCGCGCGAGCTCGAGCCTCGACGAGCGCGACGGTTCCCAGGCGCTCGCGCCAAACCAAGTCAAGCGGCACTTCAAGCGGCGGGGTAATATAGTTCAACTAAATTGTTGAAGTGAATTTTTTGGCTCGATCACCACACATGTGCAGCAAAGCACAGCCGACGCGAACTTAGAGTAAGCAAAGCACAGCCGACGCCGAATTTAGAGTACATTCGCAGCCAGCCGAAGCGCGCAAACACGAAGCGGCGCGGGGGCTCTCTTGGAGCTTGGCGGTCCGGGAGCGTCCGGTCGGACGCGTCTCTGGAGGCGGACCCGTCTACTTGACCTTGGCGAAGGTCGCGTCGTTGGCGATGCCGCAGGCGTTCTTGCCCATCTGGACGCGGATGTAGCCCTGGTAGCCCCAGGACGTGCCCCAGGAGTTGCGCACGTTCCAGACGCACTTGTCCTTGAGGCCCTTGCCGCAGGCCTTGGCGTCGCCCGTGTAGCCCGTGTAGCCGACGACCTGGACGCAGTGGTCGAGGGCGTTGGCCGCGTGGGAGCCGCACTGGAGGTTCGTCATGACGCCCTTGGTGTAGGTCTGCCACGCGCCCGCGTTGACGCAGATCGAGGCCGGGCCGTGGCTCGCGAGCGCGGCGGCCATCTTGTCCTCGTCCTGGTCGTTGCACTTGCCCTTCTTGCACTCGGGGACGACGTAGGAGAAGGACTCGACGTCGCCGCCGGCGGTCTCGAACTTTTTGCAGCGGCCCGTGTTGCCCGACGTGCCGCTCTTGTAGGGGTAGGCGGACTCGAGCGCCATGCCGCCGGCCTTCTCGACGTAGGCGTAGGCCGTCTCCGTGTTGCCGCCGTTGCAGCCCTGGTCGACCTTGTCGCACGACACGATCTGCTGCGGGGCGAAGACGAGCGGGTCGTTGCCCGCGAGCACCCACTCGGACTCGATCTGCTCCGTCGCGGAGAAGGCCCAGCACGAGCCGCACTGGCCCTGGTCCTTGACGTCGCTGACGACGCCGGACTGCTTCGTGCGCCAGTCGAGGCTGCCCGGCGCGGCGAAGCCCTCGGGCGCCGCGTAGACGTCCTCCGCGAGCACCTGCTCCGAGGGCACGTAGTTGAGGTACTGGGCCTTGAACTCAGCCTCCGTGAGGTCCATGAACTGGGTCACGCCGAACTCGGCGTCGTCCTCGTCGACGCGCTGGGCATTGAGGGCCTCGGTCTTGCGCAGGTTGGCCGAGAAGATCGTGAAGCGCTCGGCCTCGGCCTCCGTGCTGTTGTAGGACTTGACGTAGTCGGACTTGAAGAGCTCGAAGAGCGACTCGTCCGTCAGCGCGGCGGCGGGCACGAGGAGGAGGGCAGCCTTGAGCATCATGATCTGACAGCGAGTTTGTTTGGTGGCGCTGGGCAGCCTTCTCAATACACGCATTTTGACAATTGCATTTTGAATTCATTCAACCGGTCGCCCCCAAACCAGCCAATCACATTACGCGGCGCCCTGGAGCCAATCACATTACACGTCGCCGTAGTAGTCGCGCCGCGGCTTGTACTTCGTGTTGCCCTCGGCCTCGCCCGGCTGGCGCGGCTTCTTCGCCGCGAGCTCGGCGACGGCCGTCTCGTGCGCGGCGATCTCTGCGGCGACGAGGGCCTCGTGGTCGTCGTCGTCGTCCGAGGGGACGTAGTCGCCGTCCTGCCAATGCTTGAGGAGCGGGATCATGGGCACCTCGTTGCCGTCGTCGTCGGAGTCGACGTCGTCGGACGGCGGCGGCGCGCGGCCGCGGCGGAAGGAGACCGCGGCCGAGTACGAGTGCGTGTAGTCGGGGAACTCCGGGTCCGCGACGGCGCGGAAGAGCTCGGGCAGGTCCGCGCGCGAGACCATGAAGCGGGACACCGAGGGAATGGCCTTGCGGTGCCAGCCGCGCGGCGGCAGCCGCGGCTCGTCGGGCCCGCCCCACGTCGCCGCGTCGTGGCCGACGTCGCTCGAGTCCGGCGGGCCCAGGAGCAGGTACTCCTGGACGCTCTCCTTGTCGCGGACGACGGCCGTGAAGTCCTGGTTCGGCGCGTGCCAGCAGATGAGGACGAGGTCCGGCCGCTCGACGGCGTCGAGCACGTCGCTGTGCACCGCGAGCGTGACGGGAAACGCCGGCTCCGGGTGCGCGACGGCGTCCGAGGCCAGGACGACGATCTGCGGCGGGAGCGCGTGGCGGAGGTGGAGGCAGAGCCGGCCGTCGCCGCTGCCGATCTCGAGGAGCGTCGCCGTGCCGCGCGACCGGAGCGCGGGCGCGAGGCGCCGGACGACGTACCTCGCGAGCGCGCGGACGAACTCCTTCGTGTAGAACTCGTAGACCGGCGCGCCCTTGCGGTTCGCGAAGCGCAGCGCCGGCCGCGTGCCTACGAAGCATCGTCGTTTTCCCGGTCACAAGGCCGGGGGACGCCGCCGCGCGCCGAGGCGGTCCATCATCGTCCGCGACTGGAACCGCCGCCGCGCCTTGGCCTCGTCGCAGCGGTCCACGTGCTTGCGCTGCGTCCACTCGGCGCGCGGGAGCACCGGGGGCAGGTTCAGGTCCAGCAGGTCGTTGAGCAGCTTCCGCTTCGGCGGCACCTGCTCGAGGAGCGGCGCCCACGCCTCGCGCTCCTGCTCCGTCCACTCGACCGTCGCCTCGCCGTGGACGCCCGAGCTCAGCGACTTCTTCAGGTGGTCGTCCCAGTGGCCCTTCCACTCGTTGATGAGCTTGATCTTCTCCTTGTCCGTCCACGTATCGAAGTCCTTCTTGCCCTTGCGCGTCGAGGGGATCATCGACGCGAAGAGCGCGTTCGCGAACTCCGGGTCGTCCTCGACGATGCCCTCGCAGAACGTGCGCAGCCGCTTCGACGCCTTCCAGGTCTCGAGCTCGCGGTCCAGCGCCGCGCGCTCGCGGAACGTGCGCTTCGCCTCCTCCAGCTTCGCGCGGCACGCGGCCGCCGCGAGCTGCATGTCGGTGACGATCTTCGCGTTGACGTACTCGTCCTCGAGCTCCGCGGCCTTGTCGTAGGCCGCCGCCGCGGCCTCGAGCTGGTTGAGCTGCTCGAGGGCCTTGGCGCGGCGGAAGTGGAGCTTCGGCCGCTTGTTGTCCGTGTGGCACGCGCTGTCCGCGTCGGCGAGGGCCAGGCGCGGCTGCGCCGTCGCGAGGTAGGCCGCGCTCCGGTTCCCCAGGAGCGTCGCGTCCTACGTGTTGTCTTCGACCCTCGCTCTTCGCGGCGCGGCTTTCTTCGACCCTCGCTCTTCGCGGCGCGGCTTTCTTCGAACCTCGCTCTTCGCGGGGAGCTCCCGGATCCCCCGGAAACGCGCGGGGTTCTCGAATCCGGACGCCGCCGCGCGACCTGCGGCACGACCTTGAGCGACTCGGAGTAGCACTTGATGGCCTCGGCGTACTTCTTCTTGCCAAAGTACTTGTTCCCCGCCGCGCGGCCCTCCTCGACCTGGGCGAGGAGCCGCTTCGCCTGGCGCATGCACTCCGCGGCCTCGGCGCGCATGCCCGCGGCCTCGAGGTGCGGGTGCAGCCGCACCCAGTGCGTGCACGCGGACCTGCGCGGGAAGGCGTCGCGGGCGCGCGGAGCCTCGTAGAACCCCGACGCCGGCTGCCGACGCGAGGTCGCCGCGCTTCGCCGTCCTGTCGCACTCCTTGAGCTGCTCGCGCAGCTCCTCTTCGGTGTGCTCGCCGACGGCTCCGATGGTCCTTTGCTGTTGTTGTGGCGGCGGCGGCGGCGGCGCGTCCTCGTCGCCGATGTTGTGGAACTTTGAGTAGTCGACCATCGTGGGCAGCCTCTGCGCGCCGCGGCTGTCTGCCGAACTTCCCAGAGGCAGAGCACGCTGCGCTACCACGACGACGGCCGTCTCCGTCGATCTCCGATGAGTGGGCAGCCTCGCTGCGCTTGAAAAGCAAGCGCAAGCTTGACCGACTGAAGCTTGCAGAGCACGGGGGTTTCAGTTTTGAAGCCCCGAACCTTCTGACTCCCACGTGCTTTGTTCTCCGTGTTCGGACTCAAGAGCAGGGCAACCCGCGCGGTCCGCCTTCCAGTCTCTCATAGTTTTTTTTAGTTTGGGCACAGTCGAGCACAGGGGTTCAGACGCGGACGGATTCTGACGGGCGGCGCGGTGGGCGGTCGCGGGCGACGATCTGGTCAACGCGGAGCACGCGGGGCGCGCGACGGACTGCCCGCGGGGCGCGGCCGCGCCGGAAGGCGCGGCGCGCCCCCCGGGACTCCGAAGGGCGAGGCCGATGCTCGAGCTTGGGGGACTTGCTTGCTCGGTGCGTGGCGGCGTGGCCTCGGCCGCCCCGCGGACGGGGGGCGGGCCTGGCGCCGGCCGCAAGTCAATGGAGCGGGTCGCGGCGCATCGCCTCGAGCTCGATGAGCTGGATCTGGGCGGTGAGCGCGGCGACGGCCGCCTCGTGCTTGAGCTTCTCCGGGCTCGCCTTCTTGCCCCAGGAGCTGAAGTTGGACACGCGGCACTTGTGGTACTCGATCATCGCCCGGTTCTTGTCGATGCGCTTCTTCTCCTTCTTGCGGAGGTAGTTCGCGGGCTCGATGATCTGGTTCTTCTTGGCCATGGTGAAGGTGTGCGAGGTGCTGGAGGATTGTGTGGGGGCGTGCCTAAAAGGTTTTGCAGGCTGCCAACGCGCTCTGGCTTCGATCTTGTCTCAGAACATCGTTCGAATCGCGCGCAACTCGGATTTTTTTGGGCACGCGGATGGTGGGAGGTGTTAGGGAGGTAGGAGAACGGTTGCGAGGGCTGGGGAGTGGTACTCACGGTTTGCGCACGCGCTGCTTCGGTGACACGGGCGGTGTCGAGAGTGCTCGAGTTTAGTTCTGGCTGCACCAGGCCGAGGAGAGAGAGAGAAGTAACTTAGTTTCGGGTTTTGACCGGGGTCAAAGACTCGGTCAAGGCGACTGGCAGTGCGTCGCTTGCGACGTCTCCGGTACGCCGGCGGCGGGCATACACGTGCAGAAGCGCGGGAGTTGAGTCGAGCCACTCCCAGGGTTCCAAAAGACACCAATTACCCACCACCGGCCTCCGCCCTTTCCCCGTCGGCCATGCCCGCGTGCGTGTCCGTGGGCGACAGCGTCCGCCGCTCGGGCCGGAGGACGTCGCGCGGGTCGACGCCCTCGGCCGCGAGGATCCACACGGTCAGCGCGTAGCGGCGGTAGGCGTCGTCGCGGTAGGCGCGGACGCTGTGCGCGAGCGTGTCGGCCTCGAAAACGACGAGCCGGTCGCCGCGGGGCGCGATCGCGTCCGCGGGCTCGAGGTCCGCGGGCGCGAGCGCGGCGCCGACGTCGCGGCGCCGTCGCCACGGAACAAAGTGGCCGCCGGCGGCCTCGTCGTAGTCCGGGTTCATGTAGTAGATGGCGCCGTAGACGCGCCGGTCGTCGCCGCCGTGGTTGTCGACGTGCACCGGGAACGCGCCGCCCGACGCGTAGCAGCTCAGCATGTTCGAGCCGCAGTCGCTCGATAAAGGGAGGCCATGTGCGTCACCTAGCGCGCTCGACAGCGCCGTCGCCAGCGCCAGCGAGCACGCGACGACGCGCGGGCAGCGCGAAAAGTCCTCCGGGTCGAGCAGCTCCGCGCGCGTCCGCGTGACGTCGTCGGCGAGGTTGCCCGCGTCGGCCGCGATCTTCCCCGCGTGCACGCCCTCGGCCTCGCGGCGCAGCGCGGCGCAGGCGTCGGCGCCGAGCACGTCGTCGAGCACCGCGACGCCGCCGTCGACGCCGCGGCCGAGCGCGCCGACGAGCTCGTCCGCGCGGCCCGCGACGCGCGCCTCGTAGGCCGTGCGCGAACCGAGCAGCGCCATCACGGCGCCGAGCTCGTCCTGCGGCGGCGGCGCGGCGGCTGGAGGCGGCGGCGCGCTCGCCGCTGGCGCAGCCGGAGGTTTCTTCGCTTTCTTCTTCTTCTTCACGGGCTTGCTCTTCGCGCCGAAGCCGCCGCCGGCGAGCCCTTGCGCTACGGGTGCGAGGCATAGCAGCATGAACAGCGTTCTTCGTCGGCCAGGGCGCGGGCCGGCCACGCAAAGCGCTGGAGCTTCCGCCATGCCTCGCCCTCGCTTGGCCGGGGGTCCGCGCCCGATCATGCGGCATTCCGCGCGCGCGCCGCGCGCCGCGCACCTCTCCGCGCCAGCACGTGGTCCGGTGCAGGCGAGGGCGGAGGCCACCCTTCTCGATGTGGCGCGTCAGACGAGCATGTAGTCTCTTTGTCGCGTCTCGGAGGAGCTGCTTCTGACTCAGGCTCGGACTCCGTTCGGAAGACGAGGCCCTAAAAGAACGCGCGGTCGGTCGACGGAGCCCAGGTTTGCAGCGTGGACATGCTGAAGGCGCGGGCTTCACGACGAGGCCGACGTCGCGCCGCTCGCCCCACACCCCCGACGAGAGCAGGATGCCGGCGAGCGCGTGCTTGACGGTGCCCCAGATCTGCCAGTGCCACTGGCAGTCTATGCTGCCATTATCATACCTGCGGGCGATTATCGACACGTCGACGACGCCGCCTGGCTACCCCGATGGAAAGTTTCAGTGGCGTTCCGAAAATAGACAGCGGCCGCCGCCGGCGCGGCCTCCGCTACGGAGCTGCTGCGGGGTCTCGGCGATGACACGTCGACGACACGCAGCCTGAGAGCGGCGAGGGTACCCGCAGCACTGCTGGACGCCTCCGCGAACGCTGCGCCAGACCGCCAGGCGTCGCGCCGCGCGAGCGACGAGGAGGCTACGAGGACACGCCAACGGCCAGCCCGTCCTGTTCTGTTTGATCCACAAGCAGTGCTCCCACTCCACGGATCAATGCCATATAATGGCCAAGCTCGCTCGCGACTGGAACGACACCGACACCGGCCGCGGAAAGGGCCGAGGCCGCGGCCGCGGCCGCGGCAGCAAGGGCCGCGGCGCCGGCGGCTCCCTCGCCGAGGCGTCCCGCGCCCTCGTGGCTTCGGTCGCCGCGTCGCTCCAGGGCGACGGCACCGCGCTGCCCGACGACCGCTCGGCGCTCACCGACGACCGTTCGATCGGCGACTACAGCCGGGCCTACGCGGCCGTCGCGGACTGCCTCGCCAACGCCGCCCGCGCGAGCGGCCCCGCGGAGCTCAGCGCCGACGAGGCGCACGCGCTCGCGGCGTGCGGCAGCCTCCCGCCGTGCCCCGAGGGGTTCGAGCTCAGCTTCGTCGACGGCGGATCGATGGCCCACGCGCTCAAGACCGCGAAGCACGGCCCGCGGCGCGAGCCGTCGACGCACTGGGCCTCTCCCACAGCCCTGCGCGACGGCGGAGACCGCGCCCACGCCAACCACGGCGTCTACAGCTCCGACTTGGTCACGCCCGACGGCACGCGCATCCCGGTCGAACGCGACAACCACTTCCCGACCTTCGCCGTCTCCATCTTCAGCGAGGGCCAGCTCGAGGAGCAGGGCTACCGGTTCCACACGACGGAGTCCGCCCGGGGCCTCTCCAAGTTCATGATCACGCCCGCGGGCGACGAGGTCAAGCTCATGACCTGGCGGAACCTCAAGATGGTCTACGTCCGGGCCGTCGCGCCCCAGCCGGCGCCCGAGGGCCTCAGCGCCGCGGCCGTCTCCGAGCCGCCCTGGCCCGAACCACAGCCGCGCGTCGAGGCCATGGAGATCTTCGCCGGGTCCGGGTCCATGTCGCGCGCGCTGCGGGACGGCGGCGTCTCCATCGTCGCCACCTGCGAGAACGACCCGCGCAAGGCGGGCGCCCTCGCGAACAACCTTCCCAGCGTCCACAACTACGGCGACATCCACGACGACTCCATCGTGGGCCACGTCTGGAACCCGCGGAGCGTCAGCGCCATCGCCGCCGGCGTCGAATGCCAGGACTACAGCAAGGCCGGCGCCCGGCGCGGCCTCGGAGGGCCCAAACGCCGCACGCTCGAACGCTTCGCGCACGTCGTGCGCTGCATCGGCCCGCACCTGCTGCTCGTCGAGAACGTGTGGCCGTTCGTCGTCATGCTCGGCCTGGCCTACCTCGTGTCGCTCCTCTCCGCCCCCAAGCGGAGCGGCGAGTCGCGATACATCCTGCGGCTCCCCACCGGCGTCGAGGAGGCGGAGCTCAGCAAGAGCTCGCTGCACGGCCCGGTCTACCGCGACCGCATGCTCGCGTACTTCGAGCGCGACGACGTCTCACCGCTGCTGCCGCCCCCCGCGCCGCTCATCGCGCCCAAGATCGCGGAGCGACGGACGCTCGTCTCGTGCCTGCGGGCCGCAGACGAGGTCCCCGACGACGCGTTCTGGGAAGGACGCTTCGAGCGCCTCTCCACGCCGCGCCGCGCCTACAGCGGGCGCGAGGACAGCCCGCTGGTCGTCGCTCGCCTCCACTACGACCCGGAGTCGGCCGTGCGCGAGGGGTCCGTCGTCAGACTCCGCGGCGACGGCCGGCGCTGGGTCGTGCTCACCGCCGACGTGACACTGCACGTCATCGCCTACGACCGGCGCCACCCGACGCAACGCCGCGGCGTGCCCCGCGAGCGCGTCTCCGAGCACGTCCACTACGCCTACGACGTCTTCGACACGACCAAGCTCCTGTCGCCGCGCAAGGACGGCCAGCCGCCGTACGGAGGCACCATGCTCCTCGAGCGGCCGTCCCACCCGGGACGCGCGTCCCGCGTGCTCCCCGACGAGGCGGCCCGCGCCATGGGCATCGACATCACGGGCATCGCCGAGCACGACGTCCAGTACGTCGTCGGCGACGGCGTCACGGACGTCTACAAGATGCAGGCCGCGGCCCGCATCATGGAGCGCGCGACGATGCTACACAAGGTCCTCCACGAACGGTCCCACGCGGCGTCGGTCGCCGCGCCGCTCCTGGCGGCCCCCGCGTCCCCGCCGCTGCGGCACCCCACGGCCGGGCCAAACGCGCCGCCGCTGATGGCGCGCGGCCTCGGCCGGGAAGCGAACGTCGTCCACGCTGCGATTGGGCACCCGGCCCAGGACCGCTTCCGCGACACGGTCAAGGGGCTGCGCATCAAAGTCGACGGTACCGTCGACTGCGCCGTCTGCAAGATCTCTCGCATGGTCAAGAGCGGGTCCGCGCGCAAGTCGCGGACCCAGAACCCGCCGGCGGTTCGGCGGCCACCGCCGCCGCCTCATCCGCCCCCGGCACCTCCGGGCGGCCAGCCCGCGAAGCAGCGGCCGCCGACGCTGCGCCTCGACCTCTTCGGAGCCCACAGCGACATCCCGTCGCGCACGCGGTCCCAGTACTTTCTCACGGCCACGCTCAACACGAACCCGCCCCACCGCGTCGGCGTCGGCCTCCGCCTCAAGAGCGAGGCCGTCGGCGAGCCCGGCGGCTTCTCCGGCCTCCGCATGATCTACAACGCGTACGCCGCGAAGGGCATCCGCGTGCGCATCGTCGAGCACGACGACGGCGGCGAGTTCGTGGGCAACAAGGCCAGCGCGCTCTACGCGCAGCTCGGCGTCGCGAGCCGGCCCAGACCCTCGGAGCGCCACTGCGAGGCCGCAGAGCGCACGAACCGGGCCGTCTACGGCCTCACACGGGCAATGATGCACGCGGGCTCCGTCCCGGACAACCTCTGGGAGGACGCCGCGTGCCACGCCGTCGATTGTTTGAATCTGCACTTTCACGGCGACATCAACGCCCACTACGCGGCCTTCCAGGAGGACGTCGACCTGTCGACGTTCTACCCCTTCTACGCGCACGTCGCGTTCTTCGACATGCACCGGTCCGAGCGCTTCCGCACTTCCGGAGCCCTCGGCCGGTACCTCGGCGCGGCGCGAAACTACGGCTTCGGCGCCATCCGCGTCCAGGTCGGACGTCACGTCCGAATCGTGTCGAGCCACCACTACGTGGCCGCGCCCGACGTCGAGCTCGACGTCGCCCGCATGGCGCCCATGATTCCGCCGCCGCTCCCGCCGACCCACGCGGCGCCGCACTTCAGCTACCTGCCGCTGGACACCCTGCCGAACTCGCAGCCCGACACGGACGGCGGCGACCACACGGCGCCCGCAGCCGACGAAGCCGCGGCTCCGGGGGAGCTGCGCTCTCCGCTCGCGGGGGAGCACGGCCCCGCGCTCGCGGGGGAGCCCGCCGACGGCAGTCCGCCTCCGGGGGAGCCGCCCGACGACGAGCCCCCGCGGCGAAGCCGCAAACGCCGCACGCACCTCGACATGGGCAGCGACATCGGCGCGTCGCACCGGAACTGGCGCGACTCCGCCGCCTCAAGCGCCGTGGCCGGCCGCGTCAGCGGCCTCGCGCTCCTCCCGGTGATGGCGCTCGCCCTCATCGCGTCAGCCGGGCACGAGATGTCGCCGCTCATGCCGTCCCTGTGCAGCTACGCCATGCCCACGGTGCTCTCCTTCGCGGCCGAGCACGCGGCGCACGGCCTCGCCGCCAGCGCCGTGCCGCGCACGACGGTCTACGATCCCGTCGACACGGAGCTCCACGCTCCCGACATGCGGCACCTCCACGAGCCGCGCCGCCATGCGCCGCCCCCGACCTACCCCGGCGACCACACCATCGACGGCGACATGACGCTCCGTCAGGCCCTGCAAGGGCCGGACCGCGGCAAATGGGTGCCCGCGTTCCACAAGGAGCGTCTCGACCTCGCAGAGACGTTCCGGGACGGCGCCGCCGCGCTCACACGGGTCGCTCTCTCAGAGCTGCCGGCCAACGCGCGCATCTACGACTCGCTGTGCGTGTGCCGCGTCAAACGCGACGGGCGCTACAAAGCCCGGTGGTGCGCCAACGGCGCGCGCAAGGCCGGCGAACTCCGCGACCCCGGCAGCTCGTCTCCGACCTGCCTGCCCAGCACCCTCTTCATGGCTCTCGCCATGGCGGCACAGCACAGCCTGGCCGTCTCGCAGTTCGACATCACAGGCGCGTACATGCTCGCTCCGCCGACGAGCCGCTTCTACCTCCAGTACCCCATCGGGTTCGACGACTACCTCCGAGCCGCCGGCCTGCCCACTTTCGACCCCAACAAGTACGTCCTGCGCGCCGACAAGAACATCTACGGCATGGAGGACGCGGGCCGAGCCTGGTTCGAGCTCCTCTCGTACCAGGTGCTCGACGTCATGGGGTTCCAGCGGCACCCCGTCGACCGCTGCCTGTTCTGCAAGGCGTTCAATCAGGGCGTCGTCTACGTGCTCGCGTACGTCGACGACCTCCTCGTCATCGGCACGCCACGCCACCAGGCCGGCGTTATCGACGACCTCAAAGCCGCGTTTCCCATGACCGAGGGCGGCGAGGACTACCTCGGGCTGCAGTTCCAAGTCGAGCCCGGGCGCGTCCGCGTCCATCAGGCCGAGTATGCCTCAAAGATCTGCGCCAAGTTCGGCTTCGCCCGCTCGTCCTCCGTGAAGACACCGTTGTCGACGGACTGGAACGCAGGAAACACCGAGCAGCCCTCGGGCGGCCGGCCGGGCCGCATCACCCGGGAGAACATGGACAGCGCCCTCGGCGCCATCGGCTACCTGGCCACGCGCACGATGCCATGGCTCAGCTTCGCGTTCGGAGTCCTGAGCACGGTCGCCGGAGCCACCCCGGCGTTCCCGGACCACCCGACGCCCGGCGCTCTGTCAGCACTCGGGCGCGTCTTCCGCTACGTCAACTCCCACGCCCAGCTCGGGCTCACCTACACCCGCTGCGCCGAGTTCGCACTCGACGGCTACATGGACGCCTCGCACGGACGCGAGATCCACCGCACGGCGTCCGGCGTCTGCCGCTCGCGCTCCGGCGGCTACATCTTCGCATGCGGCGCGTCCGTCTGCGCGTGGTCGTCGGTCCAGTACGCGACAGCGATCTCGACCTTCGAGGCCGAGCTGTACGCCCTGGTCGTGCTCGTCCGCGTGCTCCTGAGCATGCGCTCTCTCGCATCCTTCATGCTCAAGCGCAGCCTCCGGCCGTCGCACGTCTACTGCGACAACGAGTCGGCAATACTCTTCCTTCGCGGACGCGACCTTTCCGCCCGGGCGCGGCACATTCGGTGCCAGCTCGGCTTCCTCTACGACGCACTCGACTCCGGCGAGCTCGTCCTCCATCACGTCCCATCGAAGTTCAACCCGGCGAACACTCTCACTGCCGCCGAGGACGAGGATCGCTTCCGGCGCTCGCTCGCAATGATCGCCGGGCTCCGCGTCAACGACAAGAACGAGCTCGTCGACCTTCCTCTCGCCTAGGCCTGGCGGCCCGCGACCCTACCGAGCCGACCTGGCCAACGGGCCGCTCCTCCCGCCCGCCTCCCTGCACGCCGCGGCGTGCACAACACTCCCGCGCCTGAGGCCGCGGGCGACCCCGCGGGGTCGCCCGCCGGAGCCCGCGCCTACTTCCTCCCTGCACGCCGCGGCGTGCACAACACTCCCGCGCCTGAGGCCGCGGGCGACCCCGCGGGGTCGCCCGCCGGAGCCCGCGCCTACTTCCTCCCTACGCCCGGAACAGCGACAACCCTGCGGGGTTCTACGCCGGTTCCCGCTCTTCAGGCTCAACACGGCGTGCCCGCAGGGCACGCCGCACCGCCGTTCCTCCCCGGCGCGGTGCCGTGGCACCCGCCCGCCTCCCTGCACGCTGCGGCGTGCACACTCTCATTCCCCGGCCTGGCTTCGCAGTCCCCGCTCCGCCTTTCCGGCCGCGGCGGGGGAGCAGAGGAGCCAGGATACGCCTAGGATACCCGTAACGCAGTCTCACTCTGATCTGCGCCCCCCACGCCGTAGCGCGCCGCCGGCGTTGTCGCGTGGAAGCCACCTAAAAGAGAATTCGGTCGACACGCGGGTTCGCGGTGGTCCTTTCGAGCCGCCATACCGCCTCTAGCCGTCCGCGGACGCCCTGATTACCGGGTAATTACCCTTCTGCGGTAATTACCCGGTAATTACCGGTAATTACCGAGGCCTCCCGGGCATTACCCGGTAATCCGGCCCCCATACAGGAGCCTGCTCGGCGAACCTGAGCACTTCAGCTGCAATGACAATGGCTCGTCGAGCCGCCACTGCGGCGCTGGTGCTCGCGGCAGCATGGGCCTTCGCGCCGCCCCAGACAAAACGCGCAACAACTCAACTCTACTTCTTCGACAAGCTCGCCGAGTCCATCACGGCGGCGACGGACGTGCTCAGCGGCAAGAGCCGCATGACCGAGGCCAACACCAAGTCGGCGCTGCGCGACGTGCGGCGGTCGCTCCTCGACGCGGACGTGGCCAAGGTCGTCGTCGACGGCTTCGTGGAGAACGTCCAGGCGAGCGCCCTCGACGGCGAGGTGGCGGAGGGCGTCGACCCCGGGCAGCAGTTCGTGAAGATCGTCTACGACGAGCTCAAGCGGGTCATGGGCGGCGACGACGACGAGCTCCTTTTTAGCGACGACCCGGAGGCCGCGGCGAAGGCGCGCGCGGGCCTCGCCTACCGCGACGACGGCGCGCCGACGGTCGTGCTGCTCTGCGGGCTCCAGGGCGCGGGCAAGACGACGGCGGCGGCGAAGCTCGCGCTGCGCCTCAAGGAGGAGGAGGGCAAGACCCCCATGCTCGTCGCCGCGGACGTCTACCGCCCCGCGGCCGTGGAGCAGCTGCAGATCCTCGGCGAGCAGGTCGGCGTGCCCGTCTACGCGGAGGCGTTCGAGGCCGGCGCGGGCGACGCCGTCGCCATCGCGACGGCGGGCGTGCGGGCGGCGAAGGAGCGGGGCGCCGACGTCGTCATCGTCGACACGGCGGGCCGCCAGGTCATCGAGGAGTCGCTCATGGCCGAGCTGCGCAGCGTCCGCGCGGCGACGAAGCCCGACGAGACGCTGCTGGTCCTCGACGCGATGACGGGCCAGGACGCGGCCTCGCTCGCCAAGCGCTTCGACGACGCCTGCCCCCTCACGGGGTCGGTATTGACGAAGCTCGACGGCGACGCCCGCGGCGGCGCGGCGCTGAGCGTCCGCGCGGTCTCGGGCAAGCCCATCAAGTTCGTCGGCGTCGGCGAAAAGGTCGGCGACCTCGAGCCGTTCTTCCCCGCGCGCATGGCGAGCCGCATCCTCGGCATGGGCGACGTCGTCTCTCTGGTGGAAAAAGCGTCCAAGCAGCAGTCGGCGGCCGAGGCCAAGGCCGTCATGGAGCGCACGAAGCAGGCCAAGTTCAACTTCGACGACTACCTCGACCAGGCGCGCATGGTGTCGAACATGGGCTCCTTCGGCGCCGTCGCGAAGATGATGCCCGGCATGGGCGGCATCGACAACGACCAGATCGCCGCGGCCGAGGCGAAGATCAAGATCCAGGCGAGTTTGATCAACTCGATGACGCCGAAGGAGCGCGGCGAACCGGACCTCATCATCCGCGACAAGTCCGCGCTCGCGCGCCAGAAGCGCATCGCCGCGGGCAGCGGGCGCTCCGTGGACCAGGCGAAGCAGTTCCTCTCCGAGTTCCAGCAGATGCGCACGATGATGGCGAAGATGGCGGGCCAGGCGCCGCCGGACGGCGCGGACGCGGCCGCCGCGCCGGACCCGGACGCGCTCCTCAACCGCGCGGCGCGGCGAGCGAAGAAGAAGAAGGGCGGCAAGCGGAAGCTCAAGACCGCGGGCTTTGGCTAGGCAAGTACTCCTAAAAAATAGTTACTACCGAAAGTACACCTGGAAGAGCCCGCAGTTCGACGCCGTCGGCACGGCCGTCGACCGCGCGGTGACGCGCACGCGCGTCGTCTCGAGCGGCGGGTCCAGCACGAACTCCTGGAGGTCCGACCGGTCCAGCGTCTCGTAGACCGCGCGGCTCTCGCGGAACTCGCCCGAGGGCGCCGCGCCCTCGACGGTGAACTCGCGGACCGACAGCGGGCCGAAGGGCATCGGCGGGATGCGCACGCCGACGCAGGTCACGCGCCGCGGGCGGCCGTCCGGCGACACGTCGAAGGCGAGCCACTCGCGCCAGCCCGCGTTCTGCCCGGGGTCGAAGCTCTTCGAGATCCACCACGTGTCGACGCGCGGCGTCGTCGCCTCGCCGAGGTCGTAGTCGCCGCGCGTCGACCTACGATGTGTGCTGTCACCGGGCGTTTCGTCGTTTGTCCCGGCCGAAATCGCGGGACGCGGGCGCGCGGACGAGCAGGCCGCCGCGCGGAACTCCGTCACGCGGCGCACGAGCAGGAACTGGAGCACGTGCCGCGCGAGTTCGTCGGCGAAGCCCGTGGCGCGCAAGAGCAAGAGGAGCACGGCCGCGTCGCGGCAGACGACGTCGAGGCACAGCGCGGGCGCGCGGTTCCCGGCCGGCGGCGCGCGGAGCGGCCGCAGCGCGCCGGACGGCAGCGTGACCGCGCCGCCCTGGTCGACGTTCGTCGTCATCATCGAATCCGTGTCGTAGACGAAATACGGCTGGCTGTCCTCCGGCGCGGAGAAGACGCCGTGCAGCGCCACCTCCATGCACTCGTCGTGGCGCGCGAGGACGCGGCAGCTGTGGCCGTGGAAGCGCGCGATCTCCGGGCGGTCGGCGGCGTCCACGACGTACGTCTCCGACGCGTCGTCGTCGTCCAACTCCACGGCTTCGTCGACGTTCATCGCGCTGAGCTCAGCACCGAAGGTGGCCCATGCTTCGAGCTTCCGCAGCATCTCCGCCGCAGCGAGGCATGGAGGACACTGTTTAAGATCGCGCGCGCGCCCGAACGCATCGCACCCAGCTGCATATACATCACGAAACCCACCACTCTAACCCGCATCGATCGCGCGCAGAAGAAATGGCGTCGACGGACCTCTTCCTGCTCGACCTCGAGCACGACAAGGACGCCATCTGCTGCCGCGGCGTCGACCGCTCCGGCGCCTTCCGGGCGCTGCGCATCACCGGATTTCGGCCGCATTTCTACTGGGGCCCCGTAGAGACCTCGGGCGACGCCGCCGACGACGCCGCGCGCGAGGCGGCGCTGCGCGCGGCGACGGGCGACGCGTCGGTGGGCGTATCCACGGTGTCGCGCGTCGCGCTCGCGGGCCACGGCGCGCCGCAGACCTACCGCCGCGTGTCGCACGCCTGCGCCACGCCGCAGTCCGCCGTCGTGAAAGCCGCGGCGCGCGCCTTCCGCGGCGACGCGGGCGCGGGCGCCGTCGAGGACGGGCTCCCCGTCTGCCGCCGCTTCCTCGCGGAGACGCGGCTCTCCGGCGGCTCCTGGCTGCGCTGCGCAACGCCACCGCCCGCGGGCAACTCCCAGTGGACCGCCGCCTGGCGCGACGTCGAGGGCCTCTGCCCCGACATCCTCGCGGACGCGCCGGCGGCGCCCGAGGAGCCGCTGCCGGAGCTGCGGGCCGTCGCGGTGCGCGTCGAGGCCGCGTCCGGCCGCGACGACACGTGGATGGAAAACCAAAAGACGGACGACGCCGTCGCGCTCGTCGCCGTCGCCGTCGCCGGCGGCGCCTGCGTCGTCCACGCGCACGCGCCGGCCTGGCGCGGCGCGGCGGCCCGGTTGGGCGGCGGCGTCGAGGTCCGCCGCTACGGCTCCGAGGCCGGCGCGCTCCGCGGCTTCGAGGCGCACCTGCTGGACCTCGACCCGGACGTGGTCCTGAGCTTCGACAACCGGGCCCTGGGCCTCCTGGGCGAGCGCTTCGAAGCCGTTGTCGGCCGGCGGCCGCGGCTCTCGCGCGGCAAGCGCGACTCCGCGGGCTGGCGCGTCAGGTCCGTGACGACCTATTCGAAGGACTGGATCAAGAGCCGGAGCGAGGGCGGCCGGCGCATGGCGTCGTCGAACAACCTCGAGACGCACCGCTTGGACGGCGTCGAGGGCCGCGCGTGCCTCGATCTCCTGCGCTTCGTTTCCATGCGCGCGACGCCCAAGCTCACGCGCTACACGCTCGCCGAGGCGTCCCGGGCGCTCTTAGACGCGGCGCCGCCGACCGTGGGCCCCGCGGCGCGCGCGGGCCTCGCGGCGCCGCGGCGCGCGGCGCTCGCGGCCGCGGAGGCGCGGACCGTGCTCGCGCTCGCCGCGGCGACGAACTGCGTCGCGGAGACCTTCGAGACCGCGCGCGCCACGGGCCTCGACCTGGACACGGTGAGCTGGCGCGCGGCGTCCGTGCGCAGCGAGCAGCTCCTCCTCAGGGCGTCGCGGTCCTTCGGCGCCGCGCTCCCGCTGAAGCGGCCCGCGCCGGTCATGCGGACGCCCTGGGCCGCGGACACGACGCCCTTCCTCTACCACCCGTCGCCGCTCGCGGAGCTCCAGCCCCACCAGGTGAATTTGGTGGAGTCGGGGCTCATGGGCCACGGGGGGGGCACGGCCGGGTTCTACGAGGATCCCGTCGTCGTCCTCGACTTCGCGTCGCTGTACCCGTCCGTGTTCATCGCGCACAACGTCTGCTACACGACGCTGGCGTCCGACGGCGCGCGGGCCCACGAGACGCCCACGACGCGGCCCGGCGACCGCGAGCTCTGGGGCTTCGTGGGCGCGGACGCGCGCGACGGCCTCGTGCCGCGGACGCTCCGCGCGTTGCTCCGCGCGCGCAAGGCGGCCAAGGCCGGCGCCAGGGCCGCGGCCGCCGCGGGCGACCGGCGCCTCGCGGACTGCCTCGACGCGCGCCAGCTCTCGCTGAAGATGTGCGCGAACGCGACCTACGGCTACACGGGCAGCGACGTGTCGTCGCTCGAGGGCAAGCCGCTCGCGGAGGCGTGCGTGCGTTGGGGCAACGCCTACTGCCGCCGGGCCATCGCCCTCGTCGAGGACGGCACGTTCCCCGGGGCGCGCGTCGTCTACTCGCAGACGGACAGCGTCTTCGTCGTGTTGCCCGGCCGCGGCCACGCGGACGCCGCCGACGAGGGCCGGCGCATCGCCGCGCACGTGTCGCGGAACCTCCCCGAGGCCCTGACGCTCGAGTACGAGCACGCGCTGCGGCCCTTCATCCTGCTCCACGTGAACCGCTACGGCGGGTGCACGGCCGACGGGTCCATGCTGCTCAAGGGCGTCGCGAGCCAGCGCGGCAGCTGCGCCTTTGTAAAAAAGACGCTCCGCGGCGTCGCCGAGGCGCTGCTCCTGCCCGGCCGCGGCGGCGTCGCGGGCGCCTGCGCCTTCGCGGCGCGGCGCGTCGACGCGCTCCTCGCGGGCGACGTCGACGCCGGCGAGCTCGAGCTCGGCGCGTTCTTGTGGCGCGTCGACCACGGCGACCTCGACCGGCTGTCGCGCGGCGCGAAGACGCGCGAGGACGTCGACGCGCTGCGGACGCCCCACGTCGCCCTCGCGGCGCGGACGTTGCGCAAGGAGCCCCTCAAGCGCTACCGCCTCGGCGAGTTCGTGCCGAGCCTCGTGTCGAGGGGCTGCAAGGGCGACGCGCAAAAAGAGACGGTGGCCGACCCCGAGGAGACGCTGGTGAACGAGACGCCCGTGGACCTGCGGCTCTACTACGACAAGAAGCTGCGGCCTGAACTGGAAAGGTTACTGGCCCCTTTCGCCGGCGACCCCGCCGTCAAGGCCCTCTTCGCGCGCGCGCTCCGCGCGTCGCCCGGCGTGCTGGCCAAGCGCGAGGACGCCAAGGCGCTCTTCCAGGGCGCCGCCGCCTCGTCCACCGCCGCGCCGCCGTCGCCGCCGCGGGCGCAGACGCTCCGGGACCGCTTCCTCCTCGCGGGCCCGGGCAAGGACGACCGCTGCGTGCGCTGCGAGCGGCCGACGGAGGACGACGCGCGGCGCGCGGCGTTCTGCGGGCCCTGCTTCCGGGCCGCGCCGGGCGCGCGCGCGGCCTGCTACCTCGACCTGCTCGCGTGCCAGCGGGCCCTGGACCGCGAGGTCTGCGCGCTCCGGCGCGCGCGCGACGCGGCCGCGCGCGCCGGCGCCGTGCCCGCGGGCGCGGTATCGGACCACGCGCCGCGGCTCTGCAACGCGCTCCGCCGGCTCCGCGCCGTCGACGCCAAGCTCGGCCGCGCCTTCGACGCGCCGCCCGAGGCGTCGCCGCCGCCGCCGCCGCCGCCGCGGAAGAAGAAGCGCCAGCGCTCCGCCCCCCGCGCGGACCTCGACGGCTCGCGGCGGTCGCTCTTCCCGGCCGCGGCGGACGCGCCGCCGCCGGCGCCCGCGGCGGGCGCCTGGGCCTGCGACTTCTGCACCTACGTCCACGCCGAGCCCGCCGAGTTCGACTTCCTCGCCTGCACCGTGTGCGGCGCGCAGCGGCCCAAGAAGGCCGCGAAGAACGCCAAGGCGGCGCCCCCGCGGACGCCTTGATCGCAGGCCTGTTGTTGTTGTTGTTGGTTTAATGTTCTCGCATCGAAGCTGGTGTTCTTCCCGGCGTATTAACCTCAGCTACCCCCTGGTGGCGACCAAAAGCCGAGGATGGAGACCTGGACGTCGTGCGGAAGCCGGACGCAGCGCGAGATGACGCCCAGGAGCCTGTCGCGGTGGCGCTGGACTCGAGCCGCCCAGCCCCCGTCGCTGATCACGTCGGCTAGAAAGTCGTGCAGGGGCGCGTTCGTGTCGTTGATCTGATGCCGGCGCAGCACTTTCATGGCGGCGCCAGCGCGGAGCAACGTGAGCGCGATCTCACGGTTGCCCTGAACGAGAGCAATGTGAAAGCCGGTCGTGCCGAGACTGTTCTTCAGTTCCAGACTGGCACCTTTTTCGATCAGAAGCTGAAGAGCTTTTTGTTGCGAGTTAATGATTGCAAGGTGAAGAATGAAAGAGGTAAATGAAGATGACCCGACAGAGTTAATAACTCGACCGTCGGGGTCTGCGCCAGCCTCTAGAAGATAACGCATACAGGCAAAATGCTTGTCGGAGCTGCCGGCCAATGTGCTGACGAGCGTAGGGAGGGCCAGGTTCTCACCCACAGTCAAAGCATTCACATTCGCGCCCGCGGCCACGAGTAGCTCGCAAATATCGAGATGCCCATGAGATGCGGCGAGGTTTAGTAGAGGAACAGCACTCAATACACTATTTGGGCCCGCGGGGACAGGAATCGTAACCTCCGGGTCCGCGCCCGCGGCGAGGGCCGCGCGCAGCGCGTCTACATCATTATCCACGACGGCCTGTTTTGCAGCCTGTGTCGCTGCAGCCACGGGGTCCATAGCGTCGGAAGAAGTTCGCGCGCGTGTCGCGCACAGGCGCGCAGAGCGACGGACGGCGACGGCAGGGTCTTACTTAGGCCGACAGGCGCGATGCGACGTTCAAATCGCAGCCCATCGGCAGCCGAGTTACGCCGAGTTGACAGTGCCGGGACGGTGCCGCTCCATAGCAGATTTTGGCCCAGCTCATCGACCCCGGCAGCCCCACCGCCGCCGCCGCCGCCGGCCATGGGCCTGACGGCGGTGCTGCGTGCAATCATCAACGCGCCGACGGTCGCGGCGTCGGCCGGGCGGCCCGCGGGCGTCGCCGCCGTGAGCACGGCCGGGAGCAAGGAGGATGAGCAGGAGGCGAAGCGCCTGCTGCGCGTCGAGTCGCGGGAGAAGCTGCTGCGCGAGCGCGAGGAGGCGCGGGCGGCGGCGGCGAGCTGGGACTGGCTCTACGCGCTGAGCGACGCCGTCGACGACGAGGTGGCCTGGGGCTACGACGAGTCGCACGCGATGCTCTTCGACGACCCGCTCGAGGACTACGGCTGGTGGGTCCGGTGGAACCCGCTCTACTGGGTGTTGATCGGCCTCATCGTGCTGTGCCTGCTGCCCGGCCGCTGGGTCCACCTGCCCTTCGACCAGGGCGGCCCCGTGCGCGACGACGAGATGGAGATCGAGAAGAAGATCCGGCTCGAGTCCTTTCTTTCCGGCGTTTTGCGGCTTTTTCATTCCGAACGCCGATCTTACGTAGGTGGATCTACTGCACGGACGGCCCCATGGCGATGACCATCGCCCTCGCCGCCGCGGAGCTCATCTACTACCTCGTCGAGGGCGCCGCGGGCGCGAACGTCGAGACGGAGGCCGTGGTGCTCACGGTCGTCATCGCCGCGGTCTACATCGGCGGCAACGTCGTCTTCCTGAACTCGATGCGCCAGCGCAACATCGTCGGCGTGCGCGCGGGCATCTGCGCGAACGGCGCGTTCGCCGTCGGCATGGCCGCGCTGCTCGCGCTGTGGATCGTGCAGCGCGGCTGGGACCCGCTGTCCTGGTCCGCGACGAAGTGGGGGACCATCTCGCTGCGGACCATCGTCATCCTCTTCTTCCTGAGCGTCATCTACGACTACGCGCCGCTCTGGGACGCGTACGGCCCGCTCCGCGACGACGCGACGCTCTCCGCCGTCGGGTTCCTGTCCGTGCTGGCGAACGCGAGCGCGTCCATCCTCGTCGTGGCGACGCTCATGCTCGCCGCGGCCTACCCGGAGTCCCAGGACCTGATCTGGCAGGTGCTCGTCGGGTAATTTGTTGAAACGTTGTGTCTCGGAGGCTCGCGTTCCTTGGCCGCGGGGGCCACGTGGCAAGGGCGCCAGACTCCTCCGCGCCCCATCCCCGCCGACTCCTCCGCGCCCCGCCCCCCGCGCTGAGACCAGACCAGGATCCGCGGCGACTATACCGGGGTAGCGCGCGCGGGATCCGGGCGGAGTTCCTCCTTTCAGGCGAGGAAGGACAGGACGGTGTCGACGACGGCGTGGCCGCCGTGGGCGCCGAGGAGGAAGGCTTCGGGCGACGCGCCGAGGCTGGCGTCGTCGTGCTGGCGCATCGCGTTCGCGCGGACGAGGAGGTACGCGTGGCGCGTCGCGTCGCGGACGTACTTGGGCCGCGACGCCGCGACGTAGGCGCCGTAGGTCGCGTCGCGGGCGTGGACCTGGGCCCAGGTCTCGTAGTCGCGGCCCTCGGCCGCCTCGACGTGCTCCGCGACGGACTGGAGGAGCAAGGCCGTCGGGTCGTCGGACTCGTTCTCGTCCAGGTAGGTCTCGAGCGGCGTGGCGCCGTCCTCGTCCTCGGCCGACGGGTCCGCGCCGGCGGCGAGGAGGTAGTGCACGAGCTCCGGCGCGCCGCCGAAGGCCGCGGCGTAGTGGAGCGGCGTCCAGCGCTGCTCGTCGCGCGCGTCGACGTCGTGCGCGAGCTCGCCGACGAGGAACTTGACGGCGTCGAAGGCGCCGTGCTCGCAGGCCTCGTGGAGCGCGTAGGTCTTGGCCGTCGTGGGCTTGCGGAGCTCCGCGGCGTCGACGAGGCGCAGGGAGGCCACATCGTCGCTCTGGAGAGCGAAGACGACGTCCTCCGACAGCACGGAGCGATCCTCGAGCTGGAAGTCGGTCTCGTCGACGGAGACGATGGAGTCCGAGCGAAAGCGAGTCTCCGTCGACATTTTTGAGGGGTGAACTGCCGAGGCGTTTGCTCGATATCGCCTGGTTTGACCGACGCGGGATGCGATGTGGCGCTCGAGAGAGAGAGAGAAGATTGGCAACGTCACTAAGCCGAAGGTGAAGTGCTCCCCGAAGCGATGAGCGCGTCTTCGGCGCCACTCGCGCCTATACCGCTCGACCACGAGCGCCTCCATCCACCAAACCTTTCAGAACACGACCGCCACGACGGCCATGACGCGAAAAACGCGAAAAATCGACGCACCATCGCCCTCGTCGGCGCCGGCATGGTCGCCGCCGCGGCCATCGTCGCGGTGAGCACGCCGAAAGCCGACGCTTTGAGCAGAGGCTACCAGCCCATCTCCGCGGCGCTCGGCGGCGCCTACTTCGTGTGCTGGAGCGTCAGCTTCTGGCCGCAAGTGCTCGAAAACCGGCGCCGCCGCACGACCGTCGGCCTGTCGCCGGACTTCGCCGCGCTGAACCTGCTCGGCTTCCTCTGCTACACGACCTACACCTTGCTCTTTTTCACGAACCGCGACATCCGGTCCCAGTACGAGCGGCGGCACGACGGCGCGGCGCCGCAGACGCGGCTCAGCGACGCGCTGTTTTCGGTGCACGCGCTCGCGCTCTGCGGCGTCACGCTCGCGCAGGTCGCCTACTACGACGGCTTCGCGGCCCAGCCCCTGAGCCGGCCGGGGCTCGCCGCGATTTTGGCGCTCTCGCTCGCCGTCGCGTGCTACGGCGCCGCGGCGGTCGCGCGGCGCGACCCGGGCCTCGACTTCGTCTATTTCCTGTCTTACGTGAAGATGGCCATCACGTTCCTCAAATACCTGCCGCAGCTCGTGTCGAACTTCCGACGCCAGTCGACGGTGGGCTGGTCCATCCACAACATCCTGCTCGACTTCGCCGGCGGCCTGCTCTCGACGCTGCAGCTCGTCCTCGACTGCGCGGACACGCGCGACTGGTCGGGCATCGTCGGCGACGTCGCCAAGTTCGCGCTCGGCTCCATCTCCATCGTCTTCGACCTGCTCTTCATGGTCCAGCACTACGTCCTCTACCCGCCGAAGCGCGCGGGCACCGCGCACGCGCCGCTGCTCGGGGTGCAGTAACGTGGCGCTGTTTTAATCAAATCTCGTGCTGTTCGAGGCGCGCGGCGACGCGGCCGACTCGGCGAGGTGGCACCGCCGCGCCCGGGGCCGGGCCGGCGCGACGCGCGACGGCGCGGGCGCCGCGCGCCGCCACGTGCATGTCGCCGCTCGAAGTGGCGTGACTCGCGACGGTGTGACGGCGCGCCGCCGCGTGAATGTCGCCGCTCGAAGTAGCCTCCACACTCGAAACGACGCTCAAGTTCTCCGCCACCACGCGACGACGTGGGACCGCGTCGACCTGTGTCACGCGTGCGGCCGCGCGCGCAGCGACGCGAATTATCGCTGCTTGAAGCTGCTTGAAGCTGTTCAGTGCTGCTCCCCACAGACTCGCCACTTCTCGTCGTCGTCGCGCCGCCCACCACGGAGCGCCGCACGCCGCCGTCGACGCCTCGGACTCCCGAGTCGCAGCTCCCGAAGAAGCCGTCCATCGACGTCGAGCTCGCGGCCGAAAAGCTCGCGGTCATGGGTGCGAAAGCCAAGGAGAGCGAGGCGAGCCCGCTCAAGCTGCTCGTCGGCGTCGCGGGCATCTTCGGCGCCTTCATGTACTACGGTCAGCTCCAGGGCGACATCGTGCGCTACAAGGACGCCGACGGCGCCAAGCTCGAGCGCGAGTGGTTCATCCAGGTCCTCGAGGCGAGCGCGAACGTCGCCGTCGGCCTCGCCGGGCTCGTGCTCAGCCAGGGCGGGCCGTCGCCGGGCATCCCCCTGGCGTCCTTCTTCGTCACGGGCTCGACCCAGGTCCTGGCCAAGGCCATGACGCAGAAGGCGCAGATCTTCGGCGTGCCGTTCTTCGTCGCGACGCTCGTCAAGAACGCGAAGATGGTGCCCGTCATGCTCGGCGCCATCGCGCTGAGCGGCACGCGCTACCCGGCGCGCAAGTGGTGCCAGGTGGGCATGATCATCGGCGGCGTCGTCCTCGTCACCGTCGGCAAGTCCAAGGCGCCGTCGTCCGCGGCGAAATCCGACACGGAGAACCTGGGCCTGCTCTGCCTCGCGCTCAGCCTCACCTGCGACGGCATCACGGGCGGCCAGCAGACGGCCTTCAAGGCCGCCTACAAGAAGAAGCACGGCAAGGGCCTCCAGTCCTACGACCTCATGCTCTTCACGAACTTCGCCATGCTCTGCATCGCCGTCGCCGCGTCGCTGGCGCTGGACCAGCTCTTCTCCGGCGCCGCCTTCCTCGCGGCGAACCCGCCCCTGATGACCGCCGCCGCCAAGTTCGCCTTCTGCTCCGCCATCGGCCAGTCCGCCATCTTCTTCACGATGGCGAACTTCGACCCGCTCGTGACGACGACGGTGACGACGACGCGCAAGATCTTCTCCGTGCTCCTCGACATCGTCTCCCGCGGCCACGTCCTCAACCCGACCCAGTGGTCCGGCGTCGCCCTCGCCTCCCTCGGCGTCGCCGCGGAGCTCCAGGAGAAGTTCGGCGGCAAGAAGGGCCACGGCAAGAAGACGTAGGTCCGCGACGGCGCGGTGGACGCGCGATGCGCGCCCCAAACACTAACGTCGAACAGTACCCTCCACGTCGTAGCCGTGCGCGCGAAGCCAGGCCTGAAGCCGCCGCGGCGGGCGCCGCCGGCTGATGATGACCTCCTTCAAGAGGGAGAGCACGATCGGCGCCACAGAGCACGGACCGGCGTGCACCCACGTCGAGGGTCGACAGGGGCTCCCGCACCCGGGCACCACAACCGCTCTGCGCAGCGTTAAAAGACACACCGCAACACCATGGGAACGACGCTGAAGGCCCTGGTCGACAAAGTCTGCGAAGAGCTCGAGATCACCGTCGAAGAAGGTGGCCTCTCGGCGAAGGTCAAGGCGGCGGCCGATGCGGCGGGCATTCAGTACGAGACGCTCAAGGTCACGGCGGAGAAGCTCGCGCTTGAGGTCCTGGGCGTGGCGCCGGGCGCGCCTCCGCCGCCGACGGCCATCGTGGTGACGCCGCCGAATGCGGCGCGCAAGAAGGCGCCGGAGCCGGAGGCGCTGCTCGCCGTCGTGAAGCCCGAGAAGCGGCCCCGCGAGGAGGACGACGACTTCGAGCTCACCAAGGTGCAGACGGAGGCGGAGCGCGCCGCGGCTTCGAAGGCGCGCGCGGAGCGCGACGGCGCCGTGCTCGAAGTCGCGGACGACGACGTCCAGCCCAAGGCGAAGCGCAAGAAGACGGCAGCGCCCTGCGTCTGCTCGACGCTCGTGAGCAACTACGGCAAGACGAGCACCTGTAAGGCCGCGGAGCACGGCTGCATCTGCTCGACGGATCCGTCCAAGTGCCGGGCCACGGTCCACCCCTGCAGCTGCAAGACGCTCGCGAACAACTACGGCAAGACGAGCCACTGCAAGGCCACGGAGCACGGCTGCATCTGCTCGACGGATCCGGCCAAGTGCCGAAGCACCGCGGTCTGCCCCTGCACCTGCTCGACGCTCGCGAACAACTACGGCAAGACGAGCCACTGCAAGGCCCCAACGCACGGCTGCATCTGCTCGACGGATCCGTCCAAGTGCCGGGCCACGGTCCACCCCTGCAGCTGCAAGACGCTCGCGAACAACTACGGCAAGACGAGCCACTGCAAGGCCACGGACCACAGCTGCATCTGCTCCACGGATCCGTCCAAGTGCCGGGCCGCGGTCCACCCCTGCACCTGCAAGACGCTCGCGAACAACTACGGCAAGACGAGCCACTGCAAGGCCACGGACCACAGCTGCATCTGCTCCACGGATCCGTCCAAGTGCCGGAGCACCGCGGTCCACCCCTGCACCTGCAAGACGCTCGCGAACAACTACAGCAAGACGAGCTACTGCAAGGCCGCCGACGACGACCACGACTGCCTGTGCGCGATCGACCCGGCCAAGTGCCGCCAGCATTAAACTCGACCGCGACGCAACGAGACCCATCGCCGAAGAATACCAAGACCAAGACCAAGACACCGCGCGCGTCCCTCGCGCGTGCGGAAGAGCTTCCGCTATTCACCTGTCTCCTACCCGTGCTCGAATCCGCTGTCCGTAATCTCGCAAGAAATAACATTCGTACTGGATCCAGCGACCTCGTACGACCCGGTCGCATCAACACAACATCAACAACGACACCTCGAACCAAAAATTAGACGATGGCGACTCTGATGGAATGATCGCGCTGCTCCTCCTGCTCACGGCAGCCCCTGCCACTGCGCGCGCCCGCGAGGTCGACCGGAACGTGACGCGCAAGCGCGCGCAGTGCTTCGACGCGTCGGCGACCTTCGACGCCTGGCCCGCGACGACGACCCCGGCGACGCCGCCGCCGTCGGCGGCGCCCTTCGAGGACGTCTGCATCGCCGAGCGGCCGGGGACGCGGTGCGTGCGGCGCGTCGCGAGCGACGCGCGGCGCTGCTGGGCGAGCGTCAAGTGCCGGCGCGCGGAAAACGCGGAGCCCTTCTGCGAGCGCGACGGCCTCCGGTGCGCGATGATCGAGGGCGGCAAGCGGTGCTGGGCCAGCGACCGCTGCCGGCGGCGGCTCCAGCCGACCTGCGGCCGGCCCCTGGACATGTCGAAACCCGTGCCGCTCTGGTGCGCCGCGCACCGCCTGCGGCTCCCGGCGAAGCACGGCCGGTCCGTGCTGTGCGTTCCGCAGAAGAACGGGAACCGCGACTTCATGCTCCTGCTCTACGCGCTCTACTACGGCGCGCCGCCGGAGTCGTCGGCGGCCATGGACTACGCCCTCGGCGTGACGGCGACTTCGGCGAGCGGCAAGCGGCCCCTCAGCTTCTCGACGGTCGACGCCGGCGACGACGTCTACTTCGTATCCCGCAACCCCTTCGCGCGGCTCCTGTCCCTCTACCTCGACAAGGTGCTGCGCTGCTTCCACGTCGGCGACCGGGACCCGGAGGCGGCGCCGGGCGCCCACTGCTCCCACGACCTGTTGAAGCTCAGCGGCGCGTTCGACGGCTTCGAGCCGCGGCGGCGGCCGCGCGACGCGCCGTCGTTCCCGCGCTTCGTTGCCCTCGTCGACAACGCGACGCGGACCCGCGATTTGTGCGCCCTCGACCACCACCTCTGCACGCAGGTCTCGGGCTGCGCGCTGAGCGGCGCCAAGTCCGTGACCGTGCTCCGCCTCGAGGACGAGGCCGACTGGTTCCCGTGCCTCGCGCGGAAGCTCGGCTTCCCGGACCTCGCGGGCGAGGGCTGGCGCAAGTGGAAGGCGCAGCCCTGCTTCTTCGCGCCGTCGGGAAACTGCGGCGACGCGCCGGGCGCGCCGCGCGCGAAGGTCGTCGGCTCCGTGCACGCGACGGACGCGACGTCGAAGATCGACGACTACTACGACGTCGCCGCCGCGGACGTCGCGCGCCGGTTGTACGCCGACGACTTCGCCCTCCTGGGCTACACCCCGGCGCTCCCGGGCCCGCCCTGCCCCGTCCCCGCGAACTGCTACCCCGCGACGTAAGACGACGTCCGGCTCGACCCCGCGACGACGCCCCGCTACATGACACTACACTGGGCGCTGTCCGCGTCGGGCACGGGCAGGCCCGGCATGCCCGGCACCGCGCCCTCCTTGGGGAAGAAGTTGTCGCCCATGTTCATGACGGGCATGCCGTCGGCGCCGAACTCGAGCGCCGGCGCGAGCTCCTTGATGATCTCCGACGGCACCTGGCCGTACTTCTGGAGGTCCTGGAGCAGCTCCATGAGCCGCGGGAAGTTGTCCGGCTCCGTCTCGTAGACGGCGACGACGCGCTGGAAGTACTGGTACTGCGTGCCGTAGCGCACGTACTCCTCCTTGCTCAGCGACTCGTACTTCTCCGCGAGCCACTCGGGGTACTTGTCGCAGACGAGCTTCATGGGCTCGTACATGAGGTCGCGCGCGAGGAGCTGGCGCATCATGTTCTCGACGATCTGGTTGAAGTCCTCCTTCTGGCCCAGGCGCTCGAACTCGGCGATCATGTTCGTCATCATCTCGTCGCCGAACTGCTCGACCTGGGCCGTCTCCATGCCCTCCATGTCCGTGCTCGACTTGGCCAGCAGCTCCATCGTCGTCGCCACGGAGCGGTCGAGCTCGACGGCCGGCGCCTCGGACGGCGTCGCGTTCTCCGCGCGGAGCCGCTGGTCGTTCATGAACTGCTCGATGGTGCGCACGCCCTCCTCGTTGCCGCTCAGCGCGCGCAGCGTCATCGACAGCGTGTCCTTGAACGACGGGTTCCTCAAGTTCTCCACGAGCATGTCCATGTTCGCCATGGCGCCGTCGCGCATCTTCTCCTCGAGCGCCTTGTCGACGCGCAGGCTGCCCTTGTCGCCGCTCAGCAGCGACGCCACCTTGTCCTCGCTCGCCTCCTCGGGCTTCTGCGACAGGTCCTCCTCCTCCTCGAACTCGGCGATGGCGTCGTCGAGGATGGCGTCGAGTGCCGCCTCGGCCCGCGCCTTCTCTTCGGCCATCTTCCGGTCCGCCGTCGTGTTCCGCCGCGCGAGCGCCATGGGTCCACCGCGGCGGCCGCCGCCGCTGCGGGCAGCCCCAGCGCGCGTTCGAACGCCTCAACAAGAGGGGTAAAGTACCAGTTGAGTTAATGTTAACCCTAGGTTTTTATATACGACAGCCTCTCCGGCATACGCTCACTCTCCCGACGGGCAGCATCGGAAGGCCGAAGCCTCGCCCCGCCGGGAGTCGCCCTCCCGGCCGCCCGCGGTCGCCGTGGCGGCGGCGACCTGCACCTGCGTGTCGCTGGGGCAGGAGCCCCAGCCGGCGCGCGAGCGGCGCCCGTCGGTCGTCGCCTGCGCCATGAGCCGCCTGAGCACCATGGCGGCGGCCATGTCCTTCGACGAGATGCGGGACTCCCTCGCGTCGACCCCCCCCTTCGGCGGCGCCCCGCTCTGCGGCGACGGCGTCGTCGAGATCACGCGCGTCGACGGCGACTGGGACGAGGCGTCGTACGCGCGCGCGGCGGGCCTGCGAGACGCGCCGCGGTCGAGCTCGTCCCGGGACTCGTCGACCTTCGGGGACGGGTCCGACTACGAGGAGCTCCTGCGCCTCGACGAGGACAACGTCAAGCGCGGCCTCAGCGCGAACGCGATCCGACGGCTACGACGGCGCTCCGTGTCGGCGCGCGAGAAGATCGAGGACCCCATCACCAAGTGCATGATCGCGCCGGGGACCTCCGTCTTCGACCTCCCCTGCGGCCACTGCTTCGAGAAGCCCACGCTCCTCACCTGGTTCGAGCGCCACCGCACGTGCCCGGTCTGCAGGCACGAGCTCGAGGCCTGACGCGCCCCGGCGGGAAGGACGTCGCGCGCCCAGCCCTGCCGGGCGCGCCCGCCGGACCACCGCGGCGGGCCATCGACTGCCCCCGGACCTATGCGCCCACGAACACCCTAGTCTCCCTCCCGGCGTCCCCTCGGACGACGACGGCGCCGGATCTCTCCCCCGAATCTGCTCTCCCACGCCCCCGGGGGCCACCCAGTTCGGCCCCCGCCCCGTGCACCCCTCTCGCTTTTCTTTATAAGTGCTGCACCGTCCTCGCGGCGGGGGTCCGTCCTGCGCGGCGCGTCGCCGCGGACGGCGTGGATGCCGGGAAACTTCGCGGCCGAAGAAGGAATACTCCAAGGAACCTTCTTCAAGATGCCGAAGTACATGCAGACAAGTTGCCCCTAGAGCGGCGTTCCGAATGGCATCTGGGCCCAGTTCGGCTGCGTCGAGGCGCCGCGCGGAGACAGCGTTGGCCACGCGATCGTAGACGTGTCCTATTAGTGGAGCACGACCCATTTTGGGCAAAGGCGCAGCCTGGCTGGGAAACGACCGGGGCAGCCTTCCCCATGCCGAAAGCCGACGGCGAGCCGACGCTGCGGGAGACGTCGGAGAAGCAGCTCCACTTCCTCAAGGAGCGGCTCGCGGACGCGAACATCAACATCCTGGCCGCGGTCATGTGCCTGTCGGGCATGTCGAACCTCCTGAAGGAGAGCAAGCGCATGCCCCTGAACCAGCTCCTCACGCACGTCGGGAAGATGGGCACGCAGATCACGGAGATGGAGAGCGAGCTGAACGTCGTCCGCGACGACGTGCAGCGCGCGGAGACGGCGCTCACGGGCATCGAGGGGCGGACCGACAGCACGCTCGAGTCGCACGAGATCCTCGAGGACTTCGTCGACGACCAGCTCCGGCGGCGCGGCCTCGAGGACAAGCTGAAGCAGGGCCTGCTCGAGCACCGCGGCTGGACCATCGCCGACCGGCAGAAGCTCGCCGTCGAGTTGATCACCCAGGACCTCGACGCCGCGGCGGCGACGGTGACGCCCGCGGCGACGCCGGCGAAACCGGAGGCGGCGGCGGCCCGGCCCGCGGCGCCGGCGCCGGCGAAGCCGTCGCCCGAGGCGACGGACGTCGCGAACCTCGCGCACGCGGCGCGGTCGGCGACGTGCGCGGCGGCGGAGTCCTTCGCGGCGGCCGCGGCCGCCGCGGCCGCCGCGCGCGCGGCGGCGAGCGACCTCGGCCACGCGGCGCGCGCGAGCCTCCGCCGCGACGCGGCCGACGCGGAGCTCGCGACGATGACCCAGCTCCGGGACGAGGCCGTCCGCGAGGGCGCGCGCCAGCGCGAGGACGCGACGAAGCGCGCGACCGCCGCGGCCGGCGACGCCGCGCGGGAGCGCGCGGCCGCCGCGGGCGAGCGCGAAATCGCCGCGGACCGCCTGGAGGCGTCCCTCGCGAGCCACGCGGCGACGCGCGCGGCGCTCAAGGCCGCGGCCTCGAAGGACGCGCGCAACGACGCCGTCGCCGACGAGTTGGACGGCGCGCTGCGCGACCTCGCGGCCGCGCGCGAGGCGCAGGCCGCGGAGGCGCGGCGCCTCAAGGACGTCGTCGACGGCCAGACGAAGCGCGCGAGCGTGCTGACGGATCGCCTGAGGCGCGCCCTCGACCTGTCCCAGGGCCGCGAGCCCTCGGTGGCGTCGCCGGCGACGTCGGGCTCGCCCGTCGAGCGCGAGCCGCTCCGCGCGACGGTGCGGCAGGACCTGGGCGTCCGCCACGAGCGGCGGCGCATGATCTCGTCGGTCTCCGTGCCGGACCTGAGCCCGCGCCTGAGGGACGCGGCCGCCCGGCGGCGGACGACGGTCCTGAACCCGCCGCCGGAGTACGCGCACCTCCCGCCGCCGGGCGCCGAGCTCCCCTCGGAGCTCCCGGCGCCGGCGAAGCGCCGGGCGCCGCGGCGCGAGCGGCCGGGTCTGGCGGCGCCCCAGCCGCAGGACGCGGCGCCGCCGCGGCCGTCGGCCTACGTGCCGCCGATCCGCGGCACAGTGCTCCGGCAGCCGAACCGGCAGACCGCGTCCTTCCTCCAGGACCTCGGCCTCGAGTCGGGCCACGCCATGCACCTCTCCGAGACCGGCGGCCCGGGGGCGGGGTTCCTGCCGAGGATGGGCGTGCGGTAAGGAGGTGTGCCGTTTTTGCCCCGGCGACGGCTGTTGTCGACACGACCTGAGGTCGGAGAGCTGCCCGCGCGCCAGTGAGTGAGAAAGCTGCCCGTCCGCGGCGGCGCCGCCATGCTCGACACGGGCGCGCCGCCGCCCGAGGGGGACCGCAAGGGCGGCAAGATCGCGAACGTGAAGCGGAAGCTCGACCTCGGCGCCCCGGCGCAGAAGCTCCACCTCGGGCCGGCCTTCGACCGGTCCTTCTGGGAGATGCTCACGGAGTGCCACTGCGGGCCGAGCCAGACGGAGCAGGAGATCAAGCAGCTCATGAGCGAGGCGAAGCAGCCCGTCGTGCTCAACGTCTACACCGTCGGCCACAACAAGGTCCTCCAGGAGCTCAACTACGTCGTCGAGAACTTTCTGGGCGAGGGCGGCGTCTTCCACGGCGCGATCGAGGTCTGCGGCCACGAGCACTCCTTCGGCGGCTGCCGCCAGAATAGGTGCGGCATCTTCACCTGCGAGCCCAAGAAGTGCCCCATGCACACCTTCCGCGAGAGCTTCTACCTCGGCGACTGCGGCAAATCCGAGCGGCAGATCCACGACGTCCTCGAGTCCATGAAGCCCGAGTGGATGGGGCCGACCTACGACCTGCTGCGCAAGAACTGCTGCTACTTCTCCGAGGCCTTCTCCCTCAAGCTCGGCACGGGCAAGATCCCCAAGTGGGTCAACCACCTCGCGCACGTCGGCGCGATCCTCGACACGGAGTCCAAGTCCGTCATCCACGACCTCCACTCCATCGAGGACGCCGTCGAGAACGAGGGCATGGAAGTCTGGGAGTTCACCCACGGCAAGAGCGCCAAGACGGACGCGAAGTAGGGGCGCGGGCTAAAACTCGGGCCGTTTCGAACTTCAAGTAGCCCGGCAACAACTAAGTCTTGCCGCGGGCTGCTGGCCTCGGCGCGATGAGTACCCACATCATCGTCAACGGCGCGGGCAAGGCCCTGAAGATTTCGCTCACGGACAAATGGATGAAGAAGCCGTTCCGCACGAGCGTCGTCGGACCGTTCGTGACCACGTGCAACAAGAACAAAGGCACGGACCTCGCCGCGGACAAGGTCAAGGCCTGCAACGTCGACGGCGTCGACCTCGACCTCGCGGACCTCGACGCGCCCGCCGAGAGCCTCCTGAAGACGCAGCCGCACCTCGTCGTGCTCGCCTTCGACGAGGAGACGCCCGGCGACGCCGTCGCGCGCGTGTTGGCCGCGGCGGACGAGTTCGCGACGCTGGGGCTGCCCGTCGCGGCCGCGGAGACCGCGGCCGTGCGCAAGGCCTACAAGCGCGTGTCCCTCCAGGTCCACCCGGACAAGAACGCGGACCCGAAGGCCGAGGACGCCTTCAAGAAGGTCTTCAACGCCATGAAGCTGCTCGTGGACCCCGCGCAGCAGCGGGGCTGCCTCCGGAAGGCGCGCGGCGGCGACGGCGCGGGCGGCGGCGACGACCTCCCGGACGAGTTCAAGTGGTGGGCGGGCAAGTCGAGCGTCCACGAGATGGAGCAGGCCTTCCGCAACCTCGAGGAGTACCTCGACGCCAAGGGCGCGTTCGGCGAGCGCGTCGACGACAATTTGTGGGTCGAGCCGCGAGACGCGGCGGACTGCGTCTTCGTCGACGCGCGCGACGTCATGGCCTACGTGACGTCGCGCATCCCCGGGGCGCTGAGCATGCCCGGCCACACCATGGCGGAGCTCCAGGCGCTCACGCGGCACCACCCGGTCATCCGCAAGCTCGGCAACGAGAACCACAAACGCGTCGCGGTCTACAGCGACAACGGCTCCATGATGAGCCGCTGCGTCCACGTCGCGCGCGCGCTCCGCGCCGCGCTGCCGGACCCCGAGCGCGTGCGGCGGCTCCGCGGCGGGCTCAACGGCTGGAAGCGCCTCGGCCTCGACGTCCAGGGCGACGAGCGCGCGCAGTTCGCGGGCCGGGCCGCGGCGCCGGACCGCCTCACCTAACACGTTAGTCGTCGGAGTCGTCCGAGTCGGACACCGCGAGGGGCCGCGGCTGCGCGTCGGAGAGGAACTTGCGCGTGACCCAGGCCTCGAACGGGTAGCTCAGGCGGCACCGCGTCACGGACGACGCGCGCCGGCCCGCGCCCACCGTGATCTGCTCGAGCGCGACGACCCAGACCGGCGCGCCGTGGGGGAGCTCCGCCACGAACTCCGAGTCCTTCGCCGCGCCCCGCCGGAGCACGGCGCCGTTGACGACCCAGAGCTTCTTCTGCTTGCTCGCGTGCTCTTCCTTTCGTTTCGCCTGGCGGTCGAGGAACGCGCGGATCGCGGCCGCGTTCGGGTCGTCGCGCGACCGCACGACGAAGGGCGTGTGCCGGTCCGAGTCTGCTTCGTAGCCCTCGGCGGCCGCGGACGCGAAGTGGGCCCGGAGCGCGCGCGCGTCCGCGGCCGCGACGAGGCCGTCGTCGCGGCTCGCCGCGAAGACCGCCGCCGTCTGGAGCTTCGGCAGGTCCGGCGCCCAGAGCGCGTTGATCGCCGGGTCCCGCGGGAGGTAGGGCGATAAAATGATGGCGAAGCCCGCGCCGCCGGCGCCGTCGAAGGGCGCGAGCGCGTCGAAGGTTCGCCGCTCCGCCGTCGCGACGAGCGACAGCGCGACGGACCCGCCCGTCGAGAACCCCAGCACGCCGTCGAAGGGCCCGCGTTCCCGCGCAAACGCTCGGACGTGCTCGAGGATGTCGTCGTGGCGCGAGTAGGACGCGTCGTCCACGAAGCCCTCGACGAACGCGAGAACGTCCGTTCGGAGCTCGTCGTCGACCTCGACCTTCTTTACCGTGTCTCTCGCGCGGCGCAGCATCGTCCCGCCGGAGAAGAAGCTCTCGAGCTGGCGCGACAGGTCGCCCTCGCCTATCGAAGCCTTGACGCGTTGGCACAGATCCTCGCACGTCTTCCCGAGCGCGTCCGTCGTCGCCGTCGCGTCCGCGCGCGTCTCGCGCTCCTGCCACCACTCGCGGTAGGCGCCCCACGTGGCCTTCGGGAAGTTGGCGAGCACCGTGTCCTACGGGGATGGCATGTTTGCCGAAGACGCATGAAGTGGACGCCGCCTCGCACGCCGTCGATGACGCCGCGCGCCATCTCCTGCTCGTCTTTGTCGTCGCACTCGTAGACGCCGTCGATGCACACGAAGTCGACGTTGGGGAAGGCCGACGTCCAGCCCGCGGCCTGCAGCTGCGCCTTGAAGATCTTCGCGTTCGTGCGGTAGCTGTGCAGGCAGAGGACGCGCAGCTGGGCATCGAGGGCTGCCATCGTCGAGTTGGGGGGGCAACTTGGGGTGATTTCGAGCGCCGAGGACGGCTTCATCAGCGTCGAGCACGCGGAGGCCGTCTGCCTCCAGCGCTTCGTCCGGCGCTTGGGCGTCGTCTGCGCCCGCGAGAACGCGCGCCTCCGGCTCCGCGGCCTCACCTTCCTCGACACGCACGGCAAGGTCCGCCCCTACATCAAACCCTACTGCGAGCGGCACTGGCGCCTGCGCCAGGACGCCGCCGTCCACTGGCGCCTCCCGCGCCTGTGAGACCCCTCTGAGCCTCCCGTCCCCCGCGGTTCCTCCCGGGCCCCCTACGTTTAGAGACGCGTCAAGGTGATTTTGACCTCAAACAGCCTCGAGGCCTCCCAAGCCGACATGACTCAGTCCACGATGTCCTCGACTTGTGCCGCTTTTTGCGTGCTGTTTGCGACCTCCAGCGCCCTCAGCGTCGCTCGCACCAATATCGCTCGCCCACACCAACGAATCGCCAGCGCTTTGCGCGCAACGGAGGAGTGCGTGCCGCTGGAGCTCGACTCCGGCGACGCGCTCTACTCCAAGTGGGGCGTCTGCGTGGAGGAGCAGACGTCCTTCAAGAGCGGCGGCCTGCGCTTCAACGTCAACGACGACAACAGCTACGTCGTCGACACGATCCAGAACGTGGTGCTCACGCGCGCGCCGGGCCTCGGCGTCGAGCTGCTCGAGGTCGCGAACAACGGCGAGGGCGTCGGCATCGTCGTCGTCGAGGGCACGGTGCCGGGCACGTCGGCCGCCGACGCGGACCTGCGGCAAGGCGACTGCATCGGCTCCGTGGGTCCGCCCGGCGGGCCCTTCGTCAACGTCGAGGCGCGCGACTGGGACGGCCTCGTGGAAGCGCTCGGCGACGTCGAGGGAGACCGGGTCGAGTTGGTCGTCAAGCGCCTGGCGAAGGCGCCCGTCGTCAACGTCGTCGTCAAGTACCCGAACGATTCGGAGCCCGAGGAGACGATCCAGCTCATCGCGGGCGAGAACCTGCGCCAGGCGCTGCTGACGCGCCGCGTCAAGCTCAACGACCCGCTCGCGCGGCGCTTCGATAGCCAGTCCACGGGCGGCGACTGCGGCGCCGACGGCACGTGCTGCACGTGCGCCGTCGCCGTCCTCGACGGCGCGGAGCTGATGAGCCCCCAGAAGACGCAGGAGCGGCAGATCATGAAGACGCTCAACCACCCGCGGTTTCGTCTGGCGTGCAAGGCGCGCGTCGGCAAGGACCTGGAGTTGAACCAGCAGGGGAACCTCGTCATCCGCGTGAACCCGCGGCAGCACGAGGCGTGAGGTAAGGGACGTGTGAGGCGTCGTGTGGATAGAGGATGCTGTGTGAGGTGGCGAGCTCGCTTGTGGACATGGTGAAAGGCTTGCGACACGATGATAGCGGTGATCGCGCTCTTATTGACATCTGTCGCCGCATCAAACACCTCGTACACGTTCCTCGTGGCCGCCACGGCCCGGCCCTTCGAGCGCCTCGAGGAGCTGGGCAACCGGTCGACGGCGCCGGGGGCCTTCCGCTTCCCGGGCGAGCACCATTATCACCGAGATGATGAATTTCCCACTAACATACGCACTTTGTGCGCGACGGGACGCCCCTTCGTGTTCGCCGTCGGCGACGCGCACGAGGCGTCGCTCGCGCGGCCGCTCTGCGCGACCGCGGACGTGCGCGTCGTCGCGGCGCCGGCGCCGGCCGGCGAGTCGACGAGCCAGGCGCACACGCGGCGGCGGCGGCGCTTCAAGCTGACGGCCATCGCGGAGACGGCGCGGCGCTTCGACCGCGTCGCCTACCTCGACGGCGACGCCGTGCTGCGGCCGGGCCGCGACGGCGCGCTCGCCGACGCCTTTGGCCTGATGGCGGCGGCGAACGCGTCGCTCGGCCTCGTAAAAGACCCGACGTGCCACAATCACGCGCACCTGGCGGCCGCCGCCCGTCACAAGTCCAAGGCAGCAAAAAAAAGCGACCGCGAGGCCTACGACCGGCGGTTTAACGAGCCGGCGGCGCGTTACCCCCGCGGCGATCCCAGGTATTCGCGTCACTCTCGCGAGGCGCCGACGTCGCGGCACGCGCATGCCAAGAGTCCGAGAACGCAACGCCGCGCGCTGGACGACGCGATCGGAGCCGCGGCGGCCGCGGCGGGCGCCGTCGGCCAGCGCGTTGCGGACCTCGAGGCGGCCTTCGAGGCCGCGGACGCCGTCGTCCGCGACGGTAGGCTCCGGGCCGCGGCGGCCGCCGAGAAGCTGCGGGCCGCGCCGGACGACTTCAGCGACCGGAACGGCGGCGTCGTGCTCGTCGCGGGCGCGGGCGGCACGGCGCGCGCGCGCGAGTGGCTCGACGGGTTCGAGGCGCGCCCGGACCCCCGCGGCTACGACGAACCCAGCCTTCGCGCCGTGCTCTGGCGCCGCCGCGGCGAGCTCTACGACCTGCCGAACATCTACAACTGCCGCGAAGGCAACGTCCCGGAGGCGGAGCGGGACGCGCGCGTCGTCACGCACGGCATCCACTGGGACCGCGCGACTCCATCATCGCCTACGAGCACACCGCCGCCGAATCGACCTCCCCGCGAGCGAACGCGACCGGCAATCGCGCCGCGCGCGTCGTAGCTCGTATGTGTTTCTCTTATGGACAGCGTCCCGTAGACGACGCGGCGTGGATAGGCTCGTGGTGTTGTTCCGCGGGCATGGGTCGTCCGCGGGTCTAGCCGCGGACGAGGGAGGCGCGCTCCTCGGCGGACTTGGACGGCTTGCCGAAGAAGCAGCAGCAGATGCTCTCGCTCGGGCGGCGCGCCTTGTCCATGGACACGATCTTGTCGAGCTCGGCCTTGCGCGCCTTGTTGAGGCCGGCGACCCACTCCTGGGCGAGCTCGCGGCTGTCGGCGCGCATCATGTAGCCCGGGTGCTCGTTGTCCGCCGACTCGGGGACGATGAGGAAGAGGCCGTCGAAGTCGCCGCCGTCGACGACTTTGATCTCGCGCGTCTTCCGGAGGTCCAGCATGTTCATGACCCGCGCCGACGGCGTGTCCGTGGGGCACGCCTGGTACGAGTACCTGGGGGGGGCGGTCGCGTGAGACGGGGGGCGGGGCGCGGTTCCCCCCGGCGGTCGCCGTCCGTACGGAAACTCGGCGCGAATCTCGGGACGCCGCCGCGCGCAGGACGTGCCTATTCACCTCGAGCCAGCGGCGCACCCATTTGTCGCTGTTCTTGACTTTCCGGCGGACCCACCCCGCGACCATCCTGCCACTTGGAGTTGAGATGCGGAGATCCAAACGAGATCTTTTCGCACCTGTCGCCGACGACCGCGAATGCCACGGACGGGAACGAGTGGGCGGCCGAGGCGCCGAGGGAGATGTTACGGTGGATCGTAGAGTACCACCGGCGCACACCGCGACCGAGGGGCGCGATGCGTGGGCGTGGAACGGCGTAGATGGCCGATCGGCGAGGAGCCTCTATTTGAGCTGGGGCACCGAGCACTTGTGGCGATGTTGGACTAGTTATTGAAGGGGGTGCGCACCGAAGACCCCGCCCGGAGGCTCAGACGGAGGCGTAGCCGGGGGGTTGGCGTTCCCACACCGGCCCCTTCCTCCGACCCAAAGATCGCGCGTGCACTCGGATCGGAGGTGTGGCGGCGGTACACTCGCGCCAAGCCTGGTACCGACCGCCACGCCGAGAGCACGCCGGGATTGGCGCAAGGCAGTAGCATCCTGAGTCGCCTCATTCAGACGACACTCAACGGACTCTCCGTGGACCGGGGGAGATTGAGAACGAAGGCACTCGCACGCAACGAGCAGGACGTCCGGCTCGACTAGGCCGATTCAACCCCGGGGACCACGAATGGAGGCCGAGGGCACCGCCGAAGAGGACACCCGTAGTCAGCGGGACCGAAGAGAGCAAAGACGCCGACGTCGACGGAACCGCACAGAGCGCCACGCTACGAGGAGACGCTGCAGAATGCAGAGAAACGAATGGACACGGGCACATCGAAGCCCGCACACCGAAGCCACCGAGGGCGCCGACCCCACCAGCCCCCTCCGAGACTCACGTCGAAGGCATCCGAACGAAGCGAGCGCGCGCGGCAGCCCCCCGGGCCCGTGGGCGACGTCGCGCCGATGGCCAAGCCCTGCAAGTCCTCGCGCTCGGCGCCCCGCCGCCCAATCGACGCGCGCAGCGGAGTGCTCCGCCCCGGGCGCCCATCGGAGCCGACGCGGCGGGCCCCACCACCGGCCGCTGCGCGAAACCACCTCTGCGCACCCCGGAGAGCCGCCCCATAAGCTTCGGCGTTATCATTGTCATGTTGCCTTTGGCATGATGTTGCGGGCAACGACGGGCCGCGATGAGAATCTGCGATGAGATGATGCGATGAGGCTGCCCGTCGCGGTGGCGCTCCTCCTCGCAGCCTGCCGCGCAGCGATGAGGCTGCCCGTCGCGGCAGCGCTCCTCGTCGCAGCCTCCCGCGCAGGCGATGATGTCGCAACCCTCGTCGTGCATCCCATGCACGGCCTGAGCAACCGCGTGCTGGGCATCGTGTCGACCATGCAGCTCGGCGCCCTGCTCGACGCCAAAGTCCTCGTCGACTGGCGCATGGACGACAGCAAGTTCATCGGCGCGTCCATGCGCGAGCTCTTCAACATGAGCGAGCTGCCGGCCTTCGCCGGGCCCTTCCGGCGCCAGCGGCTCAACCGGCCGCGGAGCGACTGGGACGGCGCGTGCGCCGGCTACTACCGGCAGCGGCGGTCGGGCTGGCACACGGCCGGCGGCGGCGGCGGCTTCGCCGGGCCGGACCCCGCGGCGGCGTTCCTCGACTACATGGCGACGCGGGCGCCGCCCTGCAACGACACGGCGCTCGCCGAGGCGGGCCGCGCGGGCAAGCGGCGGCGCGCGCCGGTCGTCGCGCGCGACGGCTGCGGCGCGCACTTCGACGCGGAGGCCGCCGTCGGCACGTGCGCGCGCGCGGGCGCGACGGACCGGATTTTGGGTTTGTCGCTCTGGTCGAGCGTCGTGCCGCTCAACGGGTCGTGCGCGTACGCGTTCCTGCCCGCGACGCGCGAGACGCTCGGCCTCGTCCGGTGGCTGCCGCCGTCGACGCTCGGCGTCCACGTGCGCCGGGGCAACCTCGACGCCGCCTGGGCGCGGGCGACGGACGCCGAGTGGTTCGACGCCGTCGACGCGGCGCTGGCGAAGCGGGGGCTGGAGCACGTGTTTCTCGCGTCCGACGACGGCCGGCTCCACGAGACGTTCGCGGCGCGCTACGGCGACACCCTCCTGCCCCGCTTCGAGGACTTACCCTCCTCGAAGCGCGTCGCCGTCGCCGGGGCCCGCGGCGTGCCGCGGGGCGACGACGGCCACCGGCGGGGCCATTTGTGGAGCCGCGACGGCAACGTCGTCTCGCTCGCGGAGCAGCTGAGCCTCGGGTCCGCCGACGCCGTGCTCGGCACCTGGGGCAGCACCTTCTCGAGCGTCGCCGCGGCCTGGTTCGACCGGCCCGTCGACTACGTGCCGGCGCCGCGCGACGCGGCCTGCGTCGCGTCCGAGGCCGAGGCCGCGGCGTGCCCGTGGCGCGGCAAGGCCCACTACCCGACGGCCGAATCATCCTGGCGCTTCGGCGCCAAGTGCCCCGAGCTCAACGCCGCCGTCGAGCGGCGGCGGCGCGGCGAACCCGCGCGGCTCGACGTCGCCGCCGCGCGGCGCCGCGCGGGGCTCCCCGCGGGCGCGGGCGCCGACGCGCCGCGGCGCCGACCGCGCCGCAAGCGGCGGCCCTGGCTCGGCTAGGCCCTTGTTTTTAGACGGCCGCGTTAATCGACGACAGCTGGCTGTCGTAGGGCAGGGACCCGTCGCAGGCGAAGGCCTCGACGCAGCGCCGCTGCGTGAAGCCCGCGAGCTCGCGGAGCGTGAGCGCGGCGAACATCTTGGCCGTGTGGACGCTGCCGTGCTTGGATTTGACGACCTCGTTCGCCGCGACGGGCGACACGTAGGCCGCCTCGCAGCCGAGCGTGTAGAGCAGCGCCTTCCGCGCGAGCGCGGCCGCGAGGAAGTTGTTCTTGCAGCCTCCGAGCACGCAGGCGTAGAGCGGGCCGCCCGGGAGCGTCTTCCGCCGCGCGGACGCGAGGCCCGAGAAACTGACCATGATGCCGCCCATGAAGTCCTTCAAGACCCGCGGCTCGTCGCGGTCGTCGTCGAAGCCCGAGACGACGCTCAGCGGGCTCGCGGCCGTCAACAGGCGACAGGCCTCGGCGTCCGCCTTCAACGCCTTGTAGAACTCCGACAACTTCCCCTTGACGGAGAAGGCGACAAACGCCGTGGGGACGCAGTCGTCCAATCGCAAATCCGGCAGCCAGGGCGCGTCGTCGCCTACGAAGCGCGTCGGTGACGATCTTCCGGTCACATCTCTCGAAACGTGTCACGGGACGCCGGTCGTCGCTCAAAGGCGGCGCCTGCTTCAAATTCGCGGACTCGTACTGGAGCGAGCAGTTCGGGTTCTCTCGCCTCATGGTCTCCGCGTAGTGAGTCGCGGCGCCGTTGAGCAGCTTCTGTTTCGTGACGTCTTCCAGCTTGCGGAGCGTGCCGGCGTTCGCGCTGCCGACGTAGGCGACGTGTATTTCTTTCGCGTCGAAGGCGTCCATGCGCCGCCGCACGTGACGGAGGCAGCCTCCCACGTCGCCGCCCGACTCGAGCCAGGAAACGCGGAGCATCTCGACGGTCAGATTGAAGATCGGCGCCTCCGCCGGGGGCTTCTCGGGTCCCGCTTTCTCGGGCCCCGCCGCCGCCGCCGCCGCGGCTTTGCAGGATTTTTTGTGCGTGCACCAGTCCTTCTTCTGACAGTCGACGGAACAATAACTCACACTCTTGCAGCGCGAGCAGCGGCTCTTCCACGCGCCCTCGGCGCCGCAGCCCGCGCAGAGCACCATGAGGACGCGACGATCGACGCGTTCGCGGCTCGGCGCGTTGCGGCGGACGGCGTCGCGGGCGGCGCCACACTGTGGGGGCAGCTCAACAGAGGACACATTGAACAACAAGTTGAATTAGACGACGTCCCCGGCCGCGGACATGCGGATCTTGTGCTTCTGGGCGAGGACGCGCTCCCGGTCGTTGCCGACGCTGCTCCGCCGGCTTCCTTCTTTCGACGACTTGCGGCGTAGGGACTCGTACTCGCCGCGGAGGATCCGGATGGCCTCGCGGACGCGGTCGGCCTGGGCCTCCGTGAGCGGGGGCTCGAGCGCGGCGACGAAGTCGAGGAGCTCCTTCGGGAGGCTCCGCGCGCGGGGGCTCGAGCCGTCCTCGCGGATCTTCGAGTTCCGCTCGGCCAATTTCAGCACGATCCCGATCTCCTTGCGCTGCTCGTCGACGTCCAAATGCGCCAATTGGTGCATCGGCGACTCGCGGACGGACTTGCGCTGCATGGGGTCGACGTGCGCGTAATGGTCCTCGAGCTCGATGCCGTCCGGGTCCGGCTTCGGCGGGCCGCTCGGGGACGTCGTCCGCCGGCCGAGGTTCAGCGACGACTTGAGCTCCATGAGCGACATGCGGACGGATTCGCGCGCCTTGCGCGCGGCGTCGAAGAGGCTCTTCTTCGCGCCCTCCATGCCGAGGTTGCTGCGCAGCACGAGCACGGCGGAGACGATGCCGACGACGAGCTCGACCGCGTGGACGCCCACCGCGAAGCAGAGGAACGCGTCGCGCGGCGTCGGGCTCTTCAGCGACGCGAAGAGCGCCGCGAGCGCGCCGCAGACCATGGTGCCGACGCCGCAGACCACGAGGAGCACGCGCACGCGCCGCTGGAGCTGCAGGACCTTGTCGCACTTATTTTTCGCCGCGAGCGCGTCGAGGCGGGTCACGAGCCGGAGGCCGAAGACGACGTAGGCGACGCCCTCGACGGACGCCGCGGCGGCGTACACCATCAGAGCCGTCCGCGCCGTCGCTCCGGCGCTCAGCCGGCGCACGGGCGCGCCGAAGACGAGGCCCGCGAGCGCCGCGCAGTTCAGGACGAGGAAGCCGACGTTGAAGGCGACGAACGCCGAGAGCGCGCGGCCCTTGAGGTTGACCGCGCGGCTCGGCTTGGAGCCCTTCGTCTGGGGCAGCTGCCACCAGTAGAGGCAGACGGCGCTCAACGCGCCTAGATACACGGGCGTGCCCGCGTCGTGGAGCGTGATCAGAGACGAGTCGAGCTCGCGGCAGACCGTGTTCTCGCGGGGCCCCACGGCGACGGCGCCGTAGTAGGCGCCCCGCATCAACCCCAGGCACACGAACGCAACGGCGACGCGGCCGTTGACCGTGTCGATGGACTTGGCGGCGCTGCGCCAGCCCATGTGCCGGTGGTCGCGCCGGTATTCGAGCACGGGCCCGACGACGCGGCGGAAGCCCCAGGCGAAGACCGTGCCCCAGGCCGTCGCGGCGGCGACGACGAAGGCGCGGTAGGCCGCCGACGCGTAGAGCGCCGCGCCCGGCTTGCGCCTCAGGGCCGCGCAGGACGACTCGCCGTGCGCGAGCGCGGCGACGGCGAACGACGACAGGTGCGTCGACGCGCAGCCCTTCTCGACGGGCGTCAGCCCCCGCGTGGACCAGGCGTCGCCGTCCCAGAACACGCAGGTCCCCGCGCCCGGGAGCTCGAGCTTGACGGGGTGCTCGAGGTCCGCGACGGCGACGACGGAGCCCGTGCCGTCGTCGACGACCTCGACCTCGAGCTCCGGCCCGGCGAGGTTGCCCGTCGCGGCCCGCGGCGACGCGCGCCAGACCGTGGCGCGCACCTGCTTGACGTGGCCCGGCCCGCCGAGGGCCTCGAAGGGCACGGCCGCGGACGCGTTCTCGCGCGCGAAGAGCAGGAGCGTGGGCTTCCCGGCGGTGTCCAGATCGTCGACGTCGACGAGGGCGACGCGCGCGACGACGGCGGACGCTTCGAGCTCGGTCGACGTCTCGCCGGGCGCGAGCGTCGCCGCCGTCTGGTCCAGGAGCTCGTCCTCGAGCGCGTAGACCTCCGCGGCCGCGCCGTCGTCGCCGTCGCCCGCGGCCGCGACGACGACGGCGGAGAGGCCCTCGAGCACGCTCGTCGCCGTCTCGGCGCTCAGCGCCCCGGACGCCGCCGTCGCCTCGAGCACGGCCGCCTCGACGCGCAGCGTCTCGTCGCGCGTCGACGCCGAGAGCGACTGGCCGGCCACGAGCGCCTCCGCGTCCGCGGCGGCCGCGCCCGCGGCCTCGAGGCAGGAGCTCGCGTTGCCGCCCGCGCAGGTGTGTTCCAGCGACGCCGCCGTGTCGTTGAGCAGGGCGACGAGCTCCTCGTCGCTCAGCGTCGGCGCGGCGCTCGGCGCGGGCGCGGGCGCCGCCGACGGCGCCGCGACCGTCGGCGACCCGGCCGCGAACGGCGCGAGCGTGGGCCCGGGCGTCGGCGCCGGCGTCGGCGCGGGCGTGGGCGCGGGCGTCGTCGGCGCGGGGCTCGGCGGGAGCGACGGCGCGGCCGTCGGCACGGACGTCGGCGCGGCCGTCGGCGCGGCCGTCGGCGCGGCCGTCGCCGCGAAGCAGAGCTCGAAGTTGCCCGGGCACGCGCCGACAGTGTTGGGCGCCCGGCAGGTGCTCCCGAAGGCCGACACGCAGAGGGCGCCGTCCTGGGGCGCGGCGCCGCTGACGTAGGCCGTGCAGTTGCAGAACGCGCCGAGCGTCTCCGGCGACGGCGCGCGCGTCGGCGAAAGCGACGACGATGGCGACGACGAGATCGACGGCTTCGGCATCGGGGCCGGCGTCGGCAGCGCCGTCGGCGTCGCCGACGCCGACGGGTCGCAGGAGTCGCAGGCGCCGTCGCCGCAGCAGCTCGCGACGTAGCGGTCGCAGACGGCGCTGCCTAGAGGGAAGTCGCCGGGGTAGTAGCAGCCCTCGCAGCCGCCCGCGAAGGACCCCTCGGCGTCGTTGTTGCAGAACTCGCCCGCGCCGCAGTCGGCGTTTGCGTTGCAGAGGATCCACAGCGTCGGGTTCGGCACGTCGACCGACGGCTCGGGCGTCGGCGACGGCGTGGGCTCGGGCGAGGGCTTGGGCGTCGTCGGGTGGTGCGTCGGGTGGCGCGTCGGGAGGCGCGTCGGGAGGCGGGTCGGGGGCCAGGTCGGGTGGAGGCTCGGCGCCGGCGCCGATTCGCACTCGTTCGCGTAGGATTCGACGACCGAGTTGTCGTAGAGCGCGGCCAAAACGTCGACGTCGGCGTCGCCGTCGAGGTCCACGGGCGTCGCGGCGCCGACTTCGCCCGCGCCGGACCGGAGCGTCGTGCCGGACCCCCAGTCCTGGTCCGCGAGGACCGTCGCCGTGTCCGTCTCGTAGACGCGGACGAGGCCGCCGACAAAGGCCGCGGCGACGACGTCGAGCGTGCCGTCGCCGTCAAAGTCCGCGACGTCGACGTCGACGGCCATGTCCATGTCGCGGTCGACGACCTGGGCCGCGCCGACGGAGGCCGTCGTCGCGCCCCGGAAGTACTTGACGCTGTTGTCGCCGGAGCTCGCGACGACCAAATCCGTGAGGCCGTCGCCGTCGATGTCCGCGGGCACCGCGCGGTAGACGCTGGACACGGCCGACGTGAGCGAAACGCCCGCGTAGCCGGCGCCGTTTCGGCCGTAGAGGGCCACGACGCCCGCCTCGCCGGAGACGACGTCGACGTCGCCGTCGCCGTTGAAATCAAAACCGCAGACGCTCCGCGGCGACGACGCCGACGTGCTGATGTCGAACTGGACGAAGGACTCGGCGCCGTCGTTGACCCAGAGCGCGAGGCTCGCGTCGCCGGTGACGTCCGCGTGGAGCGCGTCGACGTCGCCGTCGCCGTCGACGTCGATCGCGGAGACGTCGTAGACGTAGCCCCCGGCGCCGAAGATCTGGTGCGCGTACCAGTCGATGCCCGAGCCGTCGGGCCTCTGCTCGTACCAGGTCACGTCGTTGTCGTTGTAGCTCGCCGAGAGCGCGTCGACGTCCGCGTCGCCGTCGACGTCGATCGCGAAGACGCTCTGCGCGCCGTCGACGCTGTCGGAGACGACGGACGCGCGGAACCCGCTCCCGGCGTTGTTCGCCTCGTACCAGACCACGGACGACGACGCGTACTCCGCCGTCAGCAGGTCGACGTCGCCGTCGCCGTCGACGTCGAGCGCGACGACGTCGCGCGGGCCCGCGGCGGCCGTCTCGACGACGGGCGCCGCAAAGGCGACGGGGCTGCAGATGTCCGCCGACGGCCTCGCCGTCGGCGAGAAGCTTGCCGTCGGCGACGGCGTGAGGCCCAGGGTCAGCGCCGTGTAGAGCTGGGCCACGGACGAGGACGTGAGCGACTCGTTGAAGACGTAGAACTCGTCGAGCGCCCCGTGGAACTCGTGCGTGCCCGTGTCGCGGTTGCCCATGCGCAGCGCCGTGGACGTGCCCGTGTCGAGGACCTTCGTCGCCGATTCCAGGAGGTTCCCGTCGACGAAGAGCTTCCAGATGCCGGCGCCGCCCGCGTACGTGAGGCAGTAGTGGTGCCACTTGCCGTCCGCGACCGTCGGCGCGTCCACGGCGACGTCGCCGCCGTCGTAGAACTGGACGCTCACGTAGGCGGGGGCGCCGGCGTTCTCCGTGCGCAATCCGAACTCGCGATCCGTCTCCGCCGCGCCGTAGTAGAACATGACGCCGTCGTCGAACTGGTCGATGTCCGCGAACAAGCAGAAGGATCGGTCCGCGGACCCGCCGAGCGCCGCCGTCACGGCCGCGGGGAAGACGATGTCGTCGTCGATGACGCCGCCGTCGTCGTCCCAGTTGCCGCCGAAGCTCATGGCGTAGTCGCCCCGCTCCGTGAAGACGGGCACGTAGTTGGCGGCGGTCCCGTGCCACTCGTTGGGACCCGTGTCCGCGGCCGTCTGGTCGTCGAAGGTGTAGGCGGCGATCATCGACCTGGTTATCTGGTCGCCACGGGTCGACGCGACGCCGAGCGCCACCAGGAAGGACCTGCGGCCCATTTGGCTGGGCAGGAAGGACTTGCGGCCCATTGGTGGGCTGCCCCGTTCTTCAACTTGGCTATTTGAGGAGTTGTTGACGCGCGACCTTGAACTTGGTTCCGCTTTCCAAGCTTTCCTGGCGCAACTCGGCGCTGGGCAGGCGCGGCAGCCCGCATAGCAGCAGCCTCATCCGCGTCTCGCTTGCATCAGCGCAGCAGTAGGGCAGCCTCGCCTTCCTCTCTTGCATCCGACAGCAATAAAGCAGCATCGCGCAGCGGCAGCCTTTGATAAAAACCATGAGCACTCGCAAGGTCGTCACGTTCCATCGCGAGATCGTCGAGAACGACGACCTCAACCCGAGCTGGTCGCCCAAGACGCCGCGGCGGCGCATGCGCGACTTCAAGGCGTCGACCTCGGCCGTCGTCTCCACGGCGCCGAAGTCGCCCAAGGCCGGCGGTTCCGGCGCGAAGCCGTACGAGTCGTTCCCGCGCCGGTCCGAGGCCGTGGCGACAGGGCCGAAGCAGCGCGACACCGGTTTCGTTTCGCTGCTGCGAAAGTTGTGCCGCTCCGTGCTCTGGTCGCCGGAGGACGGCGCGGCGTCGCCGCGGGCAAGTCCGCGGCCGTCTCTCGGCTTCGCGCGCGGCTCGCCGCGGTCGCTCCAATCGCCGCGCTCGCCGACGTCTCCCTCGCCGCGCATCTCCCTCCGCGACATCTGGGAGCCGACGTCGCCCTGAACCTGGCCGGTAGTTCGTTAGGATAAGCCGCTCGGGTCCGCCCTCGGAACGAACTGCGCGGGCAGCGCCTCGACGTCGTCGGGCTGGTACGACGTCGGCTGGTAGCGGAGCGAGATGCCGTTGACGCAGTGCCGCGCGTCCGTCGGCGACGGGAAGCCCTCGCCCTTGAAGACGTGCCCCAGGTGGCCCTTGCACTTGGCGCAGACGATCTCGACGCGGTAGCCGTCGACGTCGGGCACCTCCTCGATGGCGCCGGGGACGCCGTCGTAGAACGCGGGCCAGCCGCAGCCGCTGTCGAACTTCGCGCGCGCGTAGTAGAGCTCCGCGCCGCAGCCGGCGCACTCGTAGGCGCCGAGCTGCGGGTACTTCGTCCCGAAGTCCTTCTTGAGCTCGTGCTCCAACTCGCCCTCGGTCGTCTCCGAGAAGCCCGCGGGCTCCGTCGCTTTATTTCGTAAAACCGCGAACTGGTTCGGGCTGAGCTCCGTGCGCCAGCCCTCGTCGTCCGCGGGCATGTCGCCGCCCGCTGCGAGCGCGCGGCCGACGAGGCGCGTCGGCTTGGCGCGCGGCGCGAACGCGCGGACGCCGCGCGCGAGAAACGCGACTGCGAGCATGGATCGCATATAAGTGGAGCTTTTTTGTGCGACGAGCGCGAGCCGCCTGTAGGACGATTGGAGCGGAGGAGCGCGAGGCTGTACGGCTTGTGACGCGTACGCTGCCTCGACGGGGGCTCTCGACGACCACGACAGACCAAGGACTCGATTGATCGGAGAGCAAAGGCATCTTGACGGCATCATCCAACACGTTGAAGGCGATCATCATTCACGATGGTCGAGTGAATTAGGCTGCCCGAAACGATGGCGTCGCGCCGCGCGACATTCCTCTTCGCGTCGTGCCTCGCGCTCGAGCGCTCGGACCTGCAGCTGCTGGCGCTGTCGAGCACGCTGGCCCTGTCCGGCCTCGGCGTCAAATTCATCCTCGGCCCGGCGCTCGTCGACGCCGCGCCGCCGCCGGCGTCGGGCTACGACGCCGAGCTCGCGGCGCACGTGCGGCGCTGCGCTTCGGAGCGGCGCGAGACGGCCTTCTGCTGGATGGCCGACGCGTCGCGCGTCGACGGCGGCTGCTCGTTCGCCGCGCGGCCGGGCCTCCTCGACGGCGGCGGCGCGGCGGCCGCGGGCCCCGCGCTCGCGCTGCGCTTCGACGGCGGCCGCGCCTGGACGGCGGAGCCGCACACGCTCAACGCGTCGGCGGCCTTCGCCGCGAAGCCGCGGCTCTGCGCCTTCGCGGACCCTTCGCTAGGGCCGCGCGACGTCGCTCCGGCGGTCCTCGTCGTCGCCAACGACCTCGAGTACCTCTTCCGCCTCTGGCCCTACTTCGTCAACAAGATCTTATGGGCGTGCGTGACTTTGTCGTTTCTTTTGTGACGCTCCTCCGCGCAGGCGGTCCGCGCGTTTCCGGCTCTCGGTCTGGGTCGGCGAGCTCCCGCCCGTCGTCGCCAACAAGTAAGGCGTCGCGTCTTCCGCGCCGCCGAAACGACACGCCTAGGTACAGCCGCGAGTGCCGCCAGTCGCGGCAGAAGCAGGCCCAGCGCGGGCACCGGCGTTTGGCGAAGTCGTTCTACACGGGCGCCGCCGACGCCGCGAACAGCAACCACCACATCAAGATGCGCGGCGCCGCGGCGCGTGGAGACCGCGGGCGCTCGTTACGTCCTCCCGCGCAGGCTCGCGGCCTACGCGCTCCTGAACGACGCGCGCGTCGACGGCTTGTACTTCATCGACATGGACGCGTACGCGCCGCCGGAGGCCTTCGGCGTCGTGCCGCCGCTCTTCGCCGCGGCCCACGGCGACGGCCGCGTCGACGTCCTCTTCGAGAACGCGCGGGACCCGCGGACCTTCTGGCACATCCACGGCGACACGTTCTACCTGCGCGACGCGCCGCTCTCGCGGCTGTTCCTCCGCGAGTGGATCACCTGGCGCTGCGGCTTCAAGGACCAGTACAGCCTCTGGCACGCCGTCCTGGTGCGTGCGCTTTTCTTTTTTCATCCGCCGACGTGTCCTTCGCGTAGTCGCTCGCGGGCCGCGCGGGCTGCCTCCGCTACGCCGACGAGATCTTCGTGAACATGACCTACCAGGAGGCGCTCCACGTGGACCTGCCGCGCTTCCCGAACCTCGCCCTCTCCTGCGCCGGCCGCCTCGCGGCCTGCCCCGAGCGCGCCGCCGCGTTGTTTCCCGGAGGCGCCGCGCGGGACCGAGGCCCCGCAGGTTCCGCTTCTGCGACGACAGATACAACATCACGCACCAGCTCTGGCGCCACCGGGGCATCTCCGCCAAGGCGACGCGCGCCTACGCCTACGCCGCCGGCGGCGCGACCCGGGAGGTCCTCGTCGGCGACATGCTCCGCGCGGACAACGGCACCGCCGGGGACCTCCTCGCCGCGCTCGGCCTCGCGCGCGCCGACGCCGCGACCTGGCTCGGCGTCGTCGTCTAAGGCGAGTTACGCGGCGCGACGCTCCTACTGCTTGACCTGCATCCAGCCGCCCTTGACGAAGTACGCCGCGACCGTCGCGGCGACGACGGCCATGACGAAGCCCTGCCTCACGGCCTCGTCCGCGGCCGCGTAGGGCTCGAGCGCCTGCGGCAGGTGCGCCCGCGCGGCGACGGGGATGAGGTCCCGCCGCACGACGACGAGCGTCACGGACACGAGGCAGGCGCAGTAGGCCGCGACGCGCAGCATCTCCAGCACGCCTTTCACGCCGACGCCCATGGTTGTTTCGCTGCGGTTTTTCGCTGCGGCGCGATGCGCAGCAGTGCGAGCAGCTCTTGGAGCGGGTGGCGTGCACTCGCGCGACCGGTCGCGGCGACGCGCGGCGGTTGTTGACGTCGAGAGCGTCGCGGTCGCCGCAGTCGTCGACTGCGAGATCGAGGACACCGCGCGTTTACCCCCGGCCACGCGTTTCCGACCGCGCGCCGCGCGCGCCAGCCCTGGGGCAACGGGTTCGTTAGGTTGCGAGCCTGTCCTGCCCGCGTCCACGGGAATCCTCCTCGGAACCTCGAGCGACGGCTGAGGGGCGGTGGGAGCGGTGCCGCCTCGGCCGGAGGCCTGCGCCGCGTCTCGCCGCGGCAGCGAGCGTGAGAACGAGAGGCGCCTCGAGGCGAGCATCAACATCCTCGGCGCGCGCCCCACACCGCCGCCCCCATCTTTCGACGACAAACAAGAACGCGTGCCCCGCGCGCCGCCCCCCGGTCCTCGACGACCACCAAAAAACCATGGGCGCCTGCTGCTCGCAGAAGAGCAGGCGGGAGGTGCTCACCCAGGCGCGGGGCGACTACGTGCACGCCGCCGAGGCCGTCCAGAAGGCCATGGAGCCCCCTAGCACGTCCGTCACGCAGGACATGACGCTCCCCCTGACGCACTACTACATCAACGCGTCGCACAACACGTACCTCGACGGGGACCAGCTCGCGTCGCGGTCGACGCCCCTCGCCGTCGCGCGCGCGCTCCGCCTCGGGTGCCGCGTCGTCGAGCTCGACTGCTACGACCACGAAGGCACGGTCGCGGTCACGCACGGCGGCACGCTCACGACGCACTGCGCCTTCGAGGTCATGGTCGAGGCCATCCGGGACAACGCCTTCGAGGCGTCGGCCTACCCCGTCATCGTCACGCTGGAGAACCACTGCAAGGCCGCGGGCCAGTCGATCATCGCAAAGACGCTCCGCGACGTGCTCGGCGACGCGCTGTACACGCCGACGCCGGGCGACGCCATCTCGCCCGCGTTCCTCGAGGGCAAGGTCGTCGTCCGCGACAAGCAGGGCAGGACAAGAGAGCGAAATTCCAAACTTCAAAGCCTCATATCTCGGCCGTTTTCCACTCGTTTTGGCTGATTTTTGGACGAGCGATCATCTCTCGGAGCGCTCTCGAAGCGTGGGTGCTTTTTCCGGAACGCGCGCGCGCGGAACACTCACGTTGAAGCGACGTTGAATCACCCTTGTCCTGCCCAGGCGACAAGCCTAAGGACGACCACAAGGCCGACGACGCGGACCTCAAGGCGGCGAAGCGGCCGAGCTTCTTCCAGTCGGCCGCGTCGTACGTGGGCGGGAGCCCCGGGAGACGCCCCCCCCCGAAGAAGGCCGCGGCGTCGCGCCCGCTGGCCAACCAGGCCAAGTCCCTCGAGCGCCTCCTCGAGACGCGGAAATCGCTCGGCGAGGGTTCGACAAAGTTCGCGGCCGGCGACGCGGAGCGGGTCGCGGCGTCGGGCCTCAAGTCGCTCATCCTCATCCACAACGTCAAGACGACGCGCGACGGCGCGGGCCACCTCACGGACACGGCGGCGCGCGTCGGCGAGGCGTCGGCCGCGCCCGCGCTCGGGTCGAGTTCCTGGAGCGAGGCGAAGCTCAAAAAGCACGCGAGGGCGTCGCCCGCGGAGCTCGCGGACTGGTGCCGCACGTCGCTGGCCCGCGTCTACCCCGCGGGCCACCGCATCGACAGCTCGAACTACGACCCGTCGCCCGCCTGGGCGTCGGGCTGCCAGCTCGCGGCGCTCAACGTGCAGGCGAAGGACCACGACGGCCCCGCGTACGTCAACTTCGGCAAGTTCCTCGCGAACGGCCGCTGCGGCTACGTGCTCAAGCCCGCGTACCTGCGGGGCGACGGCGCGGGCGCCTTCGCGGCGCGCGCCGCCGCCGGCGACCTGCCGCCCGCCGCGCGGCTCACGGTCGCCGTGTCCGGCGCGCGCGGCTGGACCGGCGGCTGGGGCGTCGAGAAGGCGCCGGACGTCTACGTCAAGGTCGTACTGAGCGGCGGGCCCCACCAGGACGCCAGGACCGCGCGCACGTCCGTCGTCGAGGACGCGACGACCTGCGCCTGGGACGCGTCCGAGGCCAAGGTCTTCGACGTCGCCGCGCCCGAGCTCGCCGTCGTCGCCATCGAGTGCTGGGACGACGACAAGCTGAGCGGCGACGACTTCATGGGCGTCGTCGCCGTGCCCCTCGCCGAGGTGGCCAAGGACAAGATGCTCACGCTGCCCTTGCTCGGCGCGAACCTCGCGCCCTGGTCCCGCGGCAGCCCCGTCGTCGACGTGACCTTCGGCTACGAGGTCCTCGCCGACGGCGTCGCCGACATGTAGGCGGCACCGCTCGAACGAAGTAAACGTAAATCGCCTCTGGACCTCCCTACGTCGTCGTCCCGCGCCGTGGCCTTAGCGAGGACTAGAATGTGTGTGTTACTCTCTAGTTAGGACGGCCGCGCCGCATATAAAATTCACTTTGAAGAGGATCTCCTCAATAGTCCGCATGGTAAGATTCGTTGGCATCCGCCTCGTCGTCACTTTCGTCGAATTCGCCCTCGCGCGCGACGCGCCATTTGATCCAGACCGGCTCGAATGCATATCCGTCGCTGTTGCCAGAAAACTTTCCGTACGCTTGCACACCGACGACGGTGTCGCGAACCTTCGTGTCGACCAAGACCGCGGGGCCGACTTCCTCGAAGGTTTCGGTATACTGGTAGCCGAGATTATTCATAAAATTTTCCACGGAATTGGGCGGCATCAGAAACGACGCGAGATCGCGGCCCGCGTTTCCGACGAGAAATTCTAGGGCCACATCGGCAATCTCAACCGCACCGCCGCACCGCTGAAGAAACACCGCGCGCACCGCCGTGACTCGATCGAACGTCTCTTGCGCCTTACGCGTACAGTCTTTGGCAGTGTAGGAAGAGAAGCCGCGCTGGAACAAATATTTGAACGGGCCGGGAATATCGATCAATGACTCGATGTGGCTCAAGAATTCATACGAGAAAAGGTTATCTTCATCGAAATCATCACCGAACTCGAGAGACAACGCGGTCTCCAGCTCGCACATCTCGCCGACGAGAAAGCGGATGAAGTCTTGGAAAGAAGCGGCAGGAACGTCCCTACCCTCCTTGATTACCATCAACTCAATCTGTTCCTTTCGCAGCTCCGTCGGGCCGAAATCATCGGCGTACCCCTCTGTGATCTTCATCAGCAGACGAGGGCGGTGAGCATTTGCGTCGACCGCGGCAGGGGAGCGCGACGTAAGCCCTTCGACATCGTCGACGAGTTCTGAGGCAAGCATGGTGAGCGACGCGCGAAATTGCGCGCGGCGTCCTCCTGGTCGCTGTTACCACAAGTAGACCCAGACCCAAGCTCTCGCCGACTCGGAGTGGAGACCAACACACTTACCAACACCAGGCCAGCTCAGGACAGCTCGCTGAGCCTGAGGCCGAGCCACTGAGAACTCCGACTCCCGCGTTCCTCCCGGACCCCCTACGTTCAGAGACGCGTCGAGGAGACCGACACGGATCGGTGACTACAATACGTGTCGAGCGGCCTCAGCTCACGACGACCGCCGCCTCCTCGGCCTCCGCCCGCTTGCGCGCGCGGTAGCGGCGGATTATCTTGCGCGCGGCGGCGTGCGCGCGCATGCGGGTGAGGACGACGTCCGCCATGTCCTTGGGCCGGCGCGGGTTGTGGCTGATGGAGAACTTGCGCTGCGGGCGCGAGACCTCCGCGCGCGTGATTATGTCGACGGCCGGCGCCTCGAACTCGATGGAGAGGTGCGCGAGCCCGATGGCCGCGTTCGCCAGTACCATACTGAGGAAGAGCGCCTCCGTCACCGTGTAGCCGTCCCCCCACGACCCGCCCGGCGTCTCGTCCTGCGTCGCGAGGAACTCGGCGCAGCGGTCGTCGTCGACGTGCTCGACGGCCGTGGCGATGTTGTCGCGGTGCGACGCGACGTAGATCGTCGCGAGCATGACGGCGAAGCCCCCGAGGCGGCCGCCGTGGACGCGCCACGCCGGCGCGGACGTCGGCATCGTGTAGGACACGAGGATGCAAGATCCGTAGACCACGTTCAGGGCGACGACGACGAGCCACGTGAAGTCGTCGTAGTCGTCGTTCGCCGCCATGACGTCCGGGGCCTCGGCCCCCGCGAGCCGCCGCCAGAGGCCGTTCTCCTTCTGGCGCTTGCCGCACCGCGTGTCGTCGACGAAGACGATGAATTCGAAGATGAAGTGGGTCAGCGCCTTGACGCCCATGCCCAGGAAGAAGATCGCGAGGCTCAGCAGCCCCTGGCCGACGAAGAACGCGCCGACCTTGGCCCGCGTCCCCGGCGAGTCGCCGCCCGCGCGGTAGTGCTCGAGCGCGCGCCCCCCCTGCATGACGTCGAAGTAGACCGAGCAGAGCCCCATGACCGTGAAGAAGATGAGGATCTTGAACTTGAGCTGGTAGGTCTCGAGCCGCGTCTCGTCGTTGAGGAGGCCGATGACCGACTCGCCGAACGACAGCATGATCCACGCCTGCATGCGGTCGGCCGCGTACTCGTACGGGAAGGGCAGCTCCTTCGCGTCGGACATTCCCACGGTCGCGCCGACGAAGGCGACCTGCTCGACCAGCACGGCCGCGCCCCACGCGGCGATGGACTTGTAGTGGGAAGGGTGGATCTCGTGGCCGCAGTCGTAGCCGTCGTCGTAGAGGTCGTCGTAGTCGTGGTCGTCGTAGGCGTCCGCGAGCCGCCGGCCGCAGGGGTTGTCGTGGCCCTTCGGGTCCCAGTCCGGCTCCCACCACGCCACCTGGGCAGGACAAGAGTGCGAAATTCCCAACTTCAAAGGCTCCTCTCTCGGCCATTTTCCACTCGTTTCGGCTGATTTTTGGACGAGCGATCATCTCTCGGAACGGTCTCGAAGCGTAGATGCTTTTTCCAGAACGCGCGCGCGCGGAAGACTCACGTTGAAGCGACGTTGAATCACCCTTGTCCTGCCCTGCACGCCACGAGCGCGAAGCAGGTCATCGACGCCGCGAGCCCGAGGAGCTTGACGAGCGTCGACCGCCGCAGGCGCGCCCGGCCCGCGGCGCTCAGGCCGCGCGGGATCTTGCACAAAACGTGGAACCACATGATGCTCGTCAACACGCGGATGGCGATGGACGCGAGAGAGAAGTCGCGGGCCTGGACGTTGAAAATGAAAAAGCTAAATTCAGCATGGCCGAGGTACATGGTCATGACGAACGTGAGCGCGATGTGCCCCGAGTAGTAGAGCCGGTGGAAAACATCGTTCTGCGCGAAGCTCGTGATGTACATGTTCGTCATGGACCAACAGCTCCAGAAATTGAGGCAGAGGACGGACGTCGTCGTGAGGCCCGCGGGCGTCAAATTATATTTCCCCGAGCTCAGGCGGATGAACGCGACGACAATGATCAAATCGTAGAAGAGCTCCCAGAAGGATTCCGCGTGGGGCTCCTCCCAGAGCTTCGGCCGGAGCGCGAGCGGGATGCGCTGCGTCGTGTCGAGGCAGTAAAGCTTTTTATCCAGGGGCTTTCGCTTCGTCCCGGCCGGAGCCGACGGCTTGGAGCTGCGCACGGGCCTCGAGTGGGTCGTGAACATGACCGGTTCGAGCGCAAGCTCCTGCGTTTCGTCGATCCAGGTCCGCTCGCGAGCAAAACTACCTCGCGCAAAGCACGACGCTCGCGGACGACGTCGAGACGTCCACTCTTTGGCGAGCCGAATCCACAAGGTCCTGTCAAGGACGCGGTCCGGACAGCTCCCCGACGCCCCACGAAACCACAACAATCCCTCTTACGACGCGGACGCCTCGTCGACGTACTCCTCGTTCTGCTTGGCCTGGCGGCGCCAGTGGATCGACTCCTTCCGCGCGCCGAAGTTGCCGCTCTTCTCCGTGCCGTCGGACGTCTCCGTGGCCTCGTCCCAGCGCATCGACGTCGCCTTCTTGACCTTGACGGTGCTCCGGCGCTTGATGGGCGCCAACGGCTTCTTGTCGAGGCCGCCCGGCGCGCCCTGGACCTGGATGGAGCTCGCGCGGTCCAGGGGCGCGAGCGACGGCCGCCGGCCCGGGCCGGCCGCGGGCGCGTCGCCGGCGCCGTAGACGTGGAGCTTCTGGTCGTCGCGCGCCAGGGACAGGCGCACCCGGGGCTCCTCCGCCGCCTTGGCGTCGGCCCGGTCGTAGTACTCCTTGAGGTAGTGGCTCGGCTTGGGCCGGAGCTTGCCGCCGCGGCGGACCGCGTCGACGGCGTCGTACGCGAAATGCGCGCCCGCGGCCGTCGCGGCGTAGGCGTAGCGCACCCGGTCCCAGGCGTAGGCGCCGCCGCGGCCCGCGGCGCGCAGGGCCCGCGCGACGGGGTGCGCCACGGCCTTGCGGCCCTTGCGGTCGTAGCGCTGCCCGTCGGGCGCCTGGTAGACGGCCTTCTTGTCGCAGGGGAAGCAGCAGGCGAGCGTGCCGCAGGGCACGAAGAGGCAGACGAGCAGCGTCACGGGGCCGCAGTACTTGACCTCGACCTTGAGGCTGCCCGGGGGCACGCCGCCCTTGGGCTTCTCCGCCTTTTGCTTCAGCTCCGGGTGCAAATCCGCGAAGAACTTCGGCCGCCCGAAGGCGAGGTAGCGCGGCTCCGGGAGCTGGAGGTACCCGAGAGCGAAGTAGATGCCGACGGACATGACGGGCGCGTAGGGGCAGAACTTGTGGAAGAGCTTGAAGAGCGGGCTCGCGAGGTAGCGGTGGTTCCGCGACACGGACGTCCGCCGCATCGTGTCCATCTCGAAGAGCGTCAGGAAGAGGGCGTGCTGGCGGCTCAGGCCGATCTCCGGCTCGAAGACCTTGAGGATCTTGTAGCCCGCCGTCAGGGGCACGCCCTGGTCGTAGATGAGGAACGCCATGAGGCACGTCGCGGACGCGTCGAGCCCGGAGGGGCAGGACACGACGACGCGGCCGCCGCAGTCCAGCGCCTGGCGGATGAAGCGGCAGGCCATCTCGTACTCCTCGTAGAGCGTGTCCTGGGCGTCGTCGTTGTCGTTGTTCACGCGGACGCGGCAGTACACAAAGTCGTCGGGGAAGTGGTTCGGGTAGCGCTCGCTCACGTTGACGACGTGCGTGATGTTCTCGGATCTCAGAAAGGCGTAGTTCTCCGTCGTCGACGCCGGCGCCCACCAGAGGTCGCTCATGACCTGCTTGAGCGGGTTGCCGAGCTGGAAGTGGGTGCCGCCCGCGAGCTGCGCGACGTAGACGCACTCCACGAGGGCCATGGACGCGAGGCGCCGCTCCATCTTCCGCACGCGCCGCCGCTTCTTGCGCCCGTCGTCCGCGGCCTCGTCGCCGAGGCGGTCCGCGACGAGCTCCGCCGACGCGGCCTCGAACTCGTGGGCCTGCGGCCGCGGGTCGTTCGCCATCTCGACGACCCGGGCCTCGTGCTGCTTGAGCCGGTAGCGCTTCCGGTCGACGTAGTTCTCGTCGCGCTTCTTGCGCTCCTCGAGCCACTCGGGCACGGTCAGGCCCGCGGACCGCGCGTGGATCTTCGCGATGTCCATGGGAGTGATCTTCGGCGGGCCCGGGCCGCGGAGCGCCTTGCGCAGGGACACGCCCTTGTGGATCGTGCGCTTCTTCGCCAGGCTGATCTCCTCGCGGCGCAGGCCGGCGAAGGCCTCGGCGTAGTTGTCGAGCGTCTCGACCTTGCACGCGACGGGGTCCCAGCCGGGCATCTGCGCGCGCACGTCGGGCGGCTGCTTCTTCCGCTGGAAGAGCACGAAGGTCGCGAGGTCGCCGAGGGCGCGCGCCTCCTTGAGCGCCGATTCCAGGAGCAGGCCCTCCGTGTTGCAGCCGCACAATTTCTCCATGGCCGCGATGTTCGAGCTGCTGCAGAGCTTGTCGTCCTGGTACTTCTGCTCCGCGGCGCGCTCGCGCTTCTTCCGCTGCTTCCGGCTCTCGACGGTCTCCTCGGGCTTGAGCGAGGCCGACGCCGTGTTCGCATGGGCGGCGCCGTGGGCGAGGCCGTGGCCGCCGGGCATGGCGCTCTCACAACATCGTGTTAGCGCTCGAGGTCGTTTTTGAAGTGCAACGTAACCTTACAGATCCAAGCGCGCTTTGTGTCAGCCGCACGTCGTGGGAGGCGCCCGCCCGCTCCCGGGATGTCGGAGATGTCGGCGACGTCCCCCAGGATGCCCCCGGCGTTCCTGCCGGCCCTGGAGACCCCCGAGGTCCTCGCGTATCGCCACGCCTACCAGGCCCACAGAAAAGGGGAGGCGCGGGGCTCCAAGGATAAGTGGCTGAGCGCCTGGGCGCCGACGCGGGGCGCGCGGGGCGGCGCCGGGGCGGCGGCGGACGCGACGTCGACCCTCGCGCCCCTCGGCGACGCCGTCGACCGCTGGCTCGCGCGGCGGGACACGACGACGCGGACGAACGCGCGGCTCGTCTCGCGCGCGGCGCTGCCCGAGGGCCTCGACGCCGCGTCCGAGGCCGCGCCGCGCCGGTTCCAGGGCCTCGCCCTCTTCGCCGGGTCGGCGTTGGCCGGCGGCATCGCGACCTTCTGCACGCACCCCCTGGACACGATGCTCGTGCGGCGCCAGTGCGGCCAGGCCGGGGGCCTCCTCGCCGCGGGCTTGTGGCGCGGCGTCGTCCCCGCGACCGCGGGCGGCTTCCTCTTCTTCGGCCAGATGCAGTTCACCTACGGCCTGCTCGTGGGCGCGGGCCTCGGCCCCGCCGCCGCGGGCGCGGCGTCGGGTTTGGGCGATGCGCTGCTCCGGGGCCCGATCGAGTCGATCAAGAACCTGCGGCAGACGGGCTGCGTCATCGCGAACAGCGGCCTCAGCCGGCTGCTGGTCAAGGGCACGGCGGCCATGGCCTGCCGCGAGATCCCGGGCAACGCCGTCTACTTCGCGGCCTTCGCGACGGCCATGGAGGCGCAGAAGCGCGGGCCGGACACGTTCGCGGGCAACGCGATCGCCGGCGCGTGCGCGGGCACCGCGTGGGCCCTCCTCCTCCACCCCGTCGACGCGCTCCGCGTCCAGTACGTGACGGACAAGCCCCTCCAGCTCACCTACCGCGGCATCGGCCCGGCCATCGTGAGAACGAGCATGTCCGCGACGGTCTACTTCGCCATGCTCGGCCAGATCCGGCGCTGGTACGAGGGCCTCGACGACTGCTGCTGACGCGCGCGCGCGCCCCATCCCGAGCGGCCGGCCCTTTGGAAGCGGCGGCCCTTTCGTTCTAACTTAGTATGTCAGAGCGCGGCGGCCGGGCACGGCGAAGACGGCGCAGTCGACGAGGTCCTCGCTCGCGAAGGCCGCGATGTCGCCGGCGGCGAGCCCCGGGCAGGGGAAGAGGCGCACCGTGAGGGGCTTGTCGTGGCGGAACGCGAGCGCGCCCGTGTCGCGGAGGAGCGCGGCGACGTCGCTCTCGGGGCAGTCGCCGGGCACGGGGACGCAGTCGAGGCCGATGCCGCAGACGCAGGAGCACTGGAGCAACGTGTAGATGTCGAGCTGGCCCCGGCCCGCGGCGGCGGCGAGGCCCTCGTCCTCGAGGCAGCTCAGCATGAGGCCGCTGAAGCCGACGAGCGGCGCGCCGCGCGGCGACTTGAACATGCGCGCCAGGAGCGCCGCGGCCTCGACCGTGCCCGCGGCGCCGACGCGGGGCACGCCCAGCGCCGCGAAGAGGTCGCAGATGGACACGTCGCGGCAGGGCGCCGGCGACGCGTCGACGCCCGCGAACGCGACCTGCCGCGCGGCCGCCGCGGCCTCCGCGGCCTCGACGAGCGGCGCGACGTGGGCCTCGACGGCGTCGCGCACGCGGCCGAACGCGCGCCGCAGCGCCGCGGACCGCTCCGGCGCCGCGACGGCCCCGAGGTCCTCCGCGCGGAGCTCCCGGAGGATGAGGCCGCCGTGCTCGAGGCCCACGGCGAAGCTCTCGCCGTTCTCCCGCAGGTTGTAGGCCGCGGGGAAGTAGGGGATGCCCGGCCCGCAGTTGAAGTTCGCCGTGAAATTGAAGTTCCCCTCGCCGCGGGGCGTCGTCGCCGCGAGCGCGGCGACGCACGCCGCCGCCGCGTCGCAGAGCGCCGCGTCCGCGAGCCCCAGGTCGTCGCCGGGCACGTTGACGCAGACGTTGCACAGGTCCCCGTACTCGGCGATCATCGCCGGCACGAGGGCGAGCTCCTCGGCGGTCCGCGCCGCGCCGACGGCGCACCGGACGCGCGACGCGCCGTCGTCGAGCTCCGAGAGGCACCCCTGGAGCACGCCGAGCCCCGCGAGCGCCGTCTCCGCCGACGAGCAGTTGAGGAACTCGCCGAAGGGGTTCGTCACGATGCGGCACGACTGCACGTCGTAGCCCAGGCCCCGGTACGCCGCGCTGAGCTCCGAGAGGAGCCGCCCGGCCTCGCCGAGGCTCCAGTTCCAGGTCTGCGTGTCCGGCTCGAGGACCACGAAGCGCGTGATGGCCCGCACGCGCACGAGCGTCCTGTCCTCCTCCTCGAGCACGACCGCCGCAACCATCTTGACTTAGGCAGCCCACATCGCGACGTTTCAATGTGGGAGAAACGTTTCCTTCAACTTCGGCCCCCCCCCCCTCCCCGGACGGACGCAGTCGGGCGCGCATCCCCTTCAATAACTAGTCCAACTTCTTATCGGTCGCTGGGGATCTCGTCGGGCCGCGCGACCTTGGGCACGGGCGGCATGGCGTGGGAGTGGACGGGCTTGGCGACGCCCCCGAAGTCCGCCGTGCCCCAGATGTTGGAGGGCAGGGCGTCGGCGTCGTCCGGGACGCGCATGTCGAGCTGGCCCGCGTTGTCGACGAAGCCCTTCGCGTCGACGCAGCGGACGTCGAGGAGGCCCCGGGACCCCCAGTCCGCGACCATGCAGTCGATGGGCGCGTAGACCTCCTCCGTCTCGATCAGCCGCCGGAGCTTCTCCGCGCCCCGCTTCGAGACGACGTAGGCCAGGAGGCACCACGTCCGGAAGCCCGGCGTCGTCGACACGCGGAACCGGTTCGGATCGTCCGCGACGCGCGGCGGCGACGGCCAGTGGTCCGGGTAGACGTAGAGGTAGCACACGTCGAAGGGTTCGCCGCGGACGACGTCGTCGACGGCCCGGCGGAACGCGTCCGCGCCCGCGGGAAAGCGCGCGTCGTCCTCGAGAACCACGAAGTGCGGCTTCGGGCAGGCGGAGAAGCGCCGCCAGAGCGACGCGTGGGAGCACAGGCACGCGACCTGCCCCACCGTCGCCTGCCAGACGTCCGTCGCGAGCGTGATCCCCAGGTCCTTGATGGCCTGGCCCACCGCGTCCGGCGCGCCGCCCTCGACGGCTTTAAACCGCTTGATCTCCGGCGCCGCGGCCGCGAGCCGTTCAAAGTTCTCCACGCGCCGCGCCGCGCTCGCCAACACGATGCAGTGGGCGCTGTCCACGAGCGGCGGCACGTCGATGTCGCCGCCCGCGCCGTCGCCCAGGGCCGCCGCGAGCGCGCGCCGGAATCCGTCCGCCCACCTCCGGCCGCTCCACAGCGGCGCGTCGACGCGGCCCCGCCGCAGCGCGACGGACAGCGCGCGCCGCCGGTCGCCGCCGCGGGCGAGGGCGATCGCGACCTCGGCGTAGGCCGCGCCCCAGTCCGTGGCGACGAGGGGTTTCGCGATCTCGGGGTACCGCGTCGCCGCCAGCGTCGCCGACGCGCCGACGCGCGACGCCCACCGCGGCTCGTCGTCGCAGAGCGCCGTCACGAGGGGCACGCCGGCCCAGGCGTAGTCGCAGGCCAGCGTGTGCGAGTTGTAGTGGCGCGTGTCCAGGGCCAGGTCCGCGTGGCGGAGTCGCTCGAGGTGCTGGGGGCGGCTCGCCGGCCCCGCGAACGCGACCCGCTCCGTCGCCTCGGCGAGGCCGCCGGGCAGCAGCGCCGCCGCGCGCCGCAGCGCCCGATCCCGCAGACTCTCGCCGTCGCCCGTCGCCGGCGCGTAGAGCCAGAGCACGGCGTCGACGGGCTCGGCGCCGTCCGCCGGGTGCGCGAGGTCCCGGACCACTCCCACCCAGCCGTCGAAGCCGTCGCGGTCGACCTTGTGCGGCCGGTTCATGCAGGCGAGCACGACGGCGCCGTCCCGCAGGCCGTGGTCGCTCCGCGCCGTCCTGACGCCGTCGAGCTCGTGGCGCTTGTACGCCTCGGCGTCGCCGACGAAGTACGTGCGCGGGAGCCGCAGCGCGCCGTGGTCGCCCGCCCCCCAGCCCGCGGCGGTTTTCAGGTGTTCCGGCGCCACGACACCATCACAGAGGCACCAGTCGAAGATGCCCGCGCCGCCCATGGGCGCGGGCGTGCCCAGCGCGCCCTGGATCTGGACCCTCGCCGGCCGATGCGCGAGGACTTGCGCGACGTCGGACGAGCCCGCGTGGCCGCACATGTCCACGAGGACGTCGACCTTCAAATCCCGGATCGCCGCCGCGATGGCCAGCGGCGACGCCGCGTGGCCCTCGACGACGACGTCCGCGGAGAGCTCCGCCCGTTCGCGCTCCACCGAGCCGTCGGCGGCGCACATCGTCACGAGGACGATCTTCTCAAAGTCGGCGTCGTCGAGGGCGACGAGCGCCGACGGCAGGAGCTGGGACAGCGGGTGGGCGCCGTTGGCGTCGGGTGTCAGGAACGCGACGCGCGGCGCGCCCGCGCGGCCCGGGATTTCGCGATTTCGGCCGCCGGGCCGCGACGCCGCCGCCGCGGGCTTCGCGTCGCCGAGCGCCGCGACCTCGGCCTTCGCCGCTTCCACCGCCGCGTCGAGCGCCGCGCGGCTCCGCCGCGCGCAGGCCTCGCCGCTCACGTTCAAAGCTAGAGCGGCGAACGCCGCGACGGCGTCGGCCGCGACGAGCGCCTCGGCCTCCGCGGTCTCGTCCGCGTCGCCGTCGAAGCCGCGCCAGGTGGACCGGCTCGCGCGGAGCTTCAAAGCCCGCCGCCGGTCCGTCGCGCCGCCGCGCCGGATGCCCTCGACGCACGCGTCGAAGACGCCGTCCCAGTCCTCGGCGTCCGCGCGAAGCGCCGCGAGCGCGTCGCAGGGGCCCGCGTCCTCCGGCGCCGCGTCGCGCCGCGCCTCGAAGACGCGCGCGAAGGCGCGCAGCAGCGGCGGCGGCAGGTCGCCGCGCCGGGCGTCCCGGCGCCTAAGGTCCAGCAGCAGCGCCTCGGCGCCGTCGACGTCGCCGCCGTCGAGGAGCTGCAGCGACTGCGCGATGCCCTCCTGGAGCGACGGCACTTCGCCGCCGCCCTGGAGTCGCACGAGGCGCGCGACGTGGTGCGTCTGTGAGCGTAGCGCATTAGTCGTCAGAACGACCGCAAGGAGTCGAGCTGCCATGTCGCTTACACTGATCAGCTCATGAAGTGCTTGCTTGAACCGATGGAGCAGCCCCGTTGCAGCCCGGCATCGCATGCGCACCAGCCAGCTCGGCCCCATAACCTTCCTGCTCCAGGCCATCGGCGTCGCGTCCCGAGTCATGGCGAAGCCGACGTGCCTGCTGGACATCGACGGCACGCTGGCCGTGACGGACCATCTCTACCTCCTCGCGTTCCAGGATTTGATGGCGTCCCACGGCGTCTCCGACGTCGTCGACGCGGCCTGGTTCAAGGCCCACGTCGCGGGCAAGGTCGACGACGCCGTCTTCGCGGACGTGCTCCCGGGGACGCCGAGCGCCGACGAGCTCCGGGCCGCGAGCGCGAAGAAGGACGCGCTCTTCTGCGAGCACGTGTCGAAGACGGGCGCGACGATCGTCGAGGGCCTCGACGGCTTCCTCGGCCGGTGCCGGGCCGAGGGCGTCACCTGCGTCGCCGTGTCCAACGCCCAGCGCGGCGGCTGCGAGGCCGTCCTCGGGCAGATCGCGCGCGAGTTCCCCGAAAACGGCGCCGCGATCTCCGACCTTTTCGTGGGCGCCGAGTGCGCGCGCGCCAAGCCCTTCCCGGACCCCTACCTCGAGGCCATGGCGCGCCTCGGCGTCGAACCGAAAACCTGCGTCGTCTTCGAGGACTCGGGCACGGGCATCAAGGCCGGCGTCGCCGCGGGCGTCGCCGTCGTCGGGCTGACGACGTCCATGACCGCCGAGGCCATGCGCAGCGCCGGCGCGACGGCGACGGTCGCCGACTGGACCGAGGTCACGCCCGACTTCCTCCGCGGGCTCGTCGCGCAGCAGGCTGCCGGGCCGTCCTGCCCGCTGCTGTAATAAAGTTCAACCTTATGGCTTAGGAACATGATGGTGGCCTGAAGGATGCGGCTGCCACATCCATGGCTGCTGCTGTATGTCGCCGCCGACGCCGCGTGGACGCGGGAGGCCTGGCGCGCGTCCTGCGGCGTCGACGACGCGACGCCGGTGCCGGCGGCGCCGGCGAAGCGCTCGGTCGCCGTGCTCATCTGGGGCGAGAGCTTCCGCGACTCGCGCAAGCGCGGCGAGCGGCGGCGCTGCGGCGACGGGAGCCTCCGCGCGCAGAACGTCGTCCGCGACATGCACGTTCGCCTCTTCGACGCGCTCGCGAGCATGGGCTACGAGTCCCGGGTCTTCGGCGTCACCGCGTCCTGCGACGGCGCGCGGCCGCCGCTCGACGCCGCGGCGGTGCTCGCGCGCTGGTACGCGCCGCGGCTCGGCGCGCCCGTGCTCGCGCTGGACCCGGAGGCGCCGGCGCGCAACGCCGCGCTCCGCGCGCGCTACCTCTCGCTGCTGCTGCTCCGGGGCTTCGCCGCGCCGGGCGACCACGGCCACGTCCTCCAGCTCCGCTGGGACCTCCAGGCCGTCGCGTCCGAGTTCAAGCCCTGCTTCCTCGCGAGCGGCGCGCTCCTCGACTCCCACGTCTTCGGGTTCGGGCCCGAGGGCGACTGGGACCGCGTGGCGCGCGGCGTCTTTCGTGTTTTGATTAGCTTTGACCGCGATCCCCCCGCAGGTCGTGCTCGCGCCGTCTCGCTACGTGGACGCGTGGACGTGCCTCCTCGGCGCGGACCGGCCGCGCCTCGAGCCCAACGCGACCTGCACGCGCGACGGCGCGACGGCCGCCGTCGGGCGGCGCGACGCCGGCGCGGCGCCGACGTGCGTCTGCGACCCGGGCTACGTGGGGCCGCCCGTGGGCGGCGCGTGCTGGCGCCGCGACTGCCTCTGGGACGTGTGCCTCTCGGCCTTCCCGCCGGCCGCGCGCGCGCTGCCGCCGGCGTGCGCCGCCGAGGCCGCGGGCGCCAACGGCACGGGCTTCGGCGCCAAGCTCCGGCGCGGCGGCCGCGAGCAGCGGCGCTGGCGCGACGTCGCCGCCGTCGAGCCCCGCGACTGGCCCCAGCGGCACCGCGCGGCGTCGTCCGCCGCGGTGCTGCGGTCCGCGCGCGGCGTGCCCGCGCTCGCGTGCGCGGACGGCGGCGAGGCCGCGGCGCCGGGCGACGTGGGGCTCGCCGCGCGGTGCGTCTACGGCGTGGTTCGACGGGGTAAGAAGGGGGCGTGAGCTTCTCTATGTCATCGCATTACGCCCTCGGCGACGCGCGCGGCGAACTGGTTCGCGATGCCGAATGATGCCAGCGACGCGGCCAGCGTGCGGAATGTTGGATCTTTCAACGCACCGGACGCCGCGAAGCCGACCACGGGCGCGAAGCCGAGGAAGGGCCAGCGGCCCGAGCCGTTCGTCGCCGCTCGGAGGAAGTCCGCCGGCGTCGCCGCGGCGAGCTCGCCGGCGTACGGCGCGAGGCCGAAGAGGCCGCCGCAGACGAAGGCCAGCGTCGCCGGGTTCTCCGCCGCCCAGGAGCGCTTCGGCTCGGCGAGGAGGCGCGTCGTGCTGTGTTTCGCCATCGGCGATGCTATAAGCGCTGCCGCGGAGCCGCAGACGCATGCGAGGACGTGAAATCGCAGCATTTCTTGCAGAGCGATTGCGTGGTGCTCTCAGTGCGAGTTAAGGCACCTTGACGACGCGCGTTCTCGAGAACTAGGCTGCCTCACGGGACGACATCGTCTGCGCTTGGGAGAGCGGCGAAGCGGAGCGAGCCGATCCAGTCCCGATCCGACACCGTCAACTACGCGATGTGCGACGACAGCGTGGAAGCTCGCGCGCGCGCCGCCCCCGAGAGCCATAAGAGACCACGAGAGGGTCGCACGCCAGCGCTAGACGATGCGCTCTCGAAAAATGCCGCTCCGCCGGTCTTCGGGGCCGCGCGGCGCTCTGCGGCAGCCGCTTCGCCGTCGGGCCTCGATTTGAGCTCGGCGCGCGGCGCGGGCGGCTGCTGCGGGGCGGCGCGCCCCAGAAAGACGCGCCGACGACGAGAGTTGATGCGCGATTCTCAACGCAACAAAAACTGACCCGCTTCCCCCCCCCCCCGCCGCAGAACCATGAAGCTCGTCCTCGCCCTCCTCGTCTCGGCCTCGGCCTTCAACTTCGGCGCCAAGAAGGCGGCCCCCGCGAAGGCGACGTCGGCGTCGCGCGCGGCCGGCACGGTCGAGACGCCGAACCGCTGGAAGTGGGCCTTCGGCGACCCCGCGGCGCTCGAGGACCGCGCGGCGGCGCGGGCCGCGAAGATCGAGGCCGAGAAGGAGGCGCTCATCCCCACGCCCCCCAAGTTCCTCTTCGCCCTCGGCCGCCCGGACGTGCTCCGCGAGCGCTCCGCCGAGCGCCAGGCCAAGTGGGAGTGGTCCTCCGAGTTCCTCTCCAAGGCGCGCCCCGACTACGGCAACTACGGCGCCGGCGACTACTTCGACGACGGCCTCACGGTCCTCGAGCGCAACCAGATCGCGGCGGGCAAGGACGGCTTCCTCACGGGCGGCGCCAAGCTCCGCTACAAGCGCCTCAACGGCGAGATCTAGATCGGCTTCCGCCGATTCCGCGGTTCCGGCGAGACGCGCCCCGGTGTGCCCGGGCCGCCGACGGCGGGGCCGCTCCCCCCTCTTCTAATATAGATCCGCCACAGTCCGGTGCAGCGCGGGGGTCGGGTCGCCGTGGTCCCACGCCATGGTCGGCCCGTGCCCACGGTCGGCGCGAGCGCACCGTGAGCTCCAGGCGTCCGGCGGCGGGCCAGCGCGTACTACGCCGGCGAGCGCGCACAGGCGCGGCACGGACGACGAAAGCCGCCATGGCCACGGACGGAAAGATCGCGCTGACGTATCCTCTTGCTCCTTCACGTCAAAGATGCATTTTAACCGCGGCAGCCTCGCTTCTGGGCCACAAGCGAGGTGCTGCCAGAAGTTCCCACCGCCGACGGCAATGTCCCAGTCCCCCGCGACGATGGAGATGCCGTCCATCGACGAGGACCGGCCGTCGGCGGCGGGGGCCGTCTTCAAGCGGCGGGCGCCCCGGAGCCGGCGCAAGAAGCGCCACAACATGAAAAAGGACGTGAGCTGGCGGGACCTCAAGGGCCTCACCTTCGAGGAGATCGAGTGCCTCGAGGCCGAGGAGGAGGCGCGCACCCGGGCGGCGGCGCAGCAGCTCGACTCCTTCGGCGAGGTCGGCGACGACGGCGCGGCCGCGACCCCTCGGTGCTGCGCGTGCCTCCGGGGCGACGCCGCGGCGCCCGCGGGCGCCGCCGCGGCGCCGAAGCCCGCCGGCGGCGACGTCGAGGCCGCCGCGTCGACGCCGAAGACGAAGAGCGACGCCGAGGCCTACCTCGACGAGTTCGAGGGCGGCGGCGGCGGCGAGCCCCGGGAGGAGACGTGGTCCGAGGACGACGACGACGACTACTCCTCCTCCGAGAGCGACGACGACGACGACGGCGACGACGACCACGACGCGTCGCGCCACACGGCCGGCGAGTGGTGGAGCGTCGCCATCGGGGGCATCGCGAACAAGCTCGGCGGCGTCGTCCAGTCCGTCAAGAAGGCGGCGAAGGACGCGGTCAAGGAGCGCGGCGAGCAGTGGATCTCGACGCTGCTGGACAACTTCTTCAACCAGCAGCGGCGCAACAACACCTTCGACCCGCAGATGCCCGAGTGGATCCGCTGGCGCATGCAGCTCGTCTGGGACAACATCATCCCCGACGTCAAGCTCGAGATCATGCACCTCCTCACGAACATCGAGAGCCGCATCGGCCTCGTCGCCGTGCGCCGGGGGTCGGCCCTCGCGGCCAAGCTCGACGAGGAGATGGACCTCATGCCCCACGGCTTCTGGGCGCGCAAGCGCGCGTTCCTCCTCTACAAGATGTCGCCCTACGACCGGTCGTTCTGGACGCGCATGCGCGACCCCTGGCACTGGATCATCACGGTCTTCAAGGCGCTGCCGGCGACGCAGGCCTTCTCCTTCACGCTCTACCTCTGCCTCATCGACAAGAAGGACGACTTCCAGCTGAACGAGTTCATCATGCAGGCCAAGGGCTTCCAGTTCCTCACGTCCGGCTGCTTCACGATGATCATGTACAGCCTGCGCCTCGCCGCGTGCACGGTGCTCGTGTCGCCGAACTCGGCGACGGAGTGCCAGACCATCTACAAGGGCTCCATCAACTCGGTCATCGGCTTCTTCGGCGTCGAGGCGCCCTGGCTCATCGACCTCGCGTCCTACGTGTGGACGATCGCCGCGAACATCTCGCTGTCGTGGATCGCGCTCTCGCTGATGGACAAGTCCGTGCCCAAGGGCGCGGAGCAGCGCCGCGAGAAGGACCTCATCGGCCAGGTCGTCGCCTGGAAGGAGAAGGACGCGCCGCCGCCGCCGGCCGCCGCCGCGAGCCCCGACGCCGCGGCGGCGGCGCCGGACGACCCGCGGAAGGACCTGGGCCGCGTGCAGACGTCGAAGAACGTGCTCGGCGCCATGTCGTCGGCGGCGACCATGGTCACCGAGGCGGCGTCGACGGCCGTCGACATCGCGACCAAGTCCGGCAAGCGGTGGGGCACGCACAAGGGCACGGTCGTCGCGTACGACGAGAAGGAGGACTTCCACACCATCGAGGTCGAGGTCGGCGACGGCCTCACGGTGACGCGCGCCGTCATGCTCCACAAGCTGCCGTATATCATGCTCCGCCCCTTTGGCAAGAACCACCTCAAGAATCTGCTCTACTGGGACGGCGCGTGCGCGATCATCTGCGCCGTGCTCATCGTCGGCGCCTTCGTCTGCCTCCACGTGGGCTCGCCCCTCTCGCCGGGCGGCGGCGAGGGGTCCCTCGAGACCTGGCAGGTCATGGCGGGCCTCTTCTGGTTCCGCTGCCTCTATTCCATCACGACGGTGCCCTTCCTCCTCGCGCGCATCCCCGTCGTCGACAAGATCCTCGGCCACCACCGCCCGACGGCCTACACGCGCTACGGCAAGTGCGTCCCCAAGCGCAAGCTCTGGCCCTGGTACCCCATGCCCCCCGAGGAGCGCGCGCGCGCGTCGAGCGGCGCGGACTCCGCGGCCGCCGCGGCCGACGCGGCCGGGTCGCCCTCCAAGGGCCTCGCCTAGAGCGCCGCCACTTAAAACGAGCGCGGCGCCGAGAGGAACACCTCGGGCTGGCCCGTGAGGGGCGACCTCGCGACGTACCGCGGCGCCGGAGCCGCCGCGGCGCACCGGTCGAAGGGCGCCGCGTCGCCCACGCGGAAGCGGTCGCAGTAGAGCTTCAGCCCCGCGTCGTAGATGGCCTGGTCGAGCGGGTCGGCCCAGCTCCGCCGGAACGACGCGGGCACGTCCGGGAACTTGACGCGCTGCGTGCTCCGCAGGTGCGCGAAGTCGAAGGGGCCGAGCGTCTCCTTGCCGTAGCCCAGGAGCGCGTGGAAGGACTCGACCATGACGTTCCAGTCCTCGAAGATGCCCACGAACTCGAACGTCGCGAGCCGCGCGACGGCGCGGTCCGCGTCCGCGGCCGTCGCGTTGGCGAACTCGTCGGCGCACCAGCGGCCCGTGAGCGTCTTCGTGACGCAGGCCTTGAGCTCCGTCGCGTTCGCGTAGGCCTCGAACTCCGCGAGGCGCTGGCACCGCTCCTTCCCGTCGCGGTCGCGAGCGTCGACGCGCGCGCAGGCGCGGTGGCCCTCGTCGGCGATCCAGGGCCGGAAGTGCTTGTCCCAGTAGTTGAGCGACATGCCGTGGTGGTGCATGCTGTTGGAGAACGACGACAGGATCCGCTCGAAGGGGTCGCGGAGCACGATGACGGCGCGCGACGTGTCCCACGAGCTGGGCACGGGGCCGTGGCCGACGCCCTCGACGCCGCAGGTGAAGCCCTTGGCGCGCGAGCAGCCGCGCAAATCGTAGAGCTCGGAGCCGTTCGCCGGCGGCCACGTCTTCCGGCACCACTCGTGCTGGAGCGTCAGGCAGAACGAGCTGCCGGTTTTGGGCGTGTGGACCCACCACGTGCGGTAGGGCGGCCGGCCGTCCGGGCTTTTGGTGTGGTTGTGGTTGTCGTGCCGCCGTGCGACCGTGGCGTTCGCCTTGGGTTTCACGTACTTCGTCGCGTTGGGCAGGCAGGCGGGCCCGACGCCGCGGCACTTGTCGCTGTGCCAGCAGCTTTTCGAGTCCGAGTGGCAGCGGAAGCTGCAGCGCTCGTCGCTGCAGTAGTGCTTCGTCGCGGCCGGGATCGGGCTCCACGCCGCGACGAGGATGGCCAAGCCGCGCATGTTTTTATCGATGCATCGTCGACGACGTGGGGCAGCGTCGGCGGGCATCCAGCAGCCAAGGCGATCGTGCCCCGTCAACGCAGACTCGCTTCGAGTCGCGTCGTCGACGTGATGGACGCACCATTTGAAAACGGAGAGGCCCCTATCGAGCCCGACCGCCCGTCGCGCGCGTGCGCGCCGTCGTCCGCCGCCCCGGGCGCGCGGTCCGTGTCCATCCACGCCATCACCTGGATCGGCGAGAAGGCCCTCGACGCGCGGCGCAAGAAGCGCTTCGCGGCGTCCCTGCGGCCGCGCGACGTCGCGACGCCCGAGCACGCCACGGAGGCCTGCAAGGTCTGCGGCCTCGCCCACAGCGACGAGCAGGACGCGCTCCTCTACTGCGACTGCTGCGACGGCTGCTTCCACCAAAAGTGCTACCACGTGCCCGAGATCCCCGAGGGCGACTGGTTCTGCCGGCCCTGCCTCAAAAAGAAGGCCAAGGGCGTGCCGCCGGCCATGGTGCCGGACCCGCCCGGCGTGGAGGACGACGGCGAGCGCGTCGCGGGCGACCCGGACGCGGCGAAGGCCGTCATCGCCGCGCGGGGCCTCGAGTCGAACGCGGACTTCGGCGTCGTCGCGGCGCTCATGGACCGCTTCGGCTGGCCCGCCGTGTCCATCAAGGACCTGGCCGACTGCTTCGCGCCCGGCGAGCCGTCGTCGCCGCGCGCCGGCGCGGAGGCCGGCGCGGAGGCCGCGGAGCCCGAGTGCTACGAGCGCTTGGTCCGCGACCTGCTCCACAAGTGCAAGTGGCTCACGGCGCGCAACAAGGAGCTCTGGGCCGTGACCTTCGCCCAGGCCCTGCGCGACGCGGGCTACGCGAACGAGAGCGGCTGGCTGCTCGACGCGGGCGACCTCGAGGAGGTCGCGCCCGGCGTCCACGTCGAGGAGGACGAGGAGGAGGAAGAAGAGGAGGACGAGGAGGAGGAGGACGAGGCGGCCCTGCGGGGCTTCGCCGAGGGCGTCGCCGTCGACGCGCGCTGGCGCGGGCGCAAGGCCTGGTACGGCGGGACCGTCGCGGCCGTCCGCGGCAACGTCATCGACGTCCGCTACGACGACGGCGAGTTCGAGGAGGGCGTGCCGCTGAACTTCGTGCGCCTGTCCCTGGCCAAGTTCCGGGCGGAGCAGAAGGCGGCCCAGGAGGCCGCGGAGTCGACGTGCCGCCGCAAGATCGGCAAGCTCGCCGCGCCGCGGCGGTGCCGGTTGCTGCGCCTCGCGTTCGAGATCGCCTTGGAATGGGACGCGCAGCTCAAGAGCCGCATCGACGGCGCCATATCCCGGGCGGACCGGACCGCGCCGCGGTCCCTCGTCGACGAGCACACCGTGGGCGTCGACGCCGCGGGGCGGTCCTACTTCGTCCTCGAAGACGACGCCGGCTGCGTCGTGCTCTGCCGCAAATTCCACCCGGGCCACCCGGCGACGGCGCCGGCGCTCGTCGGCCCCGCGGACCCGCGGAAGCAGCCCGACAAGCGCAAGCGGCCCCGCGCGCCGCCGCCGCCGGCCGTGCCGCCGCGGAAGCGCAAGCGCGGCGCGCCGTCGTTCCAGGTGTTGGCGTCGTCCGCGCTCGACGTCGCGGCCGTCGCCGCGGAGCTCCTCGAGGCGACGCACGGCGACGAGCTCTGGCTGAGCAAGGTGCTCCGCGACGAGCTCGCGCCCCACATCCTCCGCACGCGCCGCGCGGCCGTCAACGCGGTCAAGAAGGAGGAGCGCGCCGCGCGGCGCCAGCGCGCGATCATGCGCGACCTCGGCACGGTCCGCGACGTCGGCACGCGCCGCGCGGCCGCGCGGCCCGTGGACTACACGGGCGCCGCCTACGACGCGCAGATCAAGGCCGCGGAGCGCGCGCACGGCCGCTACATCTAGGCGCTCTAAGTCGATTAACAGCGCCCGACGAATTGAGCCGGTCCAGATAAATGGAGGTGCAAACAGAGCCGATGTGGCCGCTCAGAGCTTGGCGAGGAAGTCCTCGGCGGTCATGGGCGACGAGAAGAGGCCGAACGTGCCCTCCGTCGCGCCCCTGTGGCCGTCCGCGGACGTCGTCGCGCAGCAGTCCGTGAGCGTGATCGTGTTGAAGCCCTTCTCGAAGGCCGTGCGCATCGTCGACTCGACGCAGCAGTTCGTCAGAAAGCCGCAGAGGACGACGGTCTCGATCTTGCGCGCCTTGAGCTGCGCCTCGAGGTCCGTCCCCGGAAACGCGTCGAGGCCCTTCTTGCCCTTGATGACGACGTCGCCCGCGGCGGGCGTCATCTCCTCGACGAACTCCGAGTTCCACGTGTCCTTGAGGAACAGCTTCCCCTCGAAGCAGCCGTTGAGGATGCCGAGCTTCTTGTTCGGGTTGTCGCTGCCGTCCTCGGCGAAGGAGATGGGCGCGTGCATGAGCGTGCAGCCCTTCTCGCGCGCGACCTTGGCGACGTTCGCCGCCTTCTCGAGCATGCCCGTCGCCTCCATGGACTCCTTCACCGCGCCGTACATCTTGCCCTCCTCGGCGGCGAATTCGTTCTGGAATTCGATGAAGACGACGGCCGTCTTCGCGGCGACGACGGCGCCGTCCTTGTCGCCCTTGGCCTCCGCGGGCGAGAAGACGCGGTCCGACGACGACATGGACTGGCCCATGGTGATGGACTGTGCTTGCGTTCCTAAGGATGCGACGACGAGTGGACAGTCGGGGCAGCCAAGCAATCTCCGAGCACGATCCGCGTCGCTGACGCGTAAGCCGCAGCACTGTCAAACTTCATCATCTACGCGGGCGGCGCGTAGAGCGCGCCGAAGTCGCTCGCGTTGTTGTAGGTCAGGATCGTCGAGTTCTGGTTCAGGAGGCAGCGCAGGCCGCCCGCCGTGATGCGGTAGGCCCCGCCTATGTTGGGGCATGTCAGCAGACAGACCAGGTATCGCGCGAACGGACGCCGCGGAACGCGCAGTAGTTGACGCGCTTGAGGAAGATGAAGTCGAGCGCGACGTGGGCCATGGACTTGTCCGTGAGGCGGTGGCAGCCGCCGAGGGACAGGTCGACGAGCGGCGCGTGGCGCAGGTGCTTCGCCAGGTCGTTGACGCCGCGGTCCGAGAGGTTCGTCGCGCCGGCGAGCGACAGGTGCGCGAGCTTCGGCGGGTTGCCGTGCCGCGCGAGCCCCCGCGCGAGCAGGAGCGCGCCCTCGTCCGTCAGCGCCTCCTTGCAGTGGGACAGGCAGAGGTACTCGATGGCGCCGCAGCGCGCCGCGATGGACCGGAGCCCGCGCAGCGACAGGCGCGACGCCGAGTGGCAGTCCAGCGACCTCAGGCCCCGCGCGCGCCGCAGGAACCGGCCGAGCGTCGCGTCGTCGAGCCAGGGGCCGACGCCGCCGAAGGAGGCGCGCGTCGTCGCGTCGCTCGCGCGGTCTACAGCGAGGTCCAGCGCCGCGCCGCCGCCGAAGAGCGCGAGCGGCGCCAGCGCGAGGAGCGCGCCGTCGCCGCGCGCGGGCCCGACGAGCCGCGCGAGCAGGTCGCGCAGCGCCGCCGCGTGGCGCCGCAGGAGCGCCGCGTTCCGGGCGGCTTCCCCGGCCTCGAACTCGGCGACCTCGACGAGCGGCGGGTCGTCGTCGACGTCGCCGAGGGATGCGGGCCAGGGGCTGTCGGAGATGTCGAAGCTGAGGTCGCCCTCGTCCATGAGCCGCCGGCGGTCCGCGCGGTAGCGTCGCACGAATACGCCCCAGAGCGCCGCGAGCGCGTCCGCGGGCAGGCCCACGGGCGCCGGCGGGCGCAGCGCGAAGTAGAGCGTGAAGCAGACGTCCGCGGCGCAGTAGCCCGCGACGACGGCGGCGACGCCGAGGGGCAGCTGCTTGACGAACTCCAGCGCCGCGTCGGCCGCGGACGCTTTCGGCGCCGCGTCGGCCGTCGCGATCGATGACTCTGTTGCGGGCAGCGGTCGTTCGTCCTCTTCTGCTGCGACGGTGGGTTCTTCCGCCTCTTCCACCGGCTCTTCGGCTCGTGCCTGGACCGCTTCGTGGTTCTGCACCTCCGCTTGCGTCGGCGCGGCTTCGGCGGCGAAGTGCGGCTCGACGCCGACGTCTTTCTCCAGCAATGCTGCCATTTCATCTTTCAGCGCGTCGACGTCGACGTCTTTCTCCAGCAATGCTGCCATAGCTCACTCCATCGTAAAAAACATCAAAACACTTTTTGTTGATGCACGATTGACGTTTTGAAGTGTTCGAACGATGGAGATCTCCCAGACACAATGAGCAGCTCCAGCCCCGACGGCGGCATGCTGTCGCCGTCGTCGTCCTACGACTCCTTCGACTCGTTCCCGGGGCGCGTCGCCGATGCGGTGACGATCCCGCCGCCGCGCGCCTACCTGCCCCACGAGGTCGAGGTGCTCCTCGTCAACGCCGCGCGCCGCGGCGACTGCGCGACGCTGGCGGCGATGATCGACGGCGAGGGCGGGTCGCCGAACGCGACGACGGCGTCCGGGACGCCGGCGCTCTACCGGGCCGCGGAGCACGGCGAGGCCGCGGCCGTCGCGCTGCTCCTGGACCGGGGCGCGCTCGCGGACGCGCGGAGCGCCTTCGACGAGACGCCGCTCTTCGCCGCGGGCGTCCTCGGGTCCGTGGCGACGCTCGACGTGTTCCTCGCGCACACGCAGAAGATCCAGGGGTCCCTGCTCGCGCCGGGCAACAGCGGCGTGCCCGCCGCGCTCGTCCGCCTCGCCGGCGGCGACCCGGCCATCCTGGACCGGGTCGTCGCGCGGCCGTCGGCCGTCTGCCGGGGCCACAGCTGCGCCTGCGCGGCGGCGGCGGCCCACGGCCGCCGCGACGTCCTGGCGGCGCTGCGGAACCTCGACCGCGGCGCGCTCGACGCGACGTGCGACGACGGCATGTCGCCGCTGTACCACGCCGTGGACCGCGGCGACGCGCGCGCGGCGGCGGCGCTCGTCGCCGAGGGCGCGACGACGGCCACGAAAGCGCTCGACCACCAGACCTACCTCGAGCTGGCCCTGTCGCTGGGCCACGCGGACGTCGCGGAGGTTTTGGCGAAGACGGTGACGGACGAGGACCAGCTCTACGGCGACGACGCCATGCCGACGATGAAGCGGCGCTGCTTCGAGGCCGCCGTCAAGTCCGGGTCCCGCGACGCCCTCGCCTGGGTCTGCGCCGGCGGCCTGGACCACATGCCCGGCGACCTCTCGAACGCCGCGAACGTGACGCCCCTCGTCTACGCCATCGTCCGCGCGCCGACGCTCGTGGCGACGCTCCTCGAGACGTTGCGCCCGGACGTCGACGAGTTCAGCGGCGCCATGGAGACGCCGCCCATGCTCGCCGCGGCGATCACGGGCGAGGCCGACGTCTGCGCGCTGCTGCTCGCGCGCGGCGCGAACCCGCGGCGGACGAACAGGCAAGGCGTCGAGGCGCTCAAGGTCGCCACGCCGGCCAAGGCCTCCCAGGACTACACGGCGGACTTTAGCGCCACCTACACCATGGACTTGAGCGCCGCGAAGGAGTCCTACACCATGGACTTTAGCGCCGCGAAGGAGTCCTACACCATGGACTTTAGCGCCGCGAAGGAGTCGTATACCGCGGACTTCGCCCAGGAGTCGTACGCGGCGGACTTCGAGGGCTCGAAGCCGGACGACGACGACGACGACGACTACTCGGCCGACTTCACGCCCATGGCGAGCCCGGCCCGGGGCGACGGGTCCTTCGCGGGCGAGTTCAGCATGGCGTCGAGCGCCGCGGCGACGCCCGAGAAGCCGCGGCGCGACGGCGACGCGTCCTACTCGCAGGAGTTCTTCACGCCCATGTCGTCCGCGGCGGCGACGCCCGCGAGGAGGGCCGACGACGAGTCGTATTCCCAGGAGTTCACGCCCCTGTCGAGCGTCGCCGCGACGCCGAAGAAGCCCGAGGAAGACGCCTCCTACGCGCCGGACTTCACGCCCCTGTCGAGCGCCGCCGCGAGCCCCGCGCGCGGCGACGAGCGGACGCCGCCGTCGACGCCCGCGAAGCCCGAGTTCTTCACGCCCATGGAGAGCCTCGCCGACGAGTCCTACGCCGCCGACGATTTCGCGACGCCCATGGAGAGCCTCGCGGACTCGCCGGCCAAGGGCGACGGGTCCTTCGCGGGCGAGTTCTCCATGGCGTCGACGCTCGCGAGCCCGCGCGAGCCCGAGCCCGAGCCGGGCGACTACTCCGACGACTTCGCGACGCCCCAGTCGTCGAGCCGGCGGGCGGCCGACGAGTCCTCCGACGACGGCTACACGCCCATCCCCACGCCCCTCGAGGGCAGCGCCGCGAGCGGGAAGCGGCGCCAACGGGCCGGCGACTCGTCCGACGGCGGCTACACGCCCATCGCGACGCCCCTCGAGGGCAGCGCGGCGAGCGGCCGGCGGCGGCGCGCGGGCGCCGGCGACTCGTCCGACGGCGGCTACACGCCGATCCTGTCCGCGAGCGGCGCGAGCGGTCGGCGGCGGCGCCGGGCCGCGGACGCGTCGTCGTCGTTCGGCGGCTACACGCCGATCGGGAGCCGCGCGCCGAGCCCCATCCCCGAGGCCGAGGAGTCCTTCTGGGAAAACGACGACGCGGTCCGCGTGCGCCGCGCGCCGCACCTCCTCGACGACGGCCTCCGGGCCGTGCTGCGGGACTGGAAGGCGGGCAACGTCGACCCGGCGATGGCGGACCTCCTCGCGAAGCGGACGCTCGCCGCGGCGCCGCGGCGCGCGGGGCCCTCGGCGCGCGACGCGGCGGCGGAGCACGCCGCGGCGGCCCTGGCGAGGGCGCAGGCGGCCGCGTCGACAGGCGGCGGCCGCGCGATGATCCCGCCCGCGAGCGCCGCGCCGCGCAGGACGGACGTCGACGCGTCGTCCGACGGCGGCCGCGCGCCGGTCCCGTCCGCGAGCGCCGCCGGCCGGACGAGAGCCGCGGACGAGTCGTCGGACGGCGGCTACGACTTTGGGCCGCCGAGCGCGGCGGGCAAAGCCGCGGACGAGTCGTCGGACGGCGGCTACGACTTTGGGCCGCCGAAGGGCGCGGACGACGACTCGTCGGACCGCGGCGACGCGCCCGTTCCCGCGCGCCTCGCGGAGGACGACGCGTCCTCCGACGACGGCTACACGCCCATTCCGACGCCCCTGTCCGTCAGCGCCGCCAGCGGGAAACGCGGCGCGATGGTCGGAGAGTCCTCCGACGGGGGCTACACGCCGATCCTGTCCGCGAGCGCCGCGAGCGGGAAACGTGGCGCGAAAGACGCCGACGCGTCCTCCGACGGGGGCTACACGCCGATTCCGACGCCGCTCTCCGTCAGCGCCGCGAGCGGGCGCCGCCGCGCGAAAGCCGACGAGTCCTCCGACGGGGGCTACACGCCGATTATGTCCGCGAGCGCCGCGAGCGGGACGCGGCGCGCGAAAGCCGAGTCGTCGGACTACACGCCCATCGCGACGCCGGTCTCCGGCGCGCGCCGCGGGACGAACGCCGCCGAGTCGTCGGACGGCGGCTACACGCCCATTCCGACGCCGCTCTCGAGCGGTCGAACGGTCACGCACCGCACCATCGAGGTCCAGGCGGACATGGGCGACGACCGCACCATCGTCCCGCGAAAGTTCGCGACGATCGACGAGGTGGACGACGAGGACGGCTTCTGGACGGACCCCGAGTAATTAGGCGACGTGGAGCTGCCGCTCCAGGGGCGGGGGCGCGTAGTCGGCCTTGGGCGGCCGCGTGCCGTTGGACGTGTCCCGCGTCGCGAAGGACACGCGCTTCCGCGGCGCGAGCGGCGCGCCGTCGTCGACGGCCTGCTGCGCGAGCTCCAGGGCCCCGAGGAGCCGGTCGCGCGTCCAGGCGTCGGCGTCGTCGAGCCCGAGCACGAACTGGAGCAGCTCGAGGCGCAGGTTCGGCGTGCGGCACGCGGCGACGAGCGAAGACAGCGCCGCGAGGCCCTTGCGGACGTCGCCGCTCTCCTCGGCGAGGGGCGCGAGCGCGTCGCGGAAGGCGCGGCGGTTCGACACGGCCTTGCGCCCGGCGAAGGCCGTGAACTGGGTGGTCGCGTTCGCCTTGGCGCTCGCGTCGCGGTACGAGCTGATGCGGAACGCGAACGACGACTCGGCGCGCTCGAGCCAGTCGTCGAGGAGCCGGACGGCGTCCGTCGCCCGCCGCGCGAGGCGCCCGCCCGCGAGGGCGCCGAGGGCCGTCACGGCGCCCGCGGCGCGCAGGCAGTCGTCGCCGAGGTCGCCCGCCGGCGCCGGCAGCGCGACGTCCGCGGGCCGCGACGGCAGGAGACCGGCGAGGTCCGCGCCGACCGCCAAAGCCACGGCCTTGGCGGCGCCGGCGTTGCCCGCGCGGAGCGCCATGTCCAGCGCCTGGTACGCGCCGTCGCGCCGGCCGTCGTCGTCGCGCAGCGCCGCCCGCAGCGCCGCGTCGCCGAGGCCGACGCGGCCGTGGACGCGGAGCAAATCGGACCGCGCGAGGTCGAAGGGCCCGAGATCCCGGAGCACGGGCGCGCTGCGGTGCACGGCGAAGCTGCGGTCGTCGTCGGCGGCCGCGACGCGCCGGAGCAGGCCCGCCTGCGCCGCGAGCGTGAGCTCCGCGGGCTCGTCGGAGCCCGACGCGTCCAACACGAGGATCGGCAGCCGGCTCTCCGCGCCGCGGCCCAGCAGGTCCCGGACGGCCATGGCCAGCAGCAGGTGCTGGGCCTGGCGCGTGCGCGCGAAGACGGCCACGACGGCGCTCCGCGCGCCCCTAGCGAGCACCTCGTTGTAGGGCGCGACGTCCGCGACCTTAATTTCGCCGAAGTGCGCGTACTCGCGGCGCGCGGCCATGGCCTCGAGCACGCGCAGCGGCACGGCGTTGGCCCGCAGCTCCTCGTCGACGAAGGACGACCGCTCCTCGTCGCCCTTGCCCACGCCGAACTCCGTCTTGGCGAAGAAGCCGGACGGCCAGCACCACGCGTCGTCGCCGAGTTTCAGCGCCGACCGGTCGAAGACGACGCCGCAGCTCTGGGCCCAGACCCGCCCGAAGAGGCGCATGCCCACGGCCCGCGGCGGCGGCAGGCTGCAGGGCGTGCGGTCGCCGCGGTCCAGGCCGTTGCAGAACTGGACCCAGAAGTCGTTCTTGACCGTCTTCACGAGGACGCCGCGGTCGCGGCACCGGCCGCCGGCCGCCGCGCCCTCGCCGAGCCGCGCGAGCGCCGCGGCGGCGGCGGCGGCCTCGGCGTCGCGCGCCGACGCGTCGCAGCTCGACGCGCCCGCCTCCTCGAGCCACCGCAGCTCCAGCGTCGTCGCGCTCCGCAGCGGCTCCGCCGCCGCCGCCGCGCGCCGGTCCTCGGACCCGAGGCGCGGCCGCGGCTCCGGCTCCTCGTGGAGCAGGCGCCGCCGCAGGTCCTCGATGGCCACGCGCCGCGGCGCGCTCGGCGGCGCCTCGACGAACTTGGCCGCGCCGCGCCGCACGGCCTCGACGTCGCAACTGTGCGGCGTCGCGCTTTGCTCCACGGCGCGCCGCGCGGCGTCGCAGGCCTTTTCGATGTCCGCGCAGGTCGAGAGCGTCGTCAGGAGCTTGTGGATCGCCTCCTCGGCGCCCATGGCCGCGTGCTCTCTGGCAACAGGCAAGGCAGATTGCAGGCGCTTCCAAGCTTCGGCTGTTCGACCTTCCGAGGTTGCCCTGCACGATCCACCTCAATCACGAGTGGTGCCTCGCACCCCGTCGAAGGCGGAACCGGAACGCCGCGCTGGTGCTGGTGCGGAGGAGCAAGAAAAACGCGGTCGGCCGTCGCAGATGCCGCGCGCGTCCGGACGTCGCGCGGCGCGCTCGCGGAGCGCCCGCGAGAGACGGACTACGGAGAGGCTTTCGGCGTAGACATGCCGCGCACCTCCACATTAATCGTCGTAAGTACATCGAGCTTTATGCGTGGTTGACGCGAGGAGGTTGATAGCCGTAGGCGGCCGCGAGCTCCGTGATCATCCGGTTCGCTTTGTCGACGACGTGGAGGTCGCACACGTTCGCGAGGCGCAGGAGCCGCCTGTCTTCGAGCGACAGGTCGTAGCCGCGCGCCTTCGCGTACGCCCACTCGCCTCTGACCGGCGCCACGGACAGCGGGCCGCCCTTCGGGCGCGCGTTGTGCTTCCGGTCGACGGTCCTCACGCCGACGAGCTCCGTCAGGATGTAATACGATTCGCCCGGCCTGTCGGCGAGATTCAGGATCGCGTGGTACTTTGGCAACTGCGCCAAGGCGACGGAAAGGAGGTCCGCGGTACACGATGTCGTCGCGTTCGAAGAAAGGAAATGTTTGCTGGGCAGGAGATGTCGCGTCAAGAAATTGTACAGCTGGCGGCGGAATTCACTCATGTACTGGGACTCTTCGCGGAGCACGTCCTTGAGCTCGGCCGAGTTGAGTCGATGGGCGCCGAGGCCCATGGCGGCGTACGAGACGAACCTCTCGAGGGGGTCACGCACGAGCAGGAGCCACGTGTAGCTCGTCCACATGCTTGAATGCGCGGGCCGCGCGACGACGGCGTCCAAGACCGTCTTCGCGCAGTCGTCGAAGCGCCAGCCGGGCTCGATCATGATCGTGTTGCACAGCGCTTTGTTCGCCGTCATCGCCTGGGACGTGCGCTCGGCCGTGACGTTCGGACCCACGACGGAGGGGCATTTCCATACCCTCTTTTTGCCGTTCAAGGTCGGCTCGTGGCCGTCCAAGGCCTTCAGGTAGTCCAAGGCGATGGGAGCGTCGAGGCGGCAATTGTAGTTGGTATGCTTGCCATTGAATTGCTGGCAGGCGGACTTGCACAGCGCCGTGCCGCCGGCCTTCATGACGTGCATGGCGAGTATGGGCCGAGAGGATGCGTTCGTGTGCGCAGCTCTGGCACCGACGACGAGGCCGACGAAGAGCGCGAATCCGAGGAGCCGGTGCGAATGGAAGCCCATGGGCGCGCGTTGTCGCCCCGCCAACCGCTCGTGGGGCGTCGAGCGTGTCCGTCGCGGGCCCCTGAGGAAACAGCGATCATGGGGGGGAGGCGTGGGGGGTGCACCCGGTGTGCACCCGGCCGGCGCCGGCGGCGCGCGCGCGGGCCAATGAATTTCTTAACCCGCGAGTTTGTACCAGTCGTGCCCGCGGGGCCGCCGGGAGTGCAGCAAGCTCTTTCTAACTCGACCATCTCGGGACAATATCCTCCCTCAAAGATCTCCTGCGTACGAATACGCGCGTATACGCGCCAGCCATACGCTGCGTCAATGCGCCGAGCGGTCGCTTTTCGTGGTCGGGGCGACGCCCCATGACCCCTGGCGTCGCCCTGGACGGTTGGTGGGCGCCTCAGGCGCGATTTCGGTCTCGACCAAAAATCGACCTCGCGGCCCGGTTCGTGCACTGTCGTCCCACGGACGAATTACGGACGAATCCGCCACCACCGATCTCGCCACCATCGACGCCGTTGTAGCCTTCGGGAACGCCCGGGTTAAGAAAATCAAGCGACCGCTGAAGAGCAGGGGCAGCGGTGGCGCGCGCTGCACTATGCCGGGACACCCCCCCTAGCGATCTGTGGATTCAACGCAACGCACGAGCTCGAGAGCATGTCGCCTAATGCGCTAGAGAGAGAGAGCATCTCTAGACACTCCTGCAAAGCCTCTCCTATCAACGTAAGAAATCGGGTCCCAACCACTCCCCACCTGCTCTATATCGTTCGCAAGTCCTCCGCCGACCCCCTCAACCCCAATCGCCCGCCCAAGCTTCCCCCCCTCCGCTTCGGGGCGCCTCGATTTGCGACTGCCGACTTCAAGACCGGAAGTACGGCGATCCGAGATTCAAAGAGAACGACCCCCTCCCTTCGCACGTCGTCGGCGGCCATCCCCTAGCACCATAAACCTCGCGCGTCCGACGCGCCTCCCCTCGAAACCGCCGCGCGCGCGACCCGGACGCCGAAGCGAGCGATTCGACCGGCCGCCGTCGCAGGCACGCCCATCATGAACAAGGTCCTCGTCGCTCTCGCTCTCTTCGCCCCGGCCTTCGCGGCCGACGAGTGCGCCGTCACCGAGGTCGACGTCCACTCGACCGAGGGCTCGGCCGACCGCGGCTCGCTCGAGCTCGACGAGGCCAACCCCTGCATCGACGCGGCCCTGGGCTACGCGCCCCTCCGCGACGACCTCGCGAACGTGCCCTGCGACGACGCGGGCGCCCAGTCCGCCACGGACGTCACCGTCGGCGCCGTCGGCGAGATGGACCCGGGCCTCGACCCCATCGAGGACTACAACGCCATGGGCATGTGCACGGTCAACATCCACTGGCACATCGGCGCGGAGCACCGCTCCGAGGGCGTCTACGACGAGACCTTCGACTTCGACCACCCCGCGCTCCACGACGACGACGCGCACCGCAAGCTCGCGTGGACCAACGGCAAGCAGCGCCCCAACGGCCGCCGCAAGCTCGCCGGCGGCCGCGTCGGCCACATGTGCAAGAACGCCAAGGACATGCACGACGCCAACGACCCCATGGTCGCCGACGAGTACGACTGGAAGTACTGCGAGGGCATGCACGTCGGCCTCACCTACGAATTCCACTGGCCCCACTCGTCCCTCGGCGCCTGCCAGACCAAGTGGCAGTACCAGTACCACTTCCTCGACGGCGTGCTCTGCGGCGCGACACAGGGCAACGTCGACATCGCGACGGCCTCCGCGCTCCTCTCCGACCGCACGCACGGCATCGGCGTCGAGGGCCAGGTCTACACCATCGTCAACAGCGCCGACGGCGCCCACAAGCAGGGCACCTGGGACGCGCTCCAGGGCTGGAACAAGGAGCTCGCGTCGGACGGACTACGCGTGGTACCAGGGCTCGACGACGGGCGACGCGGCGGACAACGAGATCTGCCGCGGCACGGGCGGCCTCGTCACCTGGCACCAGGACCGCCAGTGCCACCTCCTCGAGGCCTCGACCATGGACAACATCTGCCGCCAGATGCTCGTCATCTCCGCGGACGACATGTCGCCCGACGTCGCGCCCCACGGCGCCCGCGAGACCGTCAGCGCCTCGCTCTCGGACACGCCCTACACGCCCTAAGCGCGCGCCCAGCACACGGCCCGGCCCCGGACCCAGTCTGCGCGGCCCGCCGGCGCCGCCAAGCCCGCGCGCTCCCCATCCTCCGTTCCCCCTCGTGTCCATTTTCCCCAGCAGAAGGAGCTGAAGCCAGGCTGCTGCGCGAAATGCCGCGCATCTAGACATTAACTTTCAGAAGTACGTTGAGCTCGACGCGCATCCCCGGCGAGGAGGGCGTGTGCTCGTCGGTCAGCCACCGGCCTGCACTCTTGATGCGCAAAATCGCTGTCGCCTACAATAGTACCCGCTGCTGTGCGCCTGGTTTAATAGATCGACATGGGAGACGAGAATAAGGAAGAGCCGGCGTGGCGAATCAAGCAGCGCGAGTTCGAGCAAGTCAAGGCACGGGCGAAGAACGCCAAGCTCCGCACGACGTGCACCATTTGCGGGGAGAAGGCCAAGCTCAAATGCCCCTGCGAGACGACACAGTGCGCGCCCGGCGCCGGACGCGACGCGCGCGAAACGGTCGGGGGGCGGCCATTTTGACGCGCGACCTGGCAGGTACTGTTCGGTCGCCTGCCAAAAAGTAGACTGGCGCGAGCGGGGGCACCGCGAGGCCTGCAAGAGGATCCGGAACGAGCGTGCGGCGGAGGCGGCGCGGGCCGATGCCCCGACGCCCTCGTCGCCGCCGGAGGAGGTCTTCTACGGCCCCGCGCCGCGTTCGCACGCCGACGAGGTCCGCGCGCGCATCCGAGACGAGCACGAGGCCGCCCGCTTACGGCGCGAGGCGAACCCGGAGCCGGAGCAGCCGTCGCGATGCTCGATCTGTTTGGAGGACTGGGATGTGAATTTGTGGCAGTTAGAACCGGCCTTTCGTCCCTGCTGTTGCCAGGTCATGTGTTGGACGTGCTACACGAGAGATCGGGGCGGACCGTGTCAAATCTGCCGAGCACCATTACCGAAGAGTCGTGAAGAGCATCTGGCGCTACTTAAGCGCCACGCCAAGAACGGAGTACCGGAGGCGATAAACGCTGTGGGAGATTTACTTCGCGACGGTCCACTCGGCTCATCGCGCGCCCAACCGTATACCGGCCCCTTCTTCTACAACTCCAATTGCAGGGTGGCCGCGACGTTTTTCGAGCGTGCTGTGGAGCTCGGTAGCGTGCAGGCAATGACGAGTCTTGGGCTCTTACACGAAAATGGGCTCTGCGGCAAGCGGGACATGAAGAAGGCGACGCGGCTGTATCGTATGGCTAGTGACAGGGGCAATGCGAGGGCGCAGGAAATCTTGGCCAGGCACCTGCAGTTCAACACAACACAATCGCTGCGCGAGGAGTCCTTCCGCCTCTACAAGCTCTCCGCCGAGCAGGGATATACGCAGGCGGCGTATGAACTCGCGAGCTGCTACGAGCGCGGCCGGGGCGTGGAACGCGACCTCGAAGAAGCCAAGCGCTTGTACACGGGCTTGAAAGACGACCTCGATTACGCTGACGCCGCCGAACACGCGCTCCATATCATACAGTCGGGCGAAATTCGCGAGCAACAAAAACTTTGTGCGCAGCAAGCGGCCTGTTCTGCGATTGCGCGCCTCGAGGCCGCGCCCCTGCCGAGTCGGGAGCGGCGTTCACGCGGCTAGACCCCGAACGCAGTCCGGGGTCGGCGGGCCCCCGGCGCCGCCAAGCCCGCGCGCCTTCAACGAACCCCCCTCCCCCCTAAACGGCCACGCGTGGCCGACGAGTCCCTGCCACACAACATTAGCGCCCTTCGCGGGAGCGGGGCCGCGCCGGCGCCGCGTCGACGCCGGCCGTGGGCGACTCGCGGCCGCCCGGCGGCCGGTCGCCGAGGGACGAGCCCCGGTCGCGGCCGTCGCCCTTGGGCCGGTCGCCCGTGGACTTGCCGCGCGTGCCGCGCGTGGAGTCGCGGTGGTGGCTTGCCTGCGCGAGCGCGTCGGGGGCGCCGTACGTCGACTCGCGGCCGCCGCCGAAGTTGTGGCGGCCGTCGTCGTCGGCCGCCGGCGCGTGGCCGTCGTCGCGCCGCGCGTTGTGCTCGAGGCGCTGGACCGCGTCCACGAGCAGCGACAGCTGCGACTCGAAGTTCCGCGCGCCGCCGCCGGCGTCGTCGCGCGACGCGCGCCGCGCGGGCGCGGCCGCGTCCCCGGCGCCCGGTGCGCCCGCGTCGCCGTCGCCGGCGGGCGGCGCCCCGCGGGGCCCGGCGGCGTCGGCGTCGTCGCGGGGCCGCTGCGCGGCGTCGTCGCCGGCCGTCGCGGCGTTCGACGCCGTCTCCTTGAGCGCGAAGCACGTGTGCACGGGGAGCATGGTCGGCGTGCCCTGGAGCAGGCAGTTGAGCGCGTAGGTCTCGTGGGCCGTGAAGGTGCGCGTGCCCTTCTGCCACCACTCCCGGAGCGAGATCGCGAGCGACACGTACTCGAGCGGGTCGTGGTCGTGGCGCCTGGGCAGCACAAGAGTGATTTAACGTCGCTTCAACGTGAGTGTTCCGCGCGCGCGCGTTCCGGAAAAAGCATCCACGCTTCAAGACCGTTCCGAGAGATGAACGCTCGTCCAAAAATCAGCCGAAACGAGTGGAAAACGGCCGAGATAGGAGCCTTTGAAGTTGGGAATTTCGCTCTCTTTTGCTGCCCTGCGTGGCGCGTGTGGTGGCGGAAGTCGTGGCCCGCGCGCTCGAGGCGGTCCGCCGTGAGGGAGCAGACGAGGCAGCACTCGCGCATGTCGATCTTCAGCATCTGCTGGTCCATGTACATGGCCGTGAACTCGTTGAGAATAATACCCGTGATCAACGCCTGGAATAACAGCACGAAGAAGATGAAGGCCATCACGTTGATCGCGATCCAGAGCGCCGACATGTAGTGCTCCCAAATATACAACTGGTTCGACGCGATGAGCGGGTAGAGCGGCACGTCGCCGAGCGTCGTGTACTCGTCCGGCTGCACGAACGGCGCGACGCCGAGGAACGCGTTCGTGATGCCCACGAGGAAGCACTGCCAGACGCTGTCGCACTGGACCCGCCCGAAGCTGATGAACACAAAGGCCGACGCCGCGAACATGCAGACGCCCATGAAGAGCAGGATCCGCAGCAGGTTCGCGGAGCTCAGCCGCAGCGCGCGCGTCACGAACGAGATCGTCCGGTCGTTGCGCACGTAGGGCACGAGCACGACCGAGTACCAGACGGGGCTCTGGAAGTTGCCCAGGACGCTCGCCGCCAACCCGAAGAGGGGCACGCCGAGCCGGCGCAGGAACCAGGCCCGCGCCCTGCCCAGCCACCGCCGGAGCCGCCGGTGCGCCGAGAGGTGCTCGAGCGGCGCGCCCAGGTCCCCCGCGAGCTTCGTGTAGACGTCGATGGCCCCCGAGTTCTGGCTCAGGTCCGCCGACGAGTGGTCCTTGCCCGCCGCCCTGTCCTCGACGGCCTCGCGCGCCTCCTGGGGCCGCGCGTGGCGGTCGTCGCCGTCGTCGTCCTTGTCGTAGAGCGCCGCGGCGACGACGACCTGGAGCGCCGCGAGGGCGACGTGGACCTTGCCGATGTACCAGGCGAGCACGCCGAAGTCGACGTTGATGGCGTCGCCCAGCAGGCTCCGCAGGGCCCGGGGCGTCCGCAGCACGTCGACGTCGATGTACGAGTACTGGAGCTTCCGGTCGTGGGTCCACCAGTCGTCGCCGTCGCTCCAGGTGTCGTCGCCGCCGAAGTTCACGTCGATGGTCTCCTCGACGGCGTCGCCCCGCGGCGCGTTCTTCCGCGTGTACCCGAAGAGCACGAGCGCGTTGAGCGCGAGCGTCGCCGCGAGGAGCGCCTTGTGCAGGAGCGAGATGGCGACCATCATGTACTGGGACTCGGCCTCGTCGAGGGCCTCGACGGCGATCTCGTTCATCTTCTTGAAGAAGGCGCGCGCCTTCATGTTCTCCGAGACCCCGACGCCGCGCGGGATCTCGCGGAGCCGACCCAGCGTCGCGTCGCGCCACGTCGCCTTGGCGAGCAGCGCGATGGCCAGCGGCGACCGCCGAAACAAGGTCACGGTCACGGAGCCGTCGGCCATGGCCAATTCCACGCTCCCGACGTGCTGCTCCAGCTCCAGCGTGTCGTTGCGCACGGATCGGAGCTCGTGGCGCAGCTGGTGGCAGAACGCGTCGAAGTCCCACGTCCCGCAGACGCGCTTGAGCCGCAGGCGCACGTGGCGCGACGCGTGGAGCTTCGCGACCTGGGCCAGGGTCTTTAGGACCACCAACGCCAGGTAGGACTCCTCGAGCACGTCCGCCTCCGCCGCGACGGCCGTGTTCGCGCGCGCCATCGCGAGGCCGAGCTTGATCGCGTGCGTGAGCTGGCGCAGCAGCGCCGCCGAGTCCTTCATGATCGTCGACAGGCCCACGATGTCGCGCTCGCGCAGCATCTCGAGCACGGTGCGCAGCACGGGCTCGCGGACGTTGTGGACCGCCTGGTTCTCGCGCGCGGGCTGGAGCCGCCGGAGCTGGAAGAGCCGCGACGCGCGCGCGGGCTCCTCGGACCCCCGCCGCCGGGTCGCCCGCGCGTCGCCGTCGGAGCCCCGCCGCCCGCCGTCGGAGCCCCGCCGGCCACCGCCGCGGAGCCCCCCGATCTTCGACGCCGAGTCGCGCTTCCGCCGCTCGGGCCGCTCCGCGGCGCGCGGCGCCTGGTCGTCGTCGCGCAGCGACCCGCGGCCGAGGCGCAGCAGCGACCCCGTGCGGTCGGCGAACGGGGTCTGCGCCCGCGACACCTGGTGGAGCGAGTAGGTCACGTTCCGCAGGAGCGTCGACGCGATGTCCATGTAGCCGTACTGGACGACCATGAGCTGGTTCCGCGGGTTGCCCTTCGTGAGCCAGAACAGGATCTCGCAGAGCGTCTCCGTGCAGTCCGCCGAGTCCTCGTCGTAGGACGCCGTCTCCGTCGTGAAGACCTGGAGCAGGCGCACCAGGTGCTCCAGGAGGCACGACGGCTCGCCCTCGCCGGGCGCGACGCCGCCCTCGTACGACGCGGACCGCACGTAGTCGTGGACGCGCCGCGGCGCCTCGCTCACGAGCATGAGCACGAAGCGCAGCGCGTCGCGCGCGATGCCCCCCTCGGACTTGGACCTCGCCTCGGCCGCGTCGAGCTCCGCGGCCATGACCCTCAGCTGCTCCGCCTGCGTCGACTGGCCGCTCGGCGGCGGCGTGACGTACTTGCCCGGCAGGGCGCCCCCGCGGAAGCCGCCGTGGCCCGGCAGCGCCGACATGGTGCCGCGCCGGCTCAGCGCCGACGCGATGGCCGTCGACGACCCCTCGCCGAAGATGTTCGCGGGGCCCGCGATCTTCGCCGCGGACGCGAGCGAGCTCCGGCGCCGGTTCGGCCCCGCGCCGGCGATGGAGCCCGTGCGCTGGCGGCTCGTGACGCCGCCGCCCGCGAAGGACACCATGGAGGCCCGCTCCTTGATGACCGACGACCGGCCCAGGGACCCGCCGAGACCCGCGTGCTTCACCATCGACCGCCGCGGCCCGCCGCCGGGCCCCGCGAGGTTCGCCTCCGACGTCATGCGCGCCTTCTTGAGCGAGTTGCCCACGTGGGCCTCGGACGTGAGCCGCGCCTTTTTGTGGTGCTCCAGCCCCGGCGCGCGCGACTGGTTCCGCGCCTTCGCGACCTCCGAGGGCACGTGCGCCGCGGCCTCCTTGATGGCCCGGGCCTTGGCCTTCTCGCGGCCCGTCTTGAACTTGCCCACGGCCAGCGCCACGTGCAGGTTCGTCGCCGCGTCGGGCCCCTTGGCGTGCTTGTGGCCGTCGCCAAACAGAATACCCGTCTTCTTCCGCTGCTCCGTCGCCATCGTCTGCCGGAGCTCGATGGCCTTGGCGTGCGTGACCTGCTTCTCGTAGACGATGCGCTTCTTGCGCAGGTCGCGGTGGGCGGCGACCCACTGGCCCACGCGCACCAGGAGCGACCGCAGCTGCAGCGCGAAGCGCGCGCCCTCGCCGCTGAGCGCGTAGTCGATGACGTTGCCCTGGACCGTCGCGCGCGTGGCTTGGCAGCTGAACAGGAGCGCCATGAGCGAGATCGACGGCGTCTCCAGGAGGGGCAGCCCCATCAGCCCGAGCACGACCTTGTCCAGCGCCCACGTGTCGACCGCGTGGCTCACCGTGGCGCACGCGACGTCCGTCTGCGGCAGCGTCTGCTCCTGGACGTTGCCGACGCCCGAGTTCGCGCGGTAGTGGAGCATCAACAAAAAGGCGTGGAGCGCCATCTCGATCTCGCGCGTGTTGTGCTGGGCGCCGCGGACGCCCGCGCCCGACGCGCCCTCGGACGCCTCCAAACCCAGGTGCGCCGCGGCCTCGAGCTCCGCGGGCCGGCTCCTATAGATCTCGCCGTGCGACTTGACGATGTCGAGCCGCAGCGAGCTCACGAGGTAGGGGATGCAGAACTGGCCCTGGGCGCTCAGCAGCAGGAGCGCGATCTGCTGCGCGGCCTCCTCGTGGGGCTGCGGGCCGAGCTCGACGAAGCTTAGCACGAACGCGCGCCAGCACGACCCCACGAGGCTCGCCTCGTCGCCGCCGTCCGCGTGCGTCGCGACGCGCAGCTCCAGCGCCTTGGACCGCGCCTGCTTCTCCGCCGCGCGCTCCGTCGCCGTGCGGGCCTGCTTGGCGACGTTCGCCGTCAAAACGGCTTCGACGTCGAGGTAGCGCTCCAACACGCCGTGGACGCGCGCGAGCTGCTTCGCGTCGAGCAGGTCCGGCCCCACCTCCGTGACGAAGTCGAACAAAGCCATGGCCAGCTTCTTCCGGCAGCGGTCGTCCATGGGCCGCAGCTTGCCCCGCATGAGCTCCCGCATGAGGTACTTGTTGCCGTAGCACGCCTCGACGGCCGGCACGACGCAGTCGCAGACGTAGTCCACGACCAATTTCCCGCTGTGCCAGGCCTCGGGCACGGGCTCGCGCGTGTGCGCCGGCGACGCGCTCCCCAGGTCCGGGCCGCCGGGCCCCCAGGCCTCCTCCTCGTCCGCGGCGCGCGCCGCGTCCGCGCGGAACCGCAGGCACCGGCGCACGTCCTCCGCGAACTCCTCCATGAGCGACTTCGTCGGCGGCCCGCCGGACGCCGCGTCGAGAAACGACGCGACGCCGCCGCCGCGGCCCGCCTTGGACGCGCCGTCGCGGCCGGACGCCTTGCCCGCGGCGCCGCGGCCCGTGTTGCGGTTCCCCGACACGGTCTGCCGCAGCAAGCGCAGGTGCGCGTCGGGCCAGATCCAGGAGATCATGGATCCGAACATCTCCGGCGAGCAGGACGTGCACTCCAAATAGACCTTGGTGATGAGCCGGAGCCAGGGGCCCTTGAGCGCGAGCGTGGACAGAAAGTGGTCGTCGCGGTCGACGCCGAACCAGTACCGCGTCGCCGCGTCGTCGTCGTCGTTGCCCTCGTCGAAGTCGTCCAACCCGTCGGGCTCGTCGTCGTCGTCGTCGGACTCGGAGGAAAGATAGGAGTCCTCGCTGTCGTCGTTCGAGGACTCGCCCGCGGACGCGTCGCCGCTCCGCACGGCCGCCAACACCTCGCTGTGCTTCTCGACGAGCATCTCGAGCTGCTTCTCCTCGCTGAAGGCGCCGATGACCGTCGCCGCGCACTGCTCGAAGCTCAACAGGCTGTGGAGCGTCCGCGCGGTCGCGCCGTTCGCGCACGCGCCCAGCAGGTCGATGCACGCCGCGTGGTAGCGCACGACGGAGTCGACCGCAAAAAGGTACTCGCGCTTCTCGACGAAGGCGCGCATGTCGTCCTGCCAGTCCTCGCCGAGGTGGTCGAGGAGCACGGGCTGGTTGTCGATGACGACCTGGAGCACGGACGACTGGAGCTTGCGGAGCTCCGGCGCGGTTTCGTCCAGGTAGAGCATGCCCCGCAGCAGGCTCACGTAGGGCAACCGCCGCCCGTTGACGCAGGTCAGCTCCACGACCGTCTCGGAGATCGACGGCGCCAGGGAGCTCAGGATCGGCGGGTGGCTCCGGAAGACGGAGCCGAGCGCCCTCGCGACGGACGCCTCCAAGGGCCCCACGGCCAGATGCTCCTGGACGTGGCGCGCGTGGGGCGCGACCTCCTCCTGGAAGGAGGGACCGCCCCGGCAGTACAGCTCGATGAACTCCATGCAGCGCTCCATGAGCACCATGTAGTTCCGGTCGTAGCACCGCGCGGCCGACCCCGCGGACCCGCGGCGCCGCGCCTGCACGGCCCGCGAGTCGTCGATGTGGCGCAGCGTGTTCCGCACGGCGGCGACCTTGCTCTCGCGCTGGACCATGGTGCGCCGCCGGTACTCGGGGCTCAGCAAGTTCGCCTTCATGGACTCGCGGTGGATCGCGCTCCGCAGCGCCTCGATCTCCTCGAGGTCCTCGGGCGACACGCCCGGGTCGCCGTCGCCGGTTTCCTCTTCGTTGACCTCGGACTCGCCGCCGCCGGGCGTCGCGGCCCGGATTTCCTCCTCCGTGACGCGGCCCGGGTCCGGCGGCGCCTCGGGCTTCGGCCGGAGGTCGCAGTAGCGGTCGTCGCCGCCCTTTTTAAGCGTCCGCCGCCGCCCGTTCGGCGACGCGCCCGAGGAGTCGAGGCTCGGCCGCGGCGACGCCGCGTAGCTCGACTCGCTGTCGGCGGAGCCGCGCTGGAACTCGGCGCCGTCCGGCTCGAGGAGCTCGTCGTCGGGGTCGACGGCCGCGCGCACGGCCGGCAGGCGCACGAGGCTCAGCACCTCCGGCAGGATGTTCGACCCCCGCAGGATCGCGAGCTCCTTGGGCACGTGGTCCGGCCCCCGGTCCGCGTCGCGGTCGCACGCCGCGCGCGCGAGGTCCGTGATGTACCGCAGCACGTCGACGGCCTTGGCGACCGCGACGGACCGCACGTCCTCCTCCATGTCTAATACATAAGTCGACAGCCGCCAGAGGATCTTCGCCGCCTGCTGGATGTGGCAGAGCGTGCGGTAGTCCTCCACGGAGCTAATGAAGGCGACGTGCTGGAGCTGCGTCGCGAGCGTCTCGTCGCGCGCGGCGACGTTCCGCACGAGGATGCGCATGGCCTCCGAGCGGATGTCGCCGTCGGGGCAGGTCTGGAGCTTCAGGAGGCAGAGGCTCAAGTTCGTGAGCATCTTCGGGTCGAGGTCGTCGTTGAAGATGGGCACGCGGTGGAGCTCCGCGGCGAGCTTCGCCGCCGCGGCGACGGTCATGTCGAGCCGCCCGGCCTCGAGGAGCGTCACGGCCCCGGGCTTCGGCGGCGGCGCCTCGACGGGCGGCGCGCTCACCGCCGTGGGCCGCTTGCCGCCCGATGGCTCGCCGGAGAGCTTGGACTGCATGCGGACGATCGCGGACGGGCTCCGGCCGCCCGAGTGGCCGCGCCGGAGGACCGCGGCCTGGCTCTCCGCGCGCCGCTTGGCGATGGCGTCGACCTTCTTCGCGTACTCGTCGCGGACCCGCAGATCCTCGACCAGGCGCGCCTCGAAGGCCGCCTGGAAGCGGTTGAGCTGCGTGTTGAGCTGGCGGTGGAAGAGCGTCTTGACGACCTGGGCAGGACACGAGTGATTCAACGTCGCTTCAACATGAGTGTTCCGCGCGCGCGCGTTCCGGGAAAAGCATTCACGCTTCGAGAACGTTCCGAGAGATGATCGCTCGTCCAAAAATCAGCCGAAACGAGTGGAAAACGGCCGAGAGAGGAGCCTTTGAAGTTGGGAATGTCGCTCTCTTGTGCTGCCCTGGCCGCGACCGATAAAGCGACGCGGTTGAGGTCGTGGACGATGACGCGCTTCGACCGGCTCGGCGTGCTGGCGACGCAGGAATTCAGGTTGAGCACCTTCATGACGACCAATAGGATGGTCTGCACGGTCTGGGGCCGCGCCGACGGCGCCTCCTTGACCGCGATCAAGGACCCGAGCCGCGACCCGCGCCGCGTCTTGCCGTCGACGCCCCGGTCCGGCGACGAGCCGCCGCCGAGCGTCGGGAACTTGGGCTTGCGGCCCGTCGGCGAGTCCGGCGCCTTCTCCTCGCCGCCGAGGCGCAGGCCCGGCGACACGCGCGGCGACTGCGCCGCGAGCGTGCCGCGGACGGCGACGTCGCCCTGCTCCGGCGCGTCCGCGCCGCGGCTCGCCTCGACGGCGGCGTCGGGCACGACGGCGGCGACGGCGTCGACGACCCCGAAGGAGAGCAGCCGCTCCATGGTCTTGAGCAGACACAGGATCAGCTCGAGGCGGTGGTTCGACGTCGCCTCCTCGGCCTTCGCGGACCGGCTCCCGCCCGCGGCGAGCATCACCCGCGACAGCGTCGACCGCCGCCGGCCGGCGGCCTGGGGCCTCCCGGGCACGTGGAGCGTCTCCTCGGCGATCAGGCTCCGCCGGTGGGCCGCGGGTTTTTGGGCGCCGCCGAAGTTGCGGTTCGTGCCGAACGACCGGCCCTCGCCGGGCTTGCCCGCGGTCGCGAAGGCGCGGCCCTTGCCCGCCTCCGTGGCGCGGTCCGCGGGGCCCGCCGGGTCCGTACCCAGGCTCTCGGCGGACCCCGTGAGGGACGCGAGGGGGTGCATGACGTCCGCGAAGAGCTTCGGTAAGGACGGCGCCTCGTCGACGGACGTCGACAGCGCGTCGACGTCCGCCTCGTCGAAGCGGTCGCTGCGCTTGACCGTGACCCGGAAGTGGCTCCGCGACCGCGCCGTGCAGAGCACGGGCTGGGGCGCGTGGGGCTCCGCGTCCACGTAGAGCGCGTGCCAGAGGCGGCTCGCGGCGGACCGGACGAAGGACGGCACCATCGCGGACTGGACGACGCCCGTCAGCGCCGCGTAGTCCACGAGCTCCCTGAGCGCGGGCTGGCGCAGCAGGAGCTTCCGCGCGTTGCGGTTCCGGTGGCCGCACAGGTCCGCAAGGAGCACGAACGTGTGGCGCACGTAGACGAGGAGCCGGTGCTCGGGCTCCTGCGACTTGGAACCGACGATGTGCTCCGTGATGTGCATGTAGGAGCAGGCGTCGACCCAGTTCCCGACGGCGTCCTTGGACTTTTGGCGCGACAGGGGCGACGCGGAGAGCTGGCTCGCCTGGCGGCGGCCCTTGGACAGGCCGTCGCCCTTGGACATGGACCGGCCGAGCGTGGACATGTTCAGCGGGCTCCTCCCGATCATGGAGTGGCGGATCGTCGCGTTGCCCCGCTGGAGCATGCCGCCGACGCCGCGCTTCGCCGCGGTCGACGCGGGCGCCGCGGCCGCGGGCGCGTCCGCCGGCGCCCTGTCGCCGCGGCCCGACCGCGACACGGGCCGGCCCTCGCCCCGCGACGCGGGCCGCGACGCCGGACTCTGCGACGCGACGCCGGCGCGCTCCTTCATGAAGAGGCGGTAGGTCGCCTGGACGTGCTCGTCGGGCGCCGCGCGGACGCGCGGAAAAAAGCCCGCGCCGTCCTGCTTCGCGAAGACCGTCGCGGCGATGAGGTCCTGGTTGTGCTTCATGGGCACGCCGTCGCAGACCGTGAGGGCGCTGTACAGCTCCAGAATCTCCGGCAGGCAGCCCGCGGCGTCCGAGCCCGCCTGGAACAGACGGTCGATGAGCCCCTCCTTGGGATCCCGCAACGCGGCCTGGTTGTCCCGGTAAATCTCGACGAGCAGCGCCTCGATGTCGACCTCCTTGCCCAAAAAATCAAACAGCAGCGCCTCCTGCTCCGCGAGCAGCCGCTTCACGACCATGTTGCCCGCGGTGATCTTCAGGAGGAACTTGGCGCACGCGGCGCTCAGCCCGCGCGCGCCCGGGCCCGTGTCGAGGTGGTTCCGGCACATCTGGAGCGCCGTGAGCACCAGTCGGGGGATGTCCTGCTCCGCGAGGAGCATCTGCATGGAGTAGGCGACGCTGCTGCGCTGGTCCTTGCCCTTGTCGGCCTTGCCTGGGCAGCAAAAGGGTGCGAAATTCCCAACTTCAAAGGCTCCTATCTCGGTCGTTTTCCGCTCGTTTCGGCTGATTTTTGGACGAGCGATCATCTCTCGGAGCGCTCTCGAAGCGTGGGTGCTGTTTCCGAAACGCGCGCGCGCGGAACGCTCACGTTGAAGCGACGTTGAATCACCCTTTTGCTGCCCTGGGCCCTGCGGCCCGCGCCGCCGCACGTCGCGCGCATGTCGTCGATGGTCCGCGTGAGCATGTCGACGCGCTGCTGCTGCTCCTCCGCCGACGAGAGGGCGTAGAGCGCGTCGGCGGAGGACTTGATGGACATGGCGCGCGTGTGGCGCTTGTTCTTGTCCTCGAAGCCGACGCAGAGCACGAGCTTGTTGCGGCAGCTCCTCGCGAAGACGACCTTGCGCGCCTCCTCCTCCGCGCAGCGGTGGACGGCGAAGGCGCTCTGCTGGGCGTGGGCGCCCTTGAAGGCCTCGAGCCTGGGCTCGCGGCCGTGGACGGCGACCTGTGTGGAAATCAACCAGTGGAATGGACGCGTCCAGCAAAACTTCAAACCTCTCTATCTCGGTCAAATCGAAGTCGATTCGGCTGATTTTTGGACGAATCGATTGCTCTCGTCGAGTTCTCGAAGCACAGCCGAAGAACTTGCGTCGAAACTGTCGCGTACGCTCACATTGAAGTCGGGTTGAAGATTTGATTTGCACACAGACGGCGACGTGGCAGTTGAGCGCGTAGCCCGAGACGACGGAGACGATGTTCACGGTGTCGCCGTCGCAGAGCGGCGCCGTCGCCGCGTCGCCGCCCGGCGACCGGTCCGCGCCGTCCCCGAAGGGGCCGCCGGGCGCGACGAGCCGCAGGCTGAAGAGCGTCGTGCCGAGCTTGTCCTCCCGCAAGCTCCGCCACGTCGTGAGCTCGATGCCGCCCTCGTCCTCCGCGGACCGCTGCTGGCCCCGGTTCACGTAGCCCAGGTAGACGCCCGTCACGAAGTGCTTGATGCGGTAGTGGTGCCGCACGCCGGCCAAAATCTCCTCCGCGCCGGAGGGCATCTCCGTCTTCTCCAGCACCCACCAGCTCATGGAGTTCGTGAACGTCTGCTGCTTGTAGATGGACCGGTCGAACACGGGCCGCGTCGTCGTCGGGAGCTGCGACGACGTCGACCAGGACGCGGCCGGCAACGCGAGCTCCTCGAGCGTCTGCGTGAACGCGAGCTTGACGACGTCGCTCCCGTTGAGCCGCCGCGCGAGCTTCAGCCGCTTCTCCAGGGACGTCTCCGGCTCCGCGGCCCGGAGCTGCATGATCTCCATGCGCAGGCCCGCCGTGTGCGTCGCGCAGACGCCGTCGACGCGCGACACGTGCGGGTGGCCCCGGGTCCGGAGCGTGCCCGCGGGCCGCTCCTTGTCCGCGGCCGCGCCGTCGGTGATCAGCAGCCGCATGGCCTGCTCGACAAATTCCAACACGACGAGGTTCCCGTTGCGGATCGTCAGCGCGTCGACGTGGGAGTCGTGGCTGTTGAGCGCGGGGAACAGACGCACGTGCGCGTCCGACGACGCCTCGCTGGGGTCCTTTAGCTGGATGTCGAGCGTGCCCGGGTTCGGCCCCTGGTCGCTGACGATGCACAGCACCTTGCCCGTGCCGACCTAGGGGTGATTTTTTTGGGGGACGGGGTCGCGCCGCGAAAAAAGACGCGGGTCCGCGGGACGTGGTGCAGCTCCACCACGGCGCCGTAGCGCACGGGCGTGCGGTGGAGGCGCCGGTTGTCGTCGGCGTTCTGCTGCTCCTCGAGCTCCGCGAGGCGCTGGAGCTCCGCGCGGCCGTCGTAGCCCGAGCCGTTGACCGCGCCGCCGTAGCCGTAGTCGGCCTTGGCGTGCAGCCGGTTGAGCTCGTTCTGCGCGCGCCGGTTCGCCATGCGCCGCACGACGAAGCGCACGTCCCGCGGGTTCGGCGGCATGTTCACGCCGTGGTGCAGCTTCTCGAAGACGAGGTTGTTGTCGCTCACGCCGTCGGCCGTCAGGAAGCCCCTGCGCGGGGGGACGCGGCTCGACCGCCGCGCGCGCGCGCGGTGCCGCTCGCGCGCGAGCCCTGCGCGCGCGATCCGTGCGCGGGAGAAACGCACCGCTGCCCGATGAGCGCCAGGCAGATCGTGTCGCCCAGCCGGATGGACGTGCCGCTGTCCCCGGCGTGGTGGAGCGCCATGGCTCCCGGCCCCCGTGCGCGCACGTCTACCACGCGCGGCCCGAGCGCCGTCCAGTCATGCGCGCGCCTCGAGCCGCGCCGCGCGACTCGGCGCCAGCGGTGCGGCTACGCGCACACCGCCGCCCGGCCGCGCCGCAGAGCAGCAGCACCTCGAAACGGGCAGCACTTCACCAGCACGACACCGGCCCCGGGGTGTCTAAGCTGCCGGGCAGCTCTTGTGGCATGACTGCAATGCCAACCCACGAGTTTGCCTTGCAGAGGCATCTGCGGCCTCGCCGATCTGAGAAGCTCGAGGACTTGAGCCAGCTATGTCGACCGCGATGCGATTGCTCACCGCCGCCTGCGCGCTCTCGGGCGCTCTGGGCCTCGTCGCGCCCGTGGCGCGCACCGCGTCCCGCGTCGCCCGCGCGTCGGAGCCCGGCCCCCAGACGCCGACGCCGGAGCCCGAGAAGCCCAAGCCGGCGCCGTCGCCGGTGATCATGCCCACCGTGACGGGCGCCAACGGTGAGCAGATCGACGTCGTGAGCCGGCTGCTCAAGGACCGCATCCTGCTCCTCGGCAGCGAGGTCAACGACGAGGTCGCCAACGTGCTCGTCGCGCAGATGCTGTACCTCGCGAACGAGGACCCCGAGGGCGACATCACGCTCTACATCAACTCGCCCGGCGGCTCCGTGTCCGCGGGCATGGCCATCTACGACACGATGCAGTTCATCCCCTGCGACGTGTCCACGGTCTGCTTCGGCATGGCCGCGTCCATGGGCGCGTTCCTCCTCGGAGCCGGCTCCAAGGGCAAGCGCAAGTCGCTGCCGAACGCGCGGATCATGATCCACCAGCCCCTCGGCGGCGCCCAGGGCCAGGCCGCCGACATCGAGATCCAGGCCAAGGAGATCCTCTTCACCAAGGCCTGCATCAACACCTACATGTCCGAGTACACGGGCCAGCCCATCGACAAGCTCGCCGAGGACACGGACCGCGACTTCTACATGATGCCCACGGAGGCCCAGGACTACGGCCTCATCGACGAGGTCATCAAGACCAAGACGTCCCACATCAACCTCGGCACGATGCCCTCCCTCTGAGGCGGCCGCGCGCGCGGCGAGTAAGCGGCGGGGTCGTTCCGAGTTCGTACGTGCGGCACGCGTTTGTGGTTTATGTTTCTAGGACGGCGACCCGCGCCTCGATCCTCTAGGGCAGCCGCGAGCTCTCTAGCGAGTTCGGCGTCGGTCAGCTCGAGCTTGGAGAGGCTCGATGGGCGTCCGTGTCGGCGACGTTGAGTGAATGTTGAACATCATTGAACTTGCCAGCGACGAATATGACGCAGTCGAGGATGGTCATGCATTCGTGGCTAGCTTTCGCGCTCCTGCGCGTGTCGTCGGCGCTCGTCGCGCCGGCGCAGCGCGCGCGGATCGGTAGCCATCTCCCTGCCGGGATCCAGTTCGGCGACACGGGCGGCGCGGCCATCGTGCTCGACGACGTGGCCGTGCGGCGGGGCCCTGTGGAGCTGCTGAGCGGCGTGAGCTGGCGCGTGTTGCCCGGCGAGCGCTGGGGCATCGTGGGCCCCAACGGCGCGGGCAAGTCGACGCTGCTCGGCGCGATCCTGGGCGTCCACGAGTCGACGACGGGGGGGATCGCCGTGAAGGAGGACGCGTCCGTCGGCTACCTCGAGCAGACGGGCGTCGGCGGGTCGTCGTCGACGGTCCGCGAGGAGGTCATGTCGCGCATGGGCGATCTCGCTGCCGCGCAGGCCGAGCTCGACGCGGCGACGGCGGCCGTCGAGGGCGGCGACTACTCGGAGGCGGCGCTCGAGCGCATGGGGACCGCGCAGGAGGACTTTGAAGACAAGGGCGGCTACACGGCGGAAGAAACAGTAGCCAAGGTGCTCGGCGGGTTGGGCTTCGACGTGAAGAGTGATCTGGACCGGCCCTGCGGCGACTTCAGCGGCGGCTGGCAGATGCGCATCGCGCTCGCGCGGCTCCTCCTCTCGGGGCCCGAGATGTTGTTATTAGACGAGCCGACGAACCACCTCGACAGCGCCGCGCGGTCCTGGCTCGCGACCTACCTCGCGGACTACGAGGGCACGCTCGTCCTCGTGAGCCACGACACGGCCATGCTCAAGCGCGCGCGCGGATCAGGGCGGCACAAGAGAGCGAAATTCCCAACTTCAAAGGCTCCGATCGCGGCCGTTTTCCACTCGTTTCGGCTGATTTTTGGACGAGCGATCATCTCTCGGAACGGTCTCGAAGCATGAATGCTTTTCATGGAACGCGCGCGCGCGGAACCCTCACGTTGAAGCGACAATGAATCACTCTGTTCCCGCCCAGGTGCGACTCCATCGCGGAGGTCGTCGGCGAACAGCCGCGCGCGGACCGCCCCGCGGGCCACGGCCGGCGCCTCGAGGCCTACAAGAGCTGCTCCTTCGACAAGTGGCGCCAGCAGCGCGCCGAGCGCGCGGCCCAGTGGGTCACGGAGTACGAGAAGCAGAAGGTCGAGGAGGCGGATCTGGAGGATTTCATCAGGAGATTCGGAGCAAAAGCGTCGAAAGCGGCGCAGGCCAAGGACCGCGAGCGGAAGCTGGAGCGGCTGCGCGAGGTCATGCGCCCGCGGCCGCCCGACGACATCGTCCAGCTCGCGAAGACGCTCGCCGACGAGACGGAGGCGCTCAAGCAGGCGTCGCGCGACGACGCGCCGGAGACCAATTTGGGCGACACGGTGGCGTCGCCGCTCCTGTCGACGCGCACGAAGACCTACCTGAAGTTGCCGACGCCGCCGGAGTGCGGCAAGATGCCCGTGGAGCTCAAGGGGGCGACCTTTGGGTGGCCGCCGCGCGCGTCGTCGGCGCCGCGCGCGAAGCGCGCGCGGCGCTCCGACGACGAGCTCGAGCTCGAGGACATCGACGTCGACGTGAAGCCCATCGTCCGCGACGCGAATTTGGCCGTGGAGCGCGGCATGCGCATCGTCGTGCGCGGCGCGAACGGCGCGGGCAAGTCGACGTTGGTGAAGGCGGTCGCGGGCGCGTTGCCGCTCATCGCGGGCGAGCGCCGGTGCGACGACCGCCTGAGCCTCGGCTTCTTCCGCCAGGACCTGAGCCAGGAGCTCGACCAGGAGGCGACGGCGCTGGAGGTCGTGCTCCGGGGCACGCGGAAGGACGGCGACGCGATGACGTCGGAGAAGCAGGGCCGCGACACGCTCGGCGCGCTGGGCCTCCGGGGCGAGATGGCGCTGCGCAAGGTCGGCTCGCTCTCCGGCGGCGAGAAGGCGCGCGTCGCCCTCGCCTGCTTCGTGCTCGTGCCCAACAACGTGCTCATCCTCGACGAGCCGTCGAACCACCTCGACGTCGACACCGTCGCGGCGCTCGCGAACGGTCTGAACGCCTTCGAGGGCGCGGTCATCGTCGTGAGCCACGACCGCGCCTTCGTCGACGAGCTCAAGCCGACGCACGTCGCGACGGTGGCCGACGGCGCCGTGTCGCTCGAGAAGCGCGACCTCACGGACGCGGACTGGGACGTGTCGTCCATCGACGAGCGCGGCGCGCCCGCGGCCGACGCCGTCGTCGTCGCGGAAGCCGAGGCGCCGGCGCCCGTCGTCGAGGTCGTCGAGGACGACAAGACGCGCAAGAAGCGCCACAACGCGCCGAAGCGCATGGAGAAGCTCGAGGCGCTCATCGCGGACGCGGAGGCCGCCGTCGCGGCCATCGACGCCGACATGGCGGCCGAGCGCGACGCGGGCGCGCTCATGGGCCTCCAGGAGAAGCGCGACGCGACGCAGGCCGACGCCGACAAATTCTGGGCCGAGTACGGCGAGCTCGAGGAGCTCCTCGCCGCGGCGTAAGGAGGTGTCTATGCTAGACTCCAGGTGGCTCACTTACTACCAAGGGCAGCGGCGGCTCGCTTCGCCCGCCGTCGGCCGCGAGCCTCGGCGATGGAGAGCGTTTTGAGGATGTCGAAGAAGGCTGGGTCGATTTTGTCTTCGTCCGAGATGTGTTTTTTGAGCATGACATTCAGAGGTGTCTCCCCTTGTCTGCCCCACAATGCGCTTGCGAGTGCAGTGTCGCATTTCAGAATCGCTTTCACAAGTTCGAGAACTTCAGGCCAAGGGTGTTTCGAAATATTATACGCAACGAAATGGAGCAGTGTAACCCCATCATTGGACTTTTGTGCATACCCAAGATCCACCCCAAATTCGAGAAGAAGCTTCAGCACATCCAGTCTCGAACCGTAGTCATGGTTCACTTGACGAAAAAGTAGTCCATACAGGGGTGAAGTGTTTTTTCGGTTGCCGTGAAAATTCGGATCCGCGCCTGCTTCCAACAGCATGCGGATCACATCCAGCCGCTGGCGCCGGCAGGCGACTTGGAGCACACAGATGTCATCGAAAATAAACTTTGGATTCGCGCCCCGAGCGAGTAACTCCGAGACCCACGCGGCAGGAACTAATCCATAGACGGCGGCTTGCAGGGCGCCGTCCAGAGGCAACTGAGACAGCAACGACTTGAATGCGGCGCACGACACGCAAGACACGTCAAGAGGTTGCAACTCCCCATCAACATCATACGCGCCCAATCTGAGATCCGCGAGATCTTTTAGCTGTCGCAGCGCGCCTGAGCGGACGAGCCGATCGCATTCCGTTGGGAAGGATGTCAGGTCTGCGCCAAAAGAGAAATACATGGTGAACGCGCGAAGGTCCTTCATGATGCGCAGAGGCCAGCTGAGAGCTCTCAGATCCTCCGCGGAATCAGCACAACAAACAGTTAGCCCCCGGCAGCGCGTCAACTGCGAGACGATGCCCACACAGGAGCAGGAGAGACCGCGCGGCGTGATCCCATGGACTTCCTGGACACAGGGTAGAGCCGCCCGCGCCGCGCGGTCCGTAGCGGTAGCTTTCAATATTTCATCGAAGTCCAGGTAGTCGAGGATGCGCCCTCGGAGGTGCGCGTCGAGGTGGCGCATGGCAGCGCGCGCGCCCTCGTTCCGCGCCATGAGGCGCGCGCGGTTCTCGGCGCGGGACGACGCCCGCGCTTCACGCGCGCTCGTTGCTTGTCCTGCTCCAACCATGCCCGCCTTCTTCTCGAGTCGCGGTGCAAATAGCCAAAGCTGAAGTGCTCGAGGAGCTCCTCCGGCGGCGTCAGGAAAGACGGAGCTTCTTACCCTAGGGCTACCGGTTCATGGACTCGGCTCTGGATAGCTGGGAGGCGATAGCGTGGAAGGCTGCTGCCTGCAGTGCTGGCTGGTTCTCGACAGGGACATGGAATGCAAAAAGGGTGTTCAGTGGTGTTTCGCGGCAGGATTCTTTTCTGGCCCACACGGCGCTGGCGAGGGATCGGTCGTGGTCCAGCAACACTTCGACAACTTCGAGGATCTCGGACCAACGGCGTCCCTTATTCTGGGCGAGGATATCGTGGAGCGGAGTAGATCCACTTTTTCCAACACGTCGAGGATCGGCGCCAAATTCGAGAAGCAGCTCCACCACATCCGCTCGTGTACCATCGTCTCCCTCGAGCTCACGAGGCAATACTGCTTTGTAACAATCCGACTTGGGGCATGCGCCGGCATCCAACAACATGCGAATAACGTCCGGTCGCTGAAACTCGCAAGCTGATTCGAGCACACTAAGATCCTCTACGGTGTATTTCGGGTCCGCGCCCAGAGCCAGCAGTTCCGAGACGCATGACGCGGGAACGCAGCCAAACGTCGCGGTCATCAAAGCACAATCCAGCGGCAGTTGACGCAACAACTTCTTGAACGCGGCGGACTCCAAGTGAAAAGCGTCCATGGGAAGAGCGCTTCTTTTAGCGTCTAGCATGCCAATTTCAAACCACTTAAGGTTCTTTGATCCTCGCAGCGCTCCCGTGCGGACTAGTTTTTCGCAGTCCTCCTCCCAGGTGGTCATGTCCGCGCCGCTTACGAAGAAGATGGACAATTGCTCGAGCGCCTTCATGAATGTCAGAGGCCACGCGAGGTGCACAAGATCGCGCGGCTCTGCCACGTCGACGTCCAGTGTTCTGGTCCGTGTCAATTTCGACACGACGTTCACGCAGGAAAGAGCACCTGCCTTGATGTCACGGACTTCCTTAACACAGAGTAGAGCCGCCCGCGCGGCGCGGTCTGTCGTCGAAGCTCTCAAGACATCGGTGAACTCTAGGTGATCGAACACCGCTGCGCGAAGGTGCGCGTCGAGGCGCCGCATCGTTGGGCAGCCAGCTGGGGAGCCGGTCGCTCAAAAGTTCAAGAGCGACGGCACCCAACCAACGTGAAGCGCGCGGCGACGATGGCACGCCTGATATCGATCGCAGCAATGCTCATCGCCGCCGTCGGCGCTCTGCGGCCCACGCGCATTCAGCACATGCGTAGCGTGCGCAGACTAAGCGCCTCAGACGCCAGCGCCGACGAGATGAAATTGTTCTGCGAGGAGACGGCCGAGGCGAGCGCCGACGCCGTGCGCAAGGTGCGCGCTCCTCCGTCCCACGCGCGCGCGCGCATCCCGCCGCGCCAACGCGCGCGCGTCTCGCAAATTCGACGAAATCACAGATGTCCGTCGAGGAGCGCGTGCAGCGGTCGATGGCGGCCGAGGCCGCGGAGGATCGCATGATGGCGCTCGCGGGCGAGCTCGAGGACGCGATCGACGCGGGCGACGCGGCGCTCGAGGCGGAGCTCCGGGCGAACATGGCGGCGACGCGGCAGCAGTACAAGGACCTCGTCGGCGGAGGCTCGAGCCTCTTCGTCGACGCCGTGAGCGAGGCTTCATAACGTAGTCCGACGGCAGGCTCACGTGGCAGGGGAGGGGCCTCGTCTACTCAGGTCAGGTCCGGCGATACCGTAGAACAACGGGAGCGAGAGAAGTCCGGGTCAACAACAGGAGTACAGAGCGGCGCGCTTGTCGCGCCGCGGCGGGGGGATGCGGGTGCGGCCTACTTGCGGCCGCGGCGCGAGGCCGGCTTCTTCTTCGGCGGCGGCGACTCGTCCTCGTCGTCGTCGTCGTCCTCCTCCTCCTCGAGGGGCGCGGCGGGCATCCAGGAGCGGCGGCGCTTGCGGTCCGCGGCGTCGGCGTCGTCGTCGTCGTCGTCCGTCGTGATGTGGCCCGCGTCGCCGGAGTACGCGCGGCGCGCCGCGGGCATGATGGGCTCGTCGTCGGAGTCGGAGTCGGCGCCGTCCTCGGCGAGGGGCTCGAGGAGCGGCGGCGCGTCGTAGGTGCGGCGGCCGCCGGGCAGCGGGTCGTCGTCGGAGTCGGACTCGGCGCGCGGCGGCGCCGGCGCGGCGTCGTCGTCCTCGTCCGCGGACTCGTCGATCTTGCCGAGGGGCGTCGACCGGGCCGACGACGGCCGGCTCGACGCGCGGCGGCGCTTGTCGCCGGACCGCGGCGCCGGTTCCTCCGGCTCCGGCGGCGGCGGCGCGCGGGGCTTGGGCCGGGGCTTGCCGCCGCGGAGCGCCGCCTCGAACGCGTCGAGGCGCGCCCAGGCGTCGTCGTCGTCGTCGTCGGCGCCGTCCGGGCGCCGGAGCGCGCGGGACCGCGCGTCGAGGGCCTCGAGGACCGAGGCCCGGAGGCCCGCGTCGCGCCGCGCGCGCGCCGATTTCGCGTTCTTGCGGCCGTCGGCGACGTAGGGCAGCAGCCCGGCGAGCCCCGCGAGGCTCGCGGGCGGGTTCGCGAAGGCCGCGTCGAGGCCCCCGTGGAGCACGCCGTGGAGCGCGTCCGTCGCCGCGGCCGCGTCGTCGCCGAAGGACGCGCGGAGCGCCTTGGCCAGCGCGGCCCCGAGGTCCGCGACGGCGTCGCGCGCGGCCTCGTGTTCGTCCTCGTCGCCGTCGTCGGCGCCGAGGAGGGCCGCGACGCGGTCGAGGGCGCGGAGGTGGACCGTGGCGGCGTCGTCCGGGTGCGCGGCGAGGGCCTCGGCCGCGGCCGCGAGGATCTCGGACTCCTCGGCGGCGGCCGCGACGGCGAGCACGGCCGCGAACAGATCCTCGCGCTGGGGCGTGTCCGGCCGGCCGCCGGCGACGAACTGGAGGGCCGGCTCGAGGACGAGGCGCGCCGGGGACGCGTCCTTCGTCGCGGCCTTCCACGACGACGCGTAGTGCTTGGGCGTGGGCCGCGCGGGCGTCGCGCCGAGCGCCGCGGCGCCGTGGCGCCAGACGACGTCCGCGGCGAGCGCCGCGAGGTCGCGGTCGTCGTCGACGGGCAGCGCCAGCGCCGCGAACCCGCGCTTGCGGCGCAGGCCCGGGTGCGCGAGGCCGCCGGCGGCGGCGGCGGCGACTGCGAGCGCGCGGAGCTGCGCGGCGTGGAGCGCGGCCCAGGCGTCGCGGTCCAGGTCGCTCCGCAGGGACTTGGCTCCGTTGACGCCGTCCTGGGCCTCGGCGAGGGACCGCTGGGGCGCGACGGCGAACTCGTCGAGGTGCGCGACGAGCAACGTCTTCGCGGCGGCCGCGGCCGCGACGACCGCGGGGTCCGCGGGAGCGTCGCCGTCGTCCCTGGCGCCGTCGGCCCTGGCGACCGCGCGCGCCGCGACCCAGGCGTGGAGCGACGCGAGCGCGTCGAGCGCGTCGACGGCCGCGCCGTCCGCGGCGGCCGCGTCCTCGGCGACGCGGTGCTTGAGGTCCTCGAGGAGCCGCGCCGCGTCGCTCTTCTTCAGGCAGGCGGCGACGTCGGCCTGGGCCGCGAGGGCCGCGAGGCGCCGCGACGCCGCGCGGCCGTCGGCGACGGCCGCGTCGCGCTCGAAGCGGTCGTCCTCGCGGTCCGCGGCGTCGCGGAGCGCGCGGGCGAGGCGGCCGCAGCAGGCGCCTAAAGCGGCGTCGACCTGCTTCTGCGCCGCCTTGGCGTGGCACACGAAGGCCCGCGCGGCCTCCGCGGCGAGCCGCGGCGCGGCGCCGGACCCGCGCTCGACGGCGCCGAGCGCGGCCGCGAGGACCGCGACGTAGCGCGCGTCCTTCGTCGGCGCGCGCGCCGCGAAGGCCGCGAGGCCCAGGAGGTGGGGCAGGAGGCCGTCGTCGGCGCCGTACTTGCGCAGCAGGCCCGGCAGCGCGTCGAGCAAGGCGGCGCCGAGCGCCTCCGCGCCCGCGGCCTCGGTCCTAGACGCCGCCGCGAGGAAGAGGCGCAGGAGCACGTCCACCAAACGCGCGGCCTGGGGCGACTGCGTGCCGACGTCGTCGCGGCCGAGCACGTCGACCCAGGCGCGCCAGTCCTGGAGCAGCGCGCGCGAGTCGTCGCCGAGGTCGAGGAACGCGTCCGCCGCGAGCGGCGCGAGCGCGAGCGGGCCGTCGTCGCCGAGGATCGACGCCTCGACGAAGCGGCCGAGGTCGTGGAGCGTCTTCGCGCCGTCGCCGCCGGCGCGCGCGACGTCGAAGTCCTCGTACTTGAGCGCGAGGCCGAGGCACGCGGCGCGCAACTCGGGCGCCGCGTCCTCGTCGACGATCTTCGAATACACTTTATCCGTGACGTCGGCGACGTCGTCCTCGCCCAGATCTAACTCCGCCAGGAGGCCGCAGTCCATGCAGGCGTCGAGCGCGCCGACGGCCGCGGCCCGCGCGGCCTCGTCGACGTCGTGCGCCATCTCCGCGAGCCGCGGCACGAAGCGCGCCGCGAAGTCGCCGAGGGCCTCGCGCGTGGCGTCGTCGACGGCGCCGAAGGCCCGCGCGAGCGCGCCCGCCGCCGCGGCGCGCTCCGCGCCCTCGGGGAAGTCGAGGACCCACGCGACGTACTTGAGGTAGCGCGTGTCGAGGTACTTGGCCGGCCGCGCGGCGATCCACTTGCCGAGGCGCTCGACGACGGCGACGCGCACGCGCGCGTGGACGTCGCGGTAGCGCTTGCAGAAGACGTCGTCGAAGATGGCCTCGCCGAGCTCGTCGAGCCGCTCGAGCGACGCCTCGAGGTCGTCGGTCCGCTTCCGCACCGCCTCGGCCTTGGAGCCCTTCTTCGGCTTCGCGCCGCCGCCGAGGGCCTCGAGCTGGGCCGCGCAGCTCGCGACCTGGGCCTCCAGCGCCGCGGCGGCCGCGGCGACGGCGAGGCCCACCTCCATGGCGCCCGCCGCGCCCGCGTGGCGGCAGTGGACGACGTCGTGGCGCGCGCACGCGCCCAGCGTCTGCGACACGGCGCCGAGGGCCTCGGCGTCGTAGGACGACCCGGACCGGCAGCGGTCGACGATCTTGCCCCAGACGGCGTCGAAGCGCGCGCCGAAGCCCGTCTTCTTGCTCGACGGCTCGTGCACGGGGTACGCGTGCGGCCGGTCCTTCGCGCCGAGCTGGTCGCTCAGGGCCTCCAGCGGGTCCCGCAGCGCCTCGCCGTCGCCGGCCTCGAGGTCCAGGCTCTCGCCGACGAGCGCCGGCGCGTCGACGGCGCCGCAGGCCTCGAAGACGAACCGCGCGAGCATCGCCGCGCCTGCGATTCCGCCGCGTTCGGAGCGCGCGGTCGAGCGTCCCCGCGCGCGCGCGCGCGCAGGCGCGCTCCCGGTCGGCGCGCGCGCGCGCGCCCATCCCTGAAGACGACGCCGGCCCCGCGCCCTTGCCCGCGTTCGCGGCGTACTCGACGACCCACGCTTCCGCCGCCGCGTCGAGGTCGTAGTCCTTGTTCTTGAGCTTCTTCGCGTCCATGCACGCCTCGAAGAGCCAGCTCATGTTCTTCGGGTTCTTCGGCGCCCGCGGCGCCCGCGGCGCGCGCGGCGCGCGCTTCTTCGGCGCCGCGCTGGGCATGGGCTCGTCGTCGTCGGAGTCCTGCGCGAACTCCTCGTTGTCTTGGGTCAGCTGCATCGCCGCGCGCCGCGCGAACTCCTGCGCCGCGAGCTCCTCGGCGTAGCTGACGGTCTGCTTCACGGCGCGGCGCGGGCGCGTGGCCATGGTTGTTGCGTGCGCTCTCTTGCAGCAGAGATGGCGGACCTTTGCGCGCGAAGCCGAAGCTCGACTCTTGAAAACCTGGTCGATCAACTGGCCGGCCGGGGGTCGCGCGCGCGTCCCAGATGGGCGAAGAGTCGTAGCAAGGCTAGCTACGGCCTTCTAGGACCGTCGCAGGACAGCCTGAGAGGCGTGGCTCTTACGTGCTGGTCTTGCGAGTTCGAGGCGTGGCTGTCAAAATTGAATTTACCCCCGGCCAAGTGCGGCACCGAGAGAGGCAACATCTCCCGCTCAAGTGCTGCTCCCTCGCGGCGAGCGGCGGCAGCGACGCGCGCAAGGCCACCCACCGCGTCGCAGCCGGACACCGCCGCGCTGCAGCAACCGCACGCGACAGCCACCGTCGCGCGGCGCGCTTGCAAAAGAGATGCCGTCCTGGCACGCCGGGACCACCGGCGCCGTCGAGGACCTCTTCATCCCGGCAAAAACATACGAGGGCTCGCGGCCGGGCTACGTCTTCTCGACGCGCGACGGCCGCACGGGCTACTACAGCGACGCGCGCGCCGCGAAGCGGCCGCGCGACGACGGCGCCGAGAGCGCCGCCGCGAAGCGCGCGCGGCCCGACGACGACGGCGGCGTCGAGGCGATCCTGGCCAAGGCCGACGAGGCGGAGATCACGGAGCTCGACGCGGCGTCGCTGAAGCGCCTGCTTCTCTCGCTGGAAAAGAAGATCACGCGGAACCAGCAGCTGCGCGTCAAGTACGGCGACGACCCGAGCCGCTTCGCGGAGAGCGAGGTCGATCTGGACGACGCGCTCCAGCAGATGGGCCTCTGCGCGGCCGCGCCGGAGCTCTACGGGTCGCTCTGCGACCTCGGCGGCGTCGCGTCCATCGTCGGGCTGCTGTCGCACGAGAACGCGGACATCTCCGCGTCGGCGTGCTCGCTGCTCTACGACCTGACGGACGCGGACGTCGTCGACTCGTCCGAGGCGGGCGCCGCGGGCGCCGCGACGCTCGCCGCGGCCATCGAGGCGGCGCAGGGTCTGGAGGTGCTCGCGTCGAACGTCGCGCGCTTCGACGAGGCCGTCACGGAGGAGGCCGAGGCCGTGCACAACACGCTCGGCGTCTTCGAGAACGTGCTCGACGTCGGCGGCCCGGGCGCCGCGGAGGCCGTCGCGGCGAAGACGTGCCTCGGGCCCTGGCTCCTCGCGCGCGCGGGCGTCAAGGGCTTCGGCCCCATCAAGCTCTACGCGTCGGAGATCCTGAGCATCCTCGCGGGCGCGTCCGAGGCCGCGGCCGGCGCGCTCGCGGAGGCCGAGGTCGGGGGCGCGGACGGCGTCGACGCGCTGCTCACGGCCTGCGCCTACTACCGGAAGCGCGCGCCCGCCGTCGGCGACGAGGAGGAGTGCGTCGAGAACCTGTTCCAGGCGCTGGGGTCCCTCGTGTCGTCCGCGCCCGCGACGACGCTCCCGCGCCTCGTCCGGTCCGAGGGCGTCGAGCTCCTCGTCAAGTGCGCCAAGGAGGGCAAGCACGCCGCGGCCTGCGCCCTGCGCGTGCTCGCGGGCGCGCTGGAGTGGGGCAACCTCGGCGACGACGGCGACGCGAACCCGCTGCCGCCGTTCTTCGCGTGCGGCGGCCTCAAGGTGCTCTTCCCCGCGCTCCGGGGCCGCGGCGCCGCGCGCGGCGCGATCGTCGCCGGCGACAAGCGGAGCCGCCAGCGCGGCGGCAAGATCAAGCGGCGCCGGCGCTTGGTCGACGACCAGCGCGACCTCGACGAGCACGTCGTCTCCGTCGCCGCGTCGATCTGCCTCTACGCGGGGCCGGAAGCGCCGGACCTCGCGATGAAGCGGCTGCTGGCCAAGTTCGCCGAGGACGACTGCCGCGCCGTCAAGGCCCTCGCGGACCGCTACGCGGCCTACGCGCGCGACGTGCGCGCCGCGGCCGAGGACCCCGTCGCCGCGGCCGACGGGCCCGACGCGCGCCTCGCGCGCGCGCTCCGCGCGGGGCTGCACGCGCTCCGCCTCACGGCGACGGCCCTCGCCTTCGCGGCGGTCTACAGCCCCCGGGCGCGCGCCGCGCTCCTCGCGAAGCTCGCCGAGGCGGCGACGTCGCCCAACGAGCTCGCGAACGCGCTCGCGGACTACGCGCGCGACGTCGGCGACGGCGCCGACGCCGCGACGGGCGACGCGGAGCTCGACGCGGCGGCCGCGCCCGGGCCGGGGCTCGCCGCGACGCTCCGGGCCTGGGCCGCCGCGCTCTCCGCGCTCGCCCAGCCGTCGTAAACCGGGTGTGCGCCGTGCGCGTCGAAGTACGCGTCGGGGCGGCATCGTCGACGGCATCGGGTCCACGTTGAAGCTCGACGAAGCGGTCAAGCACTCGCCTGACTGTCTGTCGGCGTCGTCGTCCCGACACTTCGCAAGCACACCACACACCTCGGCGCGCGCCCTGCGCCCATCTCTCGCGCGCATCCCTCGCGCGCCATCGCTGCGCCGCGCGCGCACCCTGCTCGCAGTCGCGCCGACCCCGCCGTTCCTCCGCAGGCGCCGCACCATGTCGTCGTTCCACGGTAATAGCGGTCAGGACTGGTCCACGGTGAACGTGGGCCGGTCGGCGAAGCCCTTCAAGAAGCCGACGGACGCGGACAAGAAGCAGGACCTCACGAAGGCGCTGCGCACGGGCGGCGTGGCCACGAGCGCGCGCATGGGCGGCGCGACGAACAAGACGGTCGCGGGCCACGGCATCATGGGCACGACGGCCGGCGCGGGCGCGCGGAAGATCGAGGAGGAGACGGAGACCTTCAAGGTCCAGAAGACGGGCCTCGCCTTCGGCAAGGCGCTCATGCAGGCGCGGACCGCAAAGAAGATGTCGCAGAAGGACCTCGGCACGAAGATCAACGAGAAGCCCCAGGTCATCCAGCAGTACGAGGGCGGCAAGGCCGTGCCCAACCCCCAGGTCATCTCCAAGATCGAGCGCGCCCTCGGCGTCAAGCTCCCCCGGCCGCCCAAGGTCCAGAAGGTCAAGGACTAGGCGCGGGCGCCGCGCCGCGCGCTAAGCTCGATCGACGTTCGTTTGGGTTGGCGCGACGCGCTGGGGCGCCGCGGCCGCTTGGTGCGTGCGTCGGCGGCCCGTGGGGCGGGCCTCGCGGCGCGGCGCGCGACGCCGAGGCGTCCGGGACTTGGCCGGGGGTCGTGGCGTCGCGTTCGCCGTCGTCGAGCTCATCACCAGCGTCGTCGTCGCATCAGCCGCACGTAAGAGCGACCGACGCCGTCCGACGCGCCGCCGCCGCCCGCGACCCGAGCATGGCCGACTTCGCGGCGCTCGCGGCGAACGCGAAGAAGGCGCCGAATGTGAAGAACGCCGTGCTGCTGCTCAAGCACATGCGCGCGCACAAGGTCCGGCGCAGCGACCTCGTCGTGACCTACGGCGGCATCGCCCTGCGGAACGCGAAGCGCCTCGGCGACGACGCCTGGGCCGTCTACGAGCAGACGCTTTTGGCCGCGCTCGACGTCGACGACCAGCCGCTCGCGAAGACGTGCGCCGACGCGCTGCTCGCGCGCTTCGAGCCCAAGGACGGCGGCAAGCCGTCGGCGCGCGTCGAGCGCCTCAAGGGCCTCGTCGCCGAGGCGCGCGGCGACTGGGACGGCGCGCTCGCCAAGTACGCGGGGCTCCTCGAGGCGAACGCCGCGAACGCCGCGGCTTTGAAGCGCGAGATCTGCGTGCTCAAGGGCAAGGGCGCGGCGCCGGCGGCCGTCGCCGAGGCGCTCAACGGCTACGTCGTCAAGTTCCAGAGCGACCAGTCCGCGTGGCAGGCGCTCGGCGAGCTCTACGCGGCGAACCTGCGATTCGCGGACGCGATCTTCTGCTACGAGGAGCTCACGCTCTTCGACCCGCTCGCGCAGCACTACCACCGGCGGCTCGGCGAGCTCTACTACTCGCTCGCCGCCGCCAACGCCAAGGACGCCGAGCCCCGCTACCGCCACGCGCGCAAGTACTTCGCGAAGAGCCTCGAGCTGCGCAAGGCCGCGAACGCGCGCGCGGCGACGGGCCTCCTCCTCGCCTGCAGCGCGCTCAAGGTCCTCGTCCGCGGCGACAAGGTCGACGCCGACGACGAGCTCAACGCGGCGCTGGGCTCCGTCGCCGCCGCGCACCTCAAGGCGGCCTACGCGAAGGCGCCCGCGGAGCTCCAGGCCGCGAACGCGGCCGTGCTCGACGCGCACGCGCCGCCCTACGCGCGGCTGCTGCCGGCCAAGGACGCGGACCCGCAGTAGGAAGCGGCGGGGGCTAAGGCGTGCTTTTACGAGGCGTGCCGCGTGTGCGAAAAACGCGACGGCCGGGCCGTCCGCGGCGTCGCGTCACTCCGTCGCGGCTTGGGCGGCGCAGGCGCACGGCGCGGACGGACGCCGTGCAGACGGACGCCGCGGACGTCGGCAACACGCTCGGGGCTCAGGCCGCTAAATGATGACCCCTCGGCGTCTCCTGCGTTGCATTTGCCACGTTTTCCTCTGCCACTAACACAACATTCAAGCGAGCTATTCGGCTTTCGACTTGTTCAAGGCCGTTCGCGATGAGAGTCGTCGCGATTTCTCTTTCTCTATCTGCCGTTGCAGCGCTCCGAACGCCGAGCCGCATGCCGAGCCTGTCGTCGCAGACAAAAGCTTCGCTCTCAAAAGCTTCGCTCTTTCGTCGCACGAGCTCAGGGCTCTCGCCCGCGATCGAGTCGTCGGACTCGGTTGACGGCAAGTATGTGAGTTCCGGGAAAGAGAAACTCGACGCGATCTGCTCCGACGGCCGCCTCGTGAACGAGAAGGCGGCCGAGCAGGCCGCGCGGGAGGCCGCGTGGATCGCGGCTACGGTCGCGAACCTCGAGCGCCTCAAGAGCGAGAAGGACTGCGCGGCCCAGGCGGCCGAGAACGTCAAGGGCTACGTGCCACCGGTCGGCGGCCTCGGAGCCGCCCTGGCCCGAGCCGAAGCCGCGCGTCGAATTCAGGCCGTGGACGTCGTCGGCCTCGGCGAGCAGTCGGCCGCCGAGCAGGCGCTCGCGAGCATGGAGCAGGAGCGCCTCGCCACGGCCGCCCCCGCCAAGGCCGCCGCGGACGTCGACGCGGAGACGCGTCGCGCGGTCCTCGGCGCGCTCGGATGCGGCTGCGTCGCGTGCGCAGCGGCCTACGCGAGCGACCGCGAGAATCCAATCGATTCGCTCCTCGCGATGGGCGTCGAGGCGTCGCGGGCGAAAAACGAGCGCTTCGCGCGGGTCATGAGGGGCGGCATGCAGGACTACGAGGCTTTGGACGAGGTGCACACTTTCAAAGAGGAGCTCTTCGCGAACGTGCGGCCCGGCGACGCGGTCGTCGAGATCGGCATCGGCGGGGGGCCGAACCTGCAGTACTACGGGCCCCACGCGAAGCGCGTCGTCGCCGTCGAACCGAACCTCGCCTTCGACACCTTCGCCTCCGACGAGGCCCAGGCGACGGGCACGAATCTCGAGGTCCGCGAGGGTGTGGCAGAAAGGCTCCCGTTCCCGGACGGCAGCGTCGACGTCGTCGTCGGCACGATGGTGCTCTGCTCCGTGACGAGCGTCGCCGCGTCGCTCGCCGAGGTGCGCCGCGTGCTGAAGCCCGGCGGCCGCTACCTCTTCAGCGAGCACACGCGTGCGCCCGACGGCTGGAACCTCCTCGCCACGGCGCAAACCGTCGCGAGTCCGCTCCAACTTGCCCTCGCGAACGGCTGCCACCTGCGGCGCGACCCCCTGCCGGACATCACGGCGCGCTTCGGCGCGGCCCACGTGCGCGCGAGGAGCTTCGTCCTCGGCAACACGGGCCGAGGCCCCCCCTGGCCGCCCCACTTCCTCCTCGCGCCGCACGTCGTCGGCGTCGCGACGAAGGCCTAAGAGCGACTTAGATCGTCGGGAACCCGTCCAGGCCGCCGCCGCCGCCCCCGCCGCCGCCGCTACCAAGCAGGGTCTGGACGACGACGACGACCAGAGCGAGGCCGACGCCGAGCAGCGCGCCCTCGTTGCCGTCCGCGGCGTCGCGGCTCGCGTCCGCCGCCTGGCTGTAGGTCCCCGCGGGCTTCTCGCGCGGCGCGATGGCCGCGACCTCGGACTCGAGGTCCGCGAGCAGGGCCGCGGTGACCCACTTCTCGTCGACGTCGTCGCCGGCCTCGTCCTGGAGCGTCGTCATCGCGAGGAGCGCGCCGCCGTCGGCCTTGTTCCGCGCGCCCGCGGCGGCCTTCAACACCGGCGCCAGCAGCGTCGCCGCGGCGCGGCTCGCGGCGGGGCTCGCGTCCTCGTCCTCGACGTCGCCCTCGACGACCGCGCGCTCGAAGCGCCGCCGCTTCTCGCTCTCGACGACGGCCGCGGCCCACTTGCCCGCGCGCTGGAGCTCGGTCCGCGCGGCGACGACGCGCTCGAAGCGCGGCGCGAGCTCCGACGGCGTCGCGTTGCGAAAGCGGCGCCGCACGGAGAGCTCGTCGCGGTCGTAGAGCTCGACGGCTTGGGCGACGGAGATGAGCCGCGCGTCCGCGGCGCCGCGCGACGGCCGGCCGGACGGCAGGATGCCATCGAGCTCGCCGGCGTTCCACGCCGCGCGCACGTCGAGCAAGCTGAGCGGCCGCTTCCACTTGGTCTCGTGCTTCGCCCAATACGCCTCGAGCTCCTCGAGGGGAGACTCGCCGCGCGTCTTGGCGCGCAGCGGTGGCGGCGCGTACCGCTGCCGCGGCGCGTACCGCTGCCGCGGCGCGACGAAGCCTGAAGCGACCGAGAGCGTGGCGAAGATTGCGAAGCCCATTCTTTGGGCCCGCAACGGCAGGCAGAGGGCCGCAAAGATCAAGCCCATAGCCGGCCCAAGCAAGTCCGACGGGAGTGGATACGTTTCACGGCAAGTGTGGTGTCGAGGTATTGACGTAATTACGGCAAGTATCGACGATTTATCGGTCGATTCCGGCCGGTTCGGCCGGTCTCGGTCGCGGTGTCGGCCGGTGTCGATCCAAAAAAACTACTGCAAGTATCGGCAAATATCGGAAAAGTCGCTCGGTATCGGCCGGTGTCGGTCAGGGTGTCGATCGGAGTTGGTGCCGTGTCGAAAATTGTCGATGGTCGCGCCTAGCCCCGCTAAAAAATGTCGGAAAATATCGATAAATATCGAATTAAATGTCGAATAAAATCGATTAAATCGGCTCGCGTCGCTCGATTTATCTTGGTATCGGTGGCGGTGTCGGTCGGTCTCGCCCAAACTACGGCAAGTATCGGTCGATTTATCGGTCCAAAAAAACACGGCAAGTATCGGGTCGTTTGCGTCGTCTCCCGTCGGCCCTGCTTGAGCCGGCCCCAGGGCCTCAACTTTGTCAACTTGCACCATGTTGCCGTCTGAGAGCAGCCCCAAATTATGATGGCATAAGCACCCCCATCGAGATGCGCGCGCTCGTCGTCGCCGCGAGCTTGTGGCTCGCCGCGGCAACTTCACCGAGCTGCCCCTGCGAGGACTGCAGCGACCCGCGGCTCTCGAACGCGTCGTCGTGGGCGCTCTACCGCCTGTCCGACGTCTACGCCCACACGCTGTCGACCTACGACGCCTGCTTCTGGCCGACGTCCATCGCCTGCGACTACTCGCGGCGGCGCGCGAAGCTGTCGGACCTCGGCGCCTTCCTCGGCGCCGTGGGCCGCGCGGAGGCCGCGCGACAGCCGAAACCGGAAGCGCCGTCGCCGACGGAGGTCGTCTGGCACCTGCGGCTCGGCGACACGGTCAACTGCAGCGAGGCCTTCGAAAAGCCCTGCGACCGCAACGCCAAGTACGTGCTCCAAAAGTCCTACTTCGAGGCCGTCGTCGCCGCGCTGCCGCGGGACGCGGCCAAGATCACGCTCGTCTACGCGTTGGGGCACGAGGCGTGCCGCGGCGCCGCGGACCCGCGCCACGTCGACAACTCGCGGCGCTACGTCGCCGCGGCGCGGACCTTCCTGGAGTCGAGCAAGTTCGCCGTCGCCGAGCGCGCGGACCTGGAGCCCGACGACGACATGATCTACATGTGCAACGCGCGGCGCTTCGTGCTCTCGGGCGGCGGCTACACGCGCCTCGCGGGCGAGTGCGCGCGGAACTACGGCGCCGCGCCCGCCGCGGTCTACGGCCTCGGCCCGCCGGCGACGGACCTCGTCAAGCTCCCCAAGGCCGCGAGGCGCGAGCGGGACGCGCTCCTCGCCGCGGAGAAGGACCGGCACCGCGCCAAGCAGGCGCGCCAGTCCGCGAACGGCGGGCGACGGCGCGCGTTACACTGAGGTGCTCGACGACGCGCGCGGCGACACGGCGGCTATTAAAGATCCTAGGCGAGCGTGAGGTGCTTGATGACGCGCTTGAACTGCCAGTGCTTGTGGGACCACTCCGAGAAGTTGGCCGCGTACTTCGTCTTCGCGTTCTCGAGCGCGTAGGCCGCGAAGAGGACGACGTAGGCGTAGCGCTCGAGGTAGTTGCGCGCGCGCGTCCGCCAGAACTCGGGCGACCGCGCGGCGCCGGGCTCGGCTTTCGACGCCGACGACTCGCAGGCGACGATGGCCTCGACCATGTTCTGGGCGTGCGCGCACGCGTCGCAGCACGCGTCGGCGAGGGCCTTGGCCTCGTCGCCGCGGCCGCCCGTCGCCTTGTCGATTACATCCAGGAGCTCGAGCACGGACGCGAACGCAGCTGCCGGCGCTCGCGAAGGTCATCCTGGGCGGGCCCGCGGCGGACCTGCCGCACCCGGAGCTGGACTGGAAGGGCTTCCTCAAGGCCCTGGACCTGTGCCAGCGCGACTACACGGTCTGGGACCCGGCGCGGAACCGGCGGCGACCTTGGTTCCACATCAAGAAGATGAAGAAGTGCTACGGCGACGGCTGCGCCATCTCCTAGGGGGGCAAATTCGAAGACCGCGCCCCCACCCCTACGAATTCGGCCTCCAGTTGTACGGGAGCGCGCGCGCTCAGTGGTGGTGGTGCGCCGCGTCCTGGGTCCAGTTGATCGTCGAGAGGTCGACGCCCTCCTGGACGAGCTCCCAGAGCGGCGACATGTCGCGGAGGCGGCCGACGTGGGTCTTGAGGAGGTCGACGGCGAAGTCGAGCTCCTGCTCCGTCGTGAAGCGGCCGATGCCGAAGCGGATGGACGTGTGCGCGAGGTCCTCGGAGACGCCGATGGCGCGGAGCACGTACGACGGCTCCAGGGACGCGGACGTGCACGCGGAGCCGCTGCTCACGGCGATGTTCTTGATGGACATGAGCAGCGACTCGCCCTCGACGTACGCGAAGGACAGATTCACGTTGCCCGGGTGGCGCGCCGTCGGGTGGCCGTTGAGCACGACCTCGGGGATGTGCTCGTCGACCGCGTCCATCAACCGCTTCGAGAGCCTGGCGATGTGCGCCATGTCGTTGTCGAGCTCGCGCGCCGCCACGTCGGCGGCGGCGCCCAGCCCGACGCAGAGCGCCGTCGGCAGCGTGCCGGACCGCAGGCCGCGCTCCTGGCCGCCGCCGGAGAAGACGGGCTCGAGGCGCACGCGCGGCCGCCGCCGGACGTAGAGCGCGCCGACGCCCTTGGGCCCGTAGAGCTTGTGGCCCGAGATGGACACGAGGTCCGCGCCGACGTCGTCGACGTCGAAGGGCAGCTTGCCGACCATCTGCGCCGCGTCCGTGTGGAAGAAGGCCTTGGCCTTCTTCGCGATCGCGCCGATGGCCTTGAGCGGCTGGAGCGTGCCGATCTCGTTGTTCACGGCCATGACCGACACGAGGGCCGTCTCCCCGGGCCGCACGGCGGCCTCGAGCTCCTCGAGGTTCACGAGGCCCGTGGCCCGCTCCACGGGCAGGTACGTGACCTCGAAGCCCTCGGTCTCGAGGACCCGGCAGCTGTCGAGGACGCACTTGTGCTCCGTCTGCGTCGTCACGATGTGCTTCTTCTTCTTGCCGTAGAAGTGGGCGACGCCCTTGATCGACATGTTGTTGCTCTCCGTGGCGCCCGACGTGAAGACGACCTCGCGCGGATTCGCGCCGATCAACGTCGCCACCTGCTCGCGCGCGGTCTCCACGGCCTCCTCCGACTCCCACCCAAAGGAGTGGGTCTTCGAGTGGGCGTTGCCGAAGGACCCGACGAGGTAGGGCAGCATGGCGTCGAGCACGCGCGGGTCCACCTGGCTCGTCGCCTGGACGTCGAGGTACGCCGGCACGCCCTCCCGCGACATCTCGTCGATGGCGAAGCCCAGGGGCTTGTCCGGGTCGCCCATGCGCGCCTCCGCCGGCAAAGCGCTCAGGGCCCGCGACGGGACCCGCGACCGGAGGCCAGCAGACAGCAGGCGGGACGCGATCATCTTCGAGCTGGCGCCTTCTCCGCTTTTGCGATTCTGCTTCGCGGCTAGTCAGTCCTCTTTGGCCACCCGCCTGCGGGCCGACCTTGCCCCGCTCGGAGAGCGGTTCAAGAGAACCCGCAGGCAAGAGGCAGCGCTGAGCTTCGGCCGCCGAAGCCAGACCGAAACTCGTCGACGTGCGCCTCTCTGGCGTCAACGCACGCCATGGACCTCGAGGTAGACTCCCTGGGCGACGCGCCGTCGCTGGAATGGAAAAAATCGGCCCGTCGGCGGTCGAGCACGGGCTCTCGGAAGGTTCCCCGGCGATCGGTGCTGAGCGAGTCGACGAATCGGCACAACAACGCCGCCGACGACGCCGAGGCCGACAGCGACGGCGACCTCTGCCACAAGACCGACCCCGAGCGCGGGGAGACGTGGTTGGCGCGGTGGGGCGAGCTCGTCGACGCGCTCCCCGCCATCGACGACGACGTACCGCCGGACGCGTTCCGCGGCGCGGCGCGCGAGCTGCTGCGGCGTGGCGTCGAGATCGTCGACGCCGCGGACGCGGAGGACGCGGCGGGGCGCGACGCGCTCGTGCTCCGCTTCGTCGACGGACCGGAGGGGCGGGTCTCGCTGCCGCCGCCGTTCGACGACCCGTTCTCGTTCGCGAACGACTACCTGCCGCTCTACGGCCCGCTGCGGGGGTTCCAGGTCGACGCCATCGCGGCGCTCCACGAGCGGCGCGACGTCCTCCTCGCCGTGCGCTGCGGCGCCGGCAAGAGCCTGCCGCCGGCGATGGTCGCGGCGGCTCGGGCCCGGGACGCGTTGGACCGCGGCGCGCAGCAGGTCTGCGTCTGGACCGCGCCGACGCAGGCGCTCGTCGCCGACAAGGTCGACGACCTCCAGGGGCGCTACGGCGAGGGCTGGCGGAACGCGGGCGGGCGCGGCGACTTCGCCGCCGCGGTCGCCGGCCTGGAGCGCGCGGGCGCGCGCGACGACGACGGCGACGTCGTCTTCGACTACGCGGACGCCGCCGCGTCGAGCTCGACGTCGGCGTCGACGGCGCGCCACCCCGTGCTGGCCGCGATCTCGGCCAAGGCGTGCGACGTCGCCGTCCTGGTCATGTGCCCCGAGATGCTCGCGGAGCACGCGGCGTGGTTCGTGCTCGCGGCGCGCGCGGGCATCATCTCCCTCGTGGTCATCGACGAGTGTGACGAGGAGGTCGGCAACGACGACTCGTTCCGGCGGAGCCAGGAGGCGCAGGGGCGCACGATCCAGGCCTGCTTCGCGTTGGCCGGCGCGAAGGCGCCCGTCGTCGCCCTGTCGGGCACGCTGTCCAAGTTCGAGGTGGGCTCGCTCCTCGAGGCCCTCGGCCTGCCGCCCGCGCCGGCGACGCTCGTCATCCGGACGGCGTCGCCGATCAACTCCATGGTCGACATCCACACGGGCGAAGCCGACGACGAGGACCCGGACGGCTACGGCGCGCCCTGCGCGAGCCCCCTGGACCACGTGGCCGTGAGCCCGCCGGCGCCGGTCACGCAGCGGCCCGTGGGCACCGCCTTCCAGCTCGAGCTCGCGCGCGACTCGTGCGAGCCGCCGCCGACGGCCTTGGCGACGCGCCGCGCCGCGCGCCGGGCCGGGTCCGACGCGCAGCTGGCCAAGGCGTTGGGCATGGCGCAAGAGGGGCCGAACGCGCTGCTCGTCGCCGCGAGCGCCGCGATCTCGGACGCGACGGCTCCCGCCGAGCCCGGCGCCGGCGACGAGGCCGATCGGGCGACGATGCGGCGCGCGGAGACCCTGCTCCGGCGCCAGAAGAGCGCGCTCGTGGCCGAGCGCGACGGCGCGGCGGCCGAGCACGCGCACCTCTGCCAGGAGAAGGTCCGGGTCCTGAAATCCAGCACCGCGAAGATGCAGGACCTGAAGGCCACGATCAAGCAGTGCAACGCCGCGCTGCGCAAGAACCAGAAGGACAGCAACGTTGTCCAAGCCCGGCGCAAGGCGGCCGAGCTCCAGGACCGGCTGCGCGCCGCCACCGCCGCGGAGCCCGAGGCCGACGGCGCCGTGGAGCGCGACCCCGACGACGAGATCCGCATCACGGACGGCGAGCCCGTCTTCTCCGACGCCGACGACAGCGACGGCGACTTCGGCGACGCCTAGCCCTGCGGGGCCTAGCCCAATTCACAGCTAAATTAGCCGCTCTCACGATCGTTCTCGACTCGGAGGTTGTCTCGCGCGCTCCTGGACTGCGAGCTGCTGCGGCTTCCGCGATCCGCCGTACACTCCGTTCCGATTGTGTGAGATATCGCCGGACGGCCTGTCGCGTCGCTCGCGCGTACGGCGCACGAGCTCGTCGTCGGCCAGCTCGTCGTCGGCCGCAGCGAACCGGCTCCGCGACTCTGCCCGCGCCCGACGGAGTCCTGGACCGCGTGCGCGGCTTCCGCGGTCCGCCGCACGTCGTCCGGGCGCGCGTCGCTGGACGGGCCGTCGCGTCGCGCGCGCGCCCGACGCACCAGCTCGTCGTCGGCCGCGGCGAAACGGCTCCGCGGTCCGCCGGCTCTGCGACACGATGTCGGCTCCGCGGACTTCCGCCGAGGCAGCGAGAGGCCGAGGGCCACGTGTGTTTCCTCGCACGGGCATCGATTCGGGATGCCCTGGGACGGCTTTGAAGCTTTCGAGCGGCCCGCGAGACCGTCGGTGGACGGTGTTCAGCTGGGCCGCGCTGAGGGCTCTCCGAGAGCGATCCGTCCGGCGCTCGTTCTCGGCGCCAGGTGCATCGATTGCGACCATTCAAGCGCTCGAACGTCCCCTCGGTAGGCAAGGTCGAAGGCCGCGGCGGGACTTTAGTTGATCACGGCGCACACAGCGAGGTCGGGGGCCGCCGCTTCGTGGCCGAGCTCAGCGGTGCCTCTTGCCTGCGGGTCCTTGGACCGAGCGCGCGCGCTTGGCCGGGGGTCCGCAGGCGGGTGCTCTTTGGCGTCCCGGTCCGGAGGCAGCCTGCTGCCACGCCCATCTGGCGCGTACACCTCGACGAGACGCCACCGCTTCTCCAACCACTTACGCTCCCAGGTCCACGTCCGCGAGCGCGGCGTCGTCGCCGTCGCGGAAGCGCCCCGGCGCCCAGGCGTCGATCTCGTCCGCGGACGCGGGCCCCGGCGGCACGACGCCCCGGCAGACGACGCAGCCGCCGTTGCACTGGGAGCAGGGCCGGCCCGGCCGGCAGTCGGAGCAGAACGTGCAGCCGCAGCGCGTGTCGCGCGGGTAGGGCCGCAGCGCGACGTGGTCCTCGACGCCGTCGTTCGAGCAGAAGAGGCGGCAGCCGCAGACGGAGCCCGACGTGCCGCGCTGGAGGCACGCGTAGCAGAAGTGGGTGCCGCAGTTAAGGCAGCCCGTGCCCGGCTTGATGTGGTGGCACGCGTGGCCGTGGCAGTGCGTGATGCGGAACGCGCACTGCGGGCACGGCTTCGACGTCGCCTCGACGAACGCCATCGTCGCCGTCGGGTCCGGGCCGTCCTTGACCTGCTCGCAGGTCAATAGTGCGTGCGCGGGCACGCGGCAGCGCACGCAGGACCGCCGGTTGCAGTGCGGGCACGCGACGAACGGCGGCGGCCCCTCGAAGTCGTCGGGCGCGGCGCCGCCTTCCAACTCGTCGTCCACGCCCTCCGGCAGGGGCGCGTGCGGGTTGTCGCGCTGCTGCGCCAGGTGCCGCGCGAAGCCCAGCATGGAGCTCGTGAGCCGCCGCGGCAGCCGCGCTAGACCCTCGCGGACCGCGCGCTGGCTGCTGCCCGCGCCCGCGCCGTACTTGACGAGCGCGTCGCGGTGGGGCACGGCGAAGAGCCGCGCGCAGGTCGGGTGCGTGCAGTAGAACCGCTCCGCGACGTCGATGGACGCCTCGTAGAAGAACCGCACCAACCGCTCGAACTCGTCGCTCCGCAGCGGCAGCGTCTCCTCGGCCATGTCGTCGCGCACGGGCCGCGTCACCAGGCGCTCGACGACGTCCACGGTGACGACGCCGTCGCAGCCGCCCACGTGCAGCGGGCACCGCAGGCCGTCGTCGCGGACGAGCTCCGCGACGTCTCCGAGGCACGACCGGACCTGTGCCGAATTCAAATCTTCAACTCGACTTCAATGTGTGCGTATGCGACGGTTTCGACGCAATTTCTTTGGCTTGGCTTCGAGAACTCGATGAGAGCAATCGATTCGTCCAAAAATCAGCCGAATCGACTTCGATTTGACCGAGCTAGAGAATTCTCAAGTTTGGTCAGGACCACCCAAACCAGTGGTTGAATTCGGCACAGGACCGGACGTAGCCCACGGAGCACGACGTGCAGAGCTGGTGGCCGCAGGCGCCCAGAGCCACGAGGTACTGCGCCGACACGGAGTCGAAACAAATCGAACAGCACAGCTCCAGGGTCGGCGCGACGATCTCGCTCGCCTCGCCGCAGCGGCTGCACACCGGCGACCGCCCCCTGAACTCGGCCGCGCACGCCGCGCACAGCGTCGCGTGGCCGCAGGGCGTGTCCACCACCAGCTCCTTCGACTCGCCGCAGACGCCGCAGGCCGACGCGAGGAACCGCCGCTGCGCGCCCCGCCGCGCGCGCTTCGTCGCCGCGATCGCCGCCCGGAGCTCCGCGACGGACGCGGACCGCGACGTCCGCCGCTCGAGAGCGCTCGCCTTGACGGGCGCGAGCTCGATGTTCCCGAGGGGGCCGACCTCCTGGGCGTCGTCCCGCTTCCGCGACGACGCGCCCGTCCGTAAAATGACGTCGCGGACGTCGCTCGGCGCGCGGCACGCGTTGCAGATGGCGCCGTTCTCCTCGCGGAAGCGGTCCGCGCACTCGTTGCACAGGAACTGGTGGCCGCAGGGCAGGTTCAGCGCCGCGGCGCGCCGCTGGCGGCACAGCGTGCAGGCGAAGCTCGAGATGTTCTTCACCTTGGCCTCGGTCGCCGCGCGCTCGCGCTCCCACTTGCGCGTCTGCCGCAGGAAGTCGCGCCGCAGGCGCAGGCGCACGACGCAGCGATAGACTTCCCGGGCGACGGCGCCGACGTCGACGACCGGCACGCAGCACAAGAAGCAGACCGCGGCGACGGCGAGGAAGACCGTGCCGGCGACGAGCGACGCGTGGCGCTCGCCCGGGTCGCAGCCCTTGGCCAGGGACGTCGCCGCGAGGCGGCCCTTGTAGGGCCAGGACTCGGACCGCTGGCGCAGGGGCTGGAGCCACGCGGCGAAGAGCGCGCCGCCGAGGAGCGAGCTCGCGACGAGCGACGACCCGAAGACCATGGGGATGAGCTCGCTCCGGTAGGCGTGGACGCGCGTCGGCCAGCCCGCGAGGCCCCGGCTCACGAGGAAGCCGCCGACGTTCACCTGGAGGAAGACGGCGGCCGTGCCGAGGAGCAAGGGGCCCGCGGCCGTGAAGACGGAGGTGACGATGTAGGCGCTGCGCTGGGCCCGCCCGAGGTTGCCCCCGCAGAGCACGGAGCCGCCGGCGTTCGCCGTCGTCTCCGGCGCGAAGTAGGTGCCCAACAGGCTCGCCGGCGACCGCGTCGGGCACGCGTCGCACCGCGCGTGGCCCTCGCCGCGCGCGTACTTGCCGAACGGGCACGCGGCGCAGGTCGACGCGCCGGACGCGGCGTAGGTGCCGCTGCGGCACGCGGCGCAGGCCGTCGCCGCGGAGAGCACGGGCGCCTGGCAGACGTACCCAAAGTGCGCGCGGCAGTTCTCGTCCCAGAGCTCGCCCGTCGCGCCCATGCGGACGCAGCGGTAGGAGATGAGTTCGATGTCCTCCGTGGGCTCGCGCGTGGTGGTGCCCTCGGCGTCCGTCGTCTCGTACCAGTTGCGATAGTCGGAGCAGCACTCCGGGTTCGTCCAGGAGAAGGCCTTCTCGTTGCCGCGCTCGGACATGCCGATCCACATCGCCGCGACGCCCCGCAGCTCGGCCTGCTCGGCGACGAAGCGCGCGTGGCTCGGCCCGGAGACGCAGGCGAGGTGGCCGCCGAGCGAGTTGCAGGACCGCTCGGCCGCGGTCCACGTGCTGCCGCCGGCCTCGAAGTAGTAGCAGCTCCCCTCGTGGTCGACGACGCCGGGCGCGTGCGCGGGCGCGCCCGTGGCGTTGTCGACGCGCGACGCGGCCCAGGTCCCGGGGAAGCAGGCGCCGCCGCTCGGCACGCTGCCGCCGGCGCAGGCCTCGCAGCCGTTGTCGCTCGCGTAGCGGCCCGCGGGGCAGGCGGCGCAGGCCGACCCGCCGCCGTCGAAGACGCCGAAGCCGGCCTCGCAGTCGAGGAACGACGGCTGGAACGTCAGCGACGGGAGCGCCGTCGGGAGCGGCGTTGGCAGCGGCGTCGGGAGCAGCGACGGAACGGAGGTCTGGTAGTAAGATGTCGACATCGCACCTTGTAAGACGCGGGGCAGCTTCTGCCACTTCAGCGTCTCACCCGGGCCAGCGTTTCACGGAACGAGCAGTGCCCGCAAAGGCCCGCTGGAGGATTTTGTGGCATTTGTCCGAGAGGCCAGCTCGCCACAGGATTTTGTGGGTGCGATGGCATCGTCGCTGGTCCACCTGCGCTTGACTGGCCAAAAACCCGACACATACCAGGCCACGCCGAATCTGCCGCCGATCGACGGCCGCTGCAAGTCGCACGTCTTGATGGCGCTGGATAAGCACAAAAAGATGTTCAAGAACAAGAAGCTGCGACAGCAGCTCCACAACGACGTGTTTTTCGTGTCGAAGATCAGCGGCGTCTTCCACCACGCTTTAAACTCCGTCTTCGAAGCGCTCACGCAGCGCTACACGGACCTCGGCGAGGGCGAGGTGATGAAATGGTTTTCTTCAGAGTACTTGGAGAACGGCGCGTGGACGCGCGCGGAGCTGCCGCCGGGCTTCCCCAATGACACGAACACGCTCGAGGCCTCCAACAAGACGCTCAAGGAGCAGTGCACGGAATATACGATGAAACCCGTCCTCGCCTTCCTCTCGGACATCTTCGCCTACGTGCAGGACAAGAGCCAGCTCAACGCGGAGTTCGCGTACGACGCGCCGCCGTCGACGCCGCAGACGAAGCTGGCGAAGGACGCGACGGCGGTCCTGAGCTCGGTGCAGCTCCTCAAGGGCGTCGAGGTCTCCTACGACATCCTCACCTCGGGGACCCACCTCACGTCCATGCTCCTCATCATCGGCGTCAAGCCGGACCTCGCGGCGCCGCCCGTCGCGTTCATCTCCGACGCGACCTACGTCGACATGCTCCGCGCGCTCGACACGAACGACAAGGAGGCCTGGACGACGGAGGTCGACCGCCGGCTCGCACCGTTCGTCGGGCTCGCGACGGGCGACGCGTCGTCGTCGTCGGGCCGCGGCGCGCGCGCGCCGTCGTGGGGCGCCGTCACCGCGGCCCTCGACGCGGGGATTTTGCTAGTCCCGCTCGAGGGCGGCAACTTCTTCTGCACCTGCGGCGACTACCAGCACAGGGGCGTGTGCAAGCACGCCCTCGCGTACAAGGTCATGAACAACCCCACCGCCCTCACAGGCGCCACCGACGACCGCCCGGTCGCCTCGAATCGGGGACCGAGTCGGCGCCACGCGCGCCGGGGAGGAGCTCGGGACAACGACACGCTCACCAACCCGCCCCGCCCCGCGCCCAAGTTCGCCTTCCTCGGCGCCCCCCGCGACGCCCCCCGCGACACCGCCTAGTGTCATGTTGTAGACATCCGGCGGCAGTGGCGCGCGCGGCGGCGCGCGCGCGGCGCGCTCGCGCGGCGCGCGCCGCGGCGCGCGCGCGCGCAGTCCGTCCGGCGGCGAGCGCGCGGCCCAGGGCGCGGCCCCCGACCCAGGCGGCGCGCGAGACCTTCGCCCTCTTTGAGAAGGACCAGTAAGCT